CACAGACTAGGTGACTTAAACAAGATAGATTTATTTCCTCACAGTTCTGGATGCTGGGAGTTCAAGATCAAGGTGTCGGCATGTCTGGTTTCTTCTGAGGTCTCTCACTTTGGCTTGCAGTCACCTTCTTTCCATGTCTTTATGTAATCTTCCCTATACGTGTGTGGCCTACTCACCTTTTCTTTTAAGGAGACCAGTCTTATTTTATCAGGGCCCACCCCAATGACCTTATTTAACATTAATCATCTTTAAAAACCTCATCTCCAAATATGATCACATCCTGAGGTACTGGGAGTTCGGATTTCAACCCATCAGTTACAGGAAAACATAATTCAGTCCACAACACACACCAAGGGTTTCTTTCAGTTAATAAAGCATCCCAAGCCTCTGTGACCTCTTACTTGGTGACCAAGATACTGAGATAATGATTCATTAGAAGCTGAAGTAGAACCACATGATGCCACAATGATTCCTCAAACCCCTCCAACGAAGAAAAGCATTAGCTCCACATTTGGACAGTCACTAGTCTACCATGATATGTGCAAAGTACTTGTGACTAACTTAAGGAAAAAAGTTTCTAAAAGTTCACAATGAAAAAAAAATCACCAGGAAAAGATAAGAATTCTAAAAGAAGTCAGTTGCTGACTTGGCTGGGTGCCTCAGTTTTGGTGTCCAGTACACCAAAAGTTTGCAGGTTCAATCCCTGGTAAGAGCACATACCTCGGTTGCAAGTTCAATCCCCAGTCTGGGTGCATATGGGAAGCAACTGATAGATGCCTCTCTCTCACATCAATGTTTCTCTCTCTCACATCAATGTTTTTTTTTTCTCTCTCTCTCTCCCTTCCTCTCTCTCTAAAATTAGTAAACATATCCTCTGGTGAGGATTAATTAAAAAATAATAATAAAAATAAATAAATAAAGGAAGTTAGTTGCTGAAAAATGCTGACAAGTTATAAGCCCAAATATTATTATTACTAATTATTTTGTCAGCCATATACTGACAAAATTTAACTCTCCATTATCATTTTTGTAAAACATCAAGCTTTACAAGCATCAGGACTCTAAATCTGTTCTCTCCAAAATGTCACCAAGGATGGCACAAGCTTTGGGATTTTCTTCTGGAAGACTCTTTGGGCAGAAGATGGTAGAAGAAATTAGCTGGGAAAACCTAAGTCTATCAAAAAACAAAATAAATAGGAGACACTGAGAAGTGGTGAATGTCCTGATTTTGAACTATTTAATTAAGTTTCAAAACAGAAAGGGAGAAATGAGCTTATTCCCCTGGGAAAGGGAGAAATAGCAGAAACTACTTCTGTGTTTATACTGAGACAGGTCCACTGAGCATCCTTTGTAAACATTAAATAATGGTCACATAGTATTAAAAATGAAAACCCTTATTATTTATTGAACTGTATCCCATGCTCACAAGAAGCCTCTTAAACAAGATTCTCAAAGGACTTTATAAATGCTCTCTTATTATTGTTCACCGTTGTTTGAAAAGGTAAGTACCTCATCTCCATTTCAGAGTTAGGGGTGAAGAGAAAGGTTAAATGAATTATATAACATTATACCAACATCTGCCAAAGACAGAGATGACATTTGCTATCGCTTGAGAACTAAAATCTCTCTTTGAAAATAAAGCAACTTAGCTAATTATTTTTAGGAGGGAATTTCACAAAAATATTTTTTATCTGTACATCATGTTCTAAAAAGAAAAGTCAAAATTAATAACTGTGCTAGGTAAAAAAAAAACAAACAAAACCAGTGTGGTTTTCAGAACCTCTTCTATTCTGTGTATCCACTCGTGTGGCTGGAGGTTTGAAATGCTATATAAGTCTCATTTTCCTTCAGAAGCTAACCTCTGTGGAATAAAATGCTGTTACGGAAAAAAATCTTTTCTGTCATTTGACTTTAACTTATGATAAATTAGCTTCAACTAGTTTCTTAGAAAATTGCCCAAGAAATGACTACAGAAAATTAAGTATGAAGACTTCAAAGAGGCAAACACACAGCCTTCAAATTCTGACCTCAGAGAGTAATCCTCCCTTTCTCATGCTTTGGAGAGATGTGAGTAAAGACACCGTATGAGAGCATGGCAATTAACCATCTTCCAAATGACTTTTCTATCAATCTTCTTTTCAAAGGGTAATAAAGTGGTGATTATTCCTAGGCAGTTTCTGGGAAGTTATCATCTCATTTCAATAGTCACCAGTAAGAAGGATGGTACTGCGGTATTATCACCATGATGATAAGGGCAAGAACTGGTTGAGAATTCAATAGACAAGGTGTAGGTGGTTAAAAGCTATTTCCTGGAAAATTAAAAGAGAGAGATCAAAAGAATTGTGTTGAGTCTTAAGGAATGGGTAATCATTCCCTTCTAGATTAAAAATGCAAATCTGATTGGTAACCTAGTGAATGAAATTTATCATTTGAAGATTTTATTTCCACAAATAATGTTGAAAGCGTATGTGCCACGTTCTGTGCCGGATGCGGGTGACTGATGAGGGAAGACAATAAGCCATGAGAGGGCAGCTATGTCAGGACTTGAAGACCCTGAGTGACCCCGCTCACTAAAAGCAACCACCACCAAAATAGAAAAAAAAACTTAAACATTGAATAAATGGTTTCGGGGAAAGTATTAGTCATCATGTACTTTTACAAAAACCACAGAAAATAATAACAGGACAAGAAACACCCAAAACTGTATCCCATTCCCTAGCGCTGTCAGAGTTTGAAGATGTCGAGGGGCAGAAGTCTCTGCAGGAACGTACAGCCTGTGCACAGGATGCCTTCCGAAAACACGCTGAGGCCCTGGATGCTTCTCCGGTCCGCAGATTCAGGTCCCATCTGAGAAATGGACTTTGTGCTCATACAAGGAGTGCGCAGCCCTTCCCCCCCCCCCCCCCCGCCGGCGGTTCCTGAAAGCACTTCTTTTATCTTCCTATTTGCCCTAATTCTCTTATCCCAGTCTGAAATTACAGCCCACTGGCAGACAGGGTATGAGACACACATTCAGATTCAACATTTGTCCAGAAGTTAAATTTCTTAGCACTAACCAGAAATCCAAACTTAGGAGAGAGGGAGGGAGGAGGAGGGGGAAGGGAGGAGGGAGAGGAAGGAAAAGAAGGAAAGGAAAAAAGGAAGAAAAGCAGGCAGGCAGCAGACATAAACCTTTTGGGGGCAAAGAAATGCTATGTTTACTGCATGCCCATCACTCACATGATACAGATAAGGCAACTTGTCTGTTGAATAAAACTGACCAAATAAATGAATGAATGCCCCACCCTTTTGTGGTCATGAATCACTTTAAATCAACATTATCACATCGGTATTTTCATGCAAGCAATCCCACAGTGAGCTTTGCCCAGCAGTTCATCTTTTTTGGTGTTATTCTGGTGATTTTTCTTTAAAAAGGAGAGAAAAGAAAAGTACAACACAAAAATTAGAAATCAAAATGTATTTGTTTTCATGTTCCATTCCAGGTAACAAATGGTTGACCACTGAATTAATGCCTTTACTTTGACCCTTGGACAGGCAAGCTGCCTCTTTCCAAAGCCGAACACAGCACTGAACTCAGTACCGATAGATCTCTGTTGACTTGGAGAACAGGATAAAGCAGTCAAGCCCTGAAAAGAGTATTAACATTTTATCCTCATTGCCAATCAAGAAACCACCCAATTTCCTGCCTTCCACCATCCCTAAAACCAAAATAAAAGGGGTAAAAATTAGCCCTTGTGCAAATCACACAAGAATCAGACATGATCCTTGGCAAACTAAATCCTTGGCTTTACATCCCCCTATGCCTGGGCGATGTTTCCCCTGAAGTATAACCTAAGAATGCAGGAGTGTTGATTTAAAAAGCAAACCAGCTGATGTAAGGGCTAAAGATAAAGGTGAATTCTTTCAAACTGAGAATGCTTGAGGTTGGTAGATTGGAACACTTTATAAAAAGGAAAAGGAGATGATCCTGCTTGTATGAAATGTTCATGCTTGTTCTGAGGCGGGCAACCCAGACAGTGCGGAAGGGAAACGACGGATCCCCAAAATGTACTGCAAGGTGCAGCTTCCAGGGACCTTTCCCTCGGGCCTCCAAAATGATTACATGTTCTCAGTCATACTTAAAATATACATGACACTCCTTAGGCCACTGAGACTCTACACTGGAGCGAAGCAAACACTTTCAAAGCATGTTTTCAATGAGAAATCCATCTTTCCCCAATGGATCTGACAGAGAGTAAGTTAACCTGTGATATTATATACACAGCTTAAGAAAAGAGAGTACCCCTGAGCTTAAGGGAAGGGAAAACTTTCCTTAATAATTTCTAGTTCTGCATATTCTTGTTTCCCTTTAAAAAAAAAAGAAAAAGACGCAAGAGCATTTGTTTTAGCTTTCCCTTTTCCTTCTTTCACAGAAACATGAAATGCCCAGGTATCAGATGATTCACTGACAATACCTCCAACCCATCCAGGTCTCACCAGAATATTAACTTTTTACTGGTTAGTTGGTGCAGGAGTGTGCAAATACACCCTTATTGTTGTTATTCAAAGCCCCATTCTGCTGGAAAGGAGAGAGGAGGACATCGAGTAATTTGTTTATATACATATATACACAAACACACCACGTGGGCGAGGTGGTGAACAGCAGTGGGGGTTAGAGTGTGCACACATAGTGAGAAAATAAATAAGTCCTCTCCCTGCTTCTCCAGTGCCAACATTCTGCTCCAAGGCCTCTGAGAGACCAGCTGAAGCAATGAGGTATGAAGGAGCAGCATTCCCAGCTGACTCCTCCAAGTGCCTTTCTGTAGAAAGGATGACTTGCACATACAGAGCACCCTGAGCCCAGATCAGCATCCAGGAGAACCCATTCTTCATATACAAATGAGGTCTTCAGGCAAGGGCAGGCACGAGGCTCAGGAGGCATATCCCAGGGAGACGTGCAGGTAAGGCCATTCTGACAGAGCTCTGACGTAATCCGTGTTACATCAATGCAGTTAGTTCATGGAAGGGAGGGCAGGGACTGCCATCTTCTTACTTTTCCCCTTTTTACAATCGAGTGAGGTCTTCTGGGGGATTACCACGCCTTTCCTTTGCTGGAGGCTTGTCACCTGGCTCTACTTTGATTTCAGGTCCAGAGGTGGAATTTATCCTTCCAGGGGAATAGTCATTCCTTTTTAAATCTGCAAGAGACAATTAAGACAGTTCTGTGGATCCTCAAAAACATGGTGCCCACACTGACAAACTGAAATTTAAGTTTTTCCAAGTACTGAGGACACTGCTTCCTCACGCCGTCCCTATACGAAGCTCAAACCCTCAACCCATGTTCCACACCACCTGCCCCATGCCCACGTGGGACTCTAACCCCCAGTGTTGTTTTAGGCTTGTGCTCACGGGGGCCGGAGAGGGGAGTCTTGGTTGCTTGATTCAATACACAATGCCCGATAAGTCACAACCTGGCCAGAGTAAGTGAGCCAACCTGGAAACAGGACATTTCACTGTTAATGATGGGCAGGGACAAGGAGTTAAGCCCAAATGGTGATCTCAAGATTTCAACAGTCAGCCTTCTGCAACAAAGCTCTATGTGGGTTTGGTACTGCCTATGAAAGCTTCATCCAGTTATTGGATTGTATGCTTCCTAAAGCCTCCTTCTTCCATTTGAAAAGTATCAAAAGAAAACATCAATTGGGGGAATCTTTGGGGAGAAATGTATGGAGGAAAATTGGCTTTAAATGTCTTATGTACCATTTTGTGCTATATTAATCAAATGTGTTAACCTTAAATATATATTCCATGTATTTTTAATGTTAAAATTATCTGGACATAAAAATAATACAAATTATAGTTTATTAATAATGGATAGTTACTGAACATATCCATATATCACTTCAATCCTTATATCAACTTTATAAGATTGGCGCTATTTTCCCAGTGTATGGATGAGGAAAAGGAAACACAGCTCACATCCTAGTAAAAAGCAGAACTGGGATGTGAACTCAAACTAACTGGTTCTGGATCCCATGTTCTTATATACTGTCTTAAACTGTCTCTTAGGAAGGGAAGGGAAGGGAAGGGAAGGGAAGGGATAGGAGAAAGAAAGAACAAAAGAAAGGAAGAAAGGAAGGAAGAAAGAAAGAAAAGAAGGGAGAAAGAAAGAAAGAAAGAAAGAAAGAGAGAGAAAGAAAGAAAGAAAGAAAGAAAGAAAGAAAGAAAGAAAGAAAGAAAGAAAGAAAGAAAGAAAGAAAGAAAGAGAAAAAGAAAGAAAGAAAGAAGGGAAGGGAGAGAGAGGGAGGGAAAGAAAACTTAAATAGAACACTATCAAGCAAAAAAGAAAAACTGCCCCTATTCCTGTTTTCCAGATTAAACTTTGTTTTAATTCAGATAACCAATGACTGAGTAACTAAGGATGTTTCTTATTTCCACTTAAATATGCTAATGTTTTGAAAGGAACCATAGATTAGGTCTAGAGATAGAGGAACTATTGAATTACTCAAAACTCACCAGCACAGGTTAAAAAAAAATGATCTCCACCTTAATCATACAAAACAGCTAGCTGGGCTCAAGGTTAGAAGCAGTGAGCTATGTCTCAAGCCTTCCTTTCTCCTGGCTGATCAGATGCAGTCTCTGTGGCTCCAAGACTGAGAGGCTGCCCTGTCCAGAGTTCAGTGAATCAGACCTGGGAAGGGGCCAGCGCCTGAGGACACTGAGTTAATGGACCGGATTCCAGCCTACAATCATGGGATGACTCAGATCTATGTCAGTACCTGTCTCCAACAGGGCCCTTCCCTGGAGCTGCTGAAGCCCCTCGGTCCAGCCCCAGATCCTCCCTGGGTTCCCCCTGACCAGGGAAGATGCGGTGGGCGGCTCAGCCAGTATGCTCTGGACTGATGCCTTTGCACAGCCCTGCTGTGCCGTTTGTGAGAGCAATCCCGGGCAGTTAGAAGAAGAGAGTGAGGGCTCTCCCCTCTTTGCGGCTCCCGCCTGACCTGCCCACTCCATGGACACACCCTGACCACCTTCTCCGTCTGACAGGCTATTATTTCTCACTGGAACCAGGAGCCTGATCCAAATCCCAGTCCTTTGCTATGTCTTGCCCACAAGTGCTATTCAACCTTCTACTTCTAAAGCTACCGAGAATAGAAATTGCCCTTTATATTGTAAATTTACACCCACTCCATCCCAAGTTACAATGGACCATGATGATTTCCAATTCAGAGTATGACCACTTATTAGAAGGCAGGAAGGGATAGTCTGCTGAAAGCATGTGAAATTCCATTCTAAGGGTAAGTTTGGGATGATCTAAGAAAAACAGTGAGCAGGCTGAGGCAGACATAAAGTGTCCCTTCTGAGATAAAAGGGAAAAATGAGACAGAGCTGAGACTGCCAGTGTGGTGGGCACAGACCTCCAGCTGCTGGCTTTTATGTGAGGAATATTTTCTGTGGTGACTATATTGGTTTCAGAAAAAAATGTTAGATTATCAATCAGACTTAAAATATACACATGTGAAGTGGCAGGTTTTTGTAGTAAAAAGCACTAACTTAATGGACAGCTGTGCTTCCCTCCACGCCCCACCCTCCCAAGTGTGTGATGAGTGAAAATCAATAGAATACAAACAGCATGGGCACCACACAGGGCCTCGGAGTGGGGAGTGGCAGAGACCTGCCTCAGCCCAATTTCACCCGTTAGGTCTGTAGGACTTTTCCCTTGGACAGACTGTGACAAGTATTGGATCCAATGTTGTTTTATCACATTTTGGCAGAACCTGAAGTAAATCCCTGTCCTTTTAATCCCTTTAGAGACTTGAAAACTTCGCAGTCAGAAAGTCAGGCCTCAACTGCGAATGAGATAAAAATGTGATTGAGATTTTCTCCTCTATCCCAGGTTACAGTGGATGTTGTTCCATGAGAGTTTTACTGAAAAAAATAAAATTGTTTGGGGCATACCCGGGAGTTTGAGCTTCCGGCAGCAGGCGTTGCAGTGATGTTTTGCAATGAAGTTTCTAATTGCATCTTCCCCTAAATTGGCTGGTCCAAACACCATTCCTCTTGATCTAGAGGAAATATCAGAATATCAATTAGATCACAGCTAAGAGAAAGGAGCTCGACTAGGATTCTCTGAGATACCGAACAGTATCCCGTAGTAACCCAGCAAACTTGAAGCAGCCAACAAAGAACAGAGCACTTTGGGGAAGCAACAATGTTAGGTTTGCAAATTTAAAATTCAAATGCACTTCAATCTTTGTACCCAACTCCAAGACCTACTGTGAAACTCATTTCAGTGCTAATCTGATAGAAGGGTGAATTTCCTATGTACCATGCAAAACCAAAATACACTGAGACCCTTTTAAATGCACATGGGCTGAGAGAATGACACTCATTTTCAAATGTTCTACTAGAAAACCCGAATGTTCTACTAGAAAACCCAAAAAATACGGTATAAAGTAAAATAAATTTGCCATTGAAACACACCTTCTAAAAGGACTCATCAGATACATTGTTGCAAACCCAAATACCTGTCTAAATTTAACCATGCTCTCAAAAACGAATGCCAGACAAAACCTCACATGAGTACTCATGGCCCTGTCAGTGTCTGCTTTATCCCCTGCAAACTGCTGTTCAGGGCTCTTTGTAAGAAAGACAAGACCGCTATGATTCTGTGGAAGTCAACTACATATGCTAAACACAGGTGACAAAATCACAAACAGATTCCGTATATACTTGGCACATTTTGAACACTCTATAATTGTAATAGATCCTCGGCAGATTCTAGGATCAGCGTTCATCCATTATCAGATCACGCTCAACCATTATTCTTCATGCTGACACTCCACACACCACGGAACACAGCACACCAGAAACACTTCCAAAGAAATTTTATGAAAGCTAATATTTTATTTTAATGACATGCAGAGTGGAAAAAGCACATTTTAAAATCTGAACTCAATTACCACTCTTAAATACCACATCTCAAGAAAAAATAAAAGCAAACTATCACAAAAGGAAACAATAAACTTCGCTTCTAAGGAATGTGGTTTTTCAAAAGGGACGTAGTGTAAAAATGGACTTTTTTCCATCCGAGTATTGAAACATTTATCTCAATTTCCACTTCCTTTTGGCAGAATAACAGTAGCTGCTCTGAAGATGTGCCAAGCTCAGAATGAGGGCTGATGTCAGTTTGATCTCAGATTGCCTCTTTGCTCTGAGGCGAGTAGGTGGAGGAAATCTCTTGGGAAGACAAAGTGAACAGACACCCAGGATTAATTTTCCTGGCCACTCAATTGCCCTTACAAAGTACAGCTCTGGTGGTATTTACCCGGCTGCATAAGCTGCCTCTTGTTAACTATTCTTCTCTTTCTGGTAAAAAAAAAAAAAAAAAAATCAAATAAGGTGAAACCAAATGTGGCCAAAAAAAGGAGAATCACTTGATATTTAGTACCAGAACTGTATGATGCCAAAAAAGTGAAAAATGATGGTGTTTTTTTCAGTCATTAAAAGGAAGAAATCCTTGATCATCTCTCCAGCCGGACTCCGTTGGAATATTTCACTCTCGTGCATTCTATACCTACTACTTCTTTCCTCCCAGTAAAACATGAAACCTCAACTTAGAGATATAACACTGATACTCAGATAAAAACTATAAGCCAAATCATTTCCCTCTGTGAGCTTTATGAAAGTTAAGACAAAAGAATCAAAATTACCATGAAGTGTATCTATTAGCGGTTTGCTCCGTGTGGGGGAGGGTGGGGGAAGGAGGGATGTAGGGACATTCATTCCCTACTGCGGGGTTACAGCCTTGCAATCTCAGAAAACAAAGTTTTAAAAATAAATAAATACACCCCAGCTGGCAGCTCAGTTGGTTGGAGTGTCATCCTGAGCAAACAAAGGGTTGCGGGTTCCATCCCCAGTCCAGGCTGTGTGTACAAGAGGCAACCAATTAATGTTTCTTTCTTTCTCTCTCTCTCTCTCTCCCCGCCTTCCCACCCCATTTCCCTCCCTCCTTCCCTGCTCCCCTCTCCCCCTTCCTCTCTCCCTGGGATCACTGAACATATCCTTGGGTGAGAATTAAAATAAAAAAATAAATACAATTTTTTTCCAGATTTTTCACAGCCCAGGGAAAGCGGATGGCAGCTTGGTTCCACATGTGAGGAAACACTAATTAGTGCCACATATACACAGGTTTACAAAAGAATATCTCATCATTTCAGACTTGTCAAATGCCCCTAACCATCTATGCAGTAAGTGAAAAGACACAATCCAAAACTACCAATAACTGAGGTAGCCTCCACTGAGGCTGCTGGTCTGAGGAACCGAGTCAAGTGGCCAAAGAGTATTTGATGGGGGGAAGGCCTGATGACTTTGTCTTCATGAGCAAAAGGTTGGGGACAGTTAAAAAAACAGCAGGCATCAGAGACAATGTCAGGATTTGAGCCACAAAAACACCTTCTCTTTTGGTAGAGGACCATTCTGTTTCGTGGACACTCCTCCTAGTCGGCGATTTACCAGCTTCAGTTTTCTCATTTGTGGACTGGGACTAAAGACGCTTATCTCCGAAGTTGTTGTTAAGTGTAAAATAAACAACATGCAAAAGCACTTGCTTGAATCGGTGCTTCTCAAACTCTAAGATACAGCAAAGCAGTTTAAGATCTTGTGAAAATTTAGATTCAGAGCCAAGAGATACATTCAGATTCAGGGGGACTCTGAGATTCTGCATTTCTCGCAGTCTCCAAGATGATGCCGATGTTATTGGTCCACGGCCTGTGCTTTGTGTAGCAAAGGTTTATTAACATACAGGAGGCATCTGAAAGGCGAGCCTCGTCAAACTAATTCGATGTAATCCACCACTGTTGCAAGAAAACAGTACTTCCAGTTATCTTTACCATGAAAACCAGCTGCACCCAAAATTAGGTGACCCCACAAAACGAGGCATGCTGCAATGATGCCATCCTACTGTTTTCCACAGTTTCTACCCTCAAGTCATAAAAAATCAAGGCTGTCATGAGACAGAGGTTCCCAGCCCTAGGTGTCCATTAGAATCACATGAGCAACTTTTTTTTTATTGCATTTTTTTCCCATTTCCATTTATCCCCCTTACACTACCCCCCGCCCCTGCAATCACCACACTGTTGTCCATGTCCATGAGTCCTTCTTCCTTTTTGACATGAGCAATATTAAAAAATACAGACATCAGGGCCCTAGCCTCAGAGAGTCTGATTTGATGCCAATGCTGAGCAGCTTTTTCTTTTAAATTTTCCGAGGTGACCTTAATAGAAATTGAGACCCACTGGCCTATAGAATGCAATTAAATACTCAACTGTCAAGTGGGATAATATAATCTTAGATTCTAAAAGATGGATATATTCAGGTCATATTAAATGACATATGCAAAGGTGAAAATTTAATAAATGATAGGGTATACATAAACTTGTTTCATTATATATGCAAAACTTTCCCTGCAAAATTATAAAGTACTTATAGTTCCAGATTCCTATTACAAATTATTGGGAAGAAATAATATTCTTAGCTAAAAACACTTTTAGCTCTGCTAATGTGAAAAATAACAAAGCCTTTATCTGTAACCTAATAGTCACAACGTGAACTGTATGGCTAAATACCATAGGAATCATATGCATAGAAGTGGTAAGGTTCACCTTTACCTTCTCCAGCTGTCACCTAGGACACAGAAATAGCTACGACTTTCAGATGGGCCTCTTCTCATAGAAGCCCATCGATGAGGCCATATTTAAATTAGATCATTCCATAAAAGAACAGAGCATTAAAGCAGTAAATATTTACCCTATGCGTCCTATGGGAGAGAAAGTAAAATTTTCAGATTTTATATATAATTTTATAAATGTATTTTACAACCCAGAGTCAAGTACAGACACTTGGAACAACTAAGAAATAAAATCGTTGTATGCTAGCAGTTCTCAAGTGTGGTCTCTGGGTCAGCAGCGGCATCAGAATCCTCTGGGAGTTTGTTACAGTTTTTGGCCTGACCCCAAACCCACTGAATCAGAAAATGGGGCGGGGAGGCCGGAGGCAGCAATCTGTGTTTTAACAAGCTCTTCTGGTGATGATGATGAAAGTTCATGTTTGAGAACCACTGTCGCCTGCCATACTGATCAGTCCTTAATCAACACCATCACTTCTCTCTTTCTACTCTACCTTTCACAGAGGAATACAGCCTCAGGTCCCCTACTGCCATGTCTTCCCAAAAGTCTTTTTATGGGATAAAATGCCATGGGAATTCAGAGGACAGGCAAATGGCTCATCCCTCCACATAGTTTAAACTTCAGTCTTTATTTAAAAGACAATCTGACGCTCTAGGCTTAAGCCCCACTGCTGTGGCCTCTCACAGATTTGCAATTCCTGAGCAGTGTATATTATATCCTCAGCCTTCATTTTGTAAGTATGTGATGGAAGATGGTGCCCACGATGAGATGCAATGACTCCTTTATGTGGACAAGAAACTGCTTCTCCTATGACATTAACTGTTCGCATGTCAAAGCCCACAGAGGCTGCGTTAACCCATATTTCTCTTTTGTCTGAGTCATAGAAAACTCAGAGTCAAATTTGCAACAAAGTTCTGGCTACTGCACTGGTCTTTATAATTTCCATTCACGTGCACTAACTTTACTCCAGAGTGAATCTTATGTTATTTCGTGTTGGTTTTCTTTTTTTGCCCCCATTTCCCAATCTGTGCTTTCCTTAAAATCTTATTGTATGTTAAGTTTTATTTTATTTTATTGTAGTTGGATATATATAATATAGATAAAGATATAGAAATAAAACCTCCCTCAAAACCTTTCTAGGATCTAGGCAAGAAATATAAATGTTTAAAAATTATTTTTAAGAAACCACATACAATGTGTTAAGTGCAATTTTCTAAAAGATAGCATCATAAATTAACTTACTGTTTGTCTTCAGGTTTTATAACAGATGGATCTGTCAAATTTTCTCCAACACCTCCAAAGAAGAAAGAAAATTCATTTAGCAAACAGGATTTACTTTCTCAGATTTCAAGAAAATAATAATAAAATTTTAACTTCATTCTTTAAACCTGTATTATCTACCCTGCAATAAATTAAACATCATGTGAATTAACTGTACTATAAAAGTTATCTAGACATGTTCAAAAATCTTAGTTAATGCAGTCTCCCATAGGCTCCTCTTATGCTATAATAAACTTTTCGGCCACAAGTGAATGTTTCAGTTGTGTGTTCACAATTACTGATAGTGGCATCCGTCATTCATTTACTACTCGTATGTACTAGACATCCTAATTTTATTTTCTCCACTTCTTAGCAATCGTAAAGACAGTGATAGCATTCTCATATTTGCACTTTACCAGTGAGTATGCTGATGTTCAAAGAGACTACGCAATTTGTCAGAGGCTACCCAGTCCAGAGTGGTGATGACGGGATTCCAGCTGAGCGGAAGCCCGCGTCCCTCCCAGCAGCGCGTGGTCTCCCTAAGTGGAGTCCACCGGTGCTCGGCAAGGCGCAAGGGGCTGTGCGGTTCCGCAGGCACAGCCTCTGTTGCATCAAAGACAGACAGACAGACAGGCAGACAGACAGACACACACACACACACACCCACACACACACACACACACACCCACACCCACACCCACCCACCCCCGCCCCCATTTCAAAGCAGTGGGACACAAACGCTCCCTAATTCTTGATTTGGGTGCTGGTTACACATGCGTTCAGTTGCTAAAATCCTTCGGGATGTAGGCATAATGCTATGTGCACGTTCCTGAATACAGTATGTTAGTCTTCAATAAAATTTGCCTTTTAAAAAATGACTCCAGTGCATAAAAGGATAATTTAAAGCTAACATTTATCCAAACACCCAAACTGAATCTCTGTTATAAAATGCAAGTGGTGAGGAGACCGATTTCCAACACGGTAATGTTTCAGGGACAAGCTGATCATACAGGTGAATGCACCACTTCGGCACAACCCAATGATTTCTGAAGCCATACCCTAGTCAGCACTAGTTCTCTTTGGAAGAGGCCAACTTTGTGGGGAAATTATTCTAAAATGATATAAAATTCTCAATATTATGTATTTCTATTTGGTTAAAAGAAATAAAAATAAAAATAAAAAAACACTTGTTTTCTAACGACTATTTTAAAAAAATATTTTGTATGCTCTGTATATTTCACTATATGCTAAACCTTTCACAAGAAAGCATATTCCTTAGAATTTATAGAACTTTCCCCTAAAAAACTGTCTTCCTTAGGAAAATAACCTACTTAAACAGGTGTCAACCTATTTTGTGTCACGCCCCTCTTTGTTATTCTGATGAAGCTAGGGGACCCCTTTCTCAGAATAATGTTTCAAAATGCATCATTTAAGTACACAGGATTACATAGGAAACCAATGATACTGGAGTACCATTACCAAAATATTTTTTAATTGGGGTATTGCAATACTTGTGCTTCTTTATTAATGTGTTGAAGTAACAGAATCTAGCATATCTAATAACTGTCACACTATCCAACAATAAATATGAACAGTATTTTGAGACATCTGCCAACACATGTGCCATGTTAATACCTGTAATTGCAAACAGTCACGGGTACTGCTAATACCACTGTGGTTTATGGTCTCCATTATAATTGAAGGAAATGATGAATTTCAGCTATCGGTTGGTTAGTGAAAATGAAGGTGCAATTTGTTTTTCATCAGAGTTCACGGACCCTCTGAATTTTATACAGAGACGTTTTAGAACCCCTGGCACAGAATCTCTTTGTACACTGATTGTGATCAGGAAAAAGAGAAAGTAAAGCTGAAACACAGGCTTAAGTGCAAATGTGTAAAATGTACTTTGCTCATCATTTATCCTTTTTAAAGAAAAAGCCATTGAAAAGGCTGGGCTCTTTATACTTTTCTTATTATAGATATAAGAAGGTGCAGACTAGAAGGACCCTGCTTTTTGAACTGTGTAGTAAATAAAACAGAAAGAAAACAGACCGATATCCCAAGTACCATCAGCAGAGAGATTAAAGGCTACAAAATCCTTTACATGTTAAAGCTCAGACCAAACTTTAAGCCTGAAAATTCCAGTGCAGATGAAAGCCTTAGGCTGATATCTGAGTAAACTATAAATTTAAGCTGGGAATACTCACAACGCTTAAAGAAGTCATATTGATTGGGAGGAAGGAAGCTTTATAAGGAAAAAATAGTCTATCAAAATCACATCAGATCCTGTTTACTTTAAATGTTGTTGCTTGTTACACAGGCAGAAAGGCAGAGGATCTGGGTCCCACTCACAGCCCCCACACTTTCGAGTCATGTGACCTGCCACCGTCCTTAATCTCTCTGAATCTCAATTTTGTCATCCGAAAGTGCGAACAATAATGAGCCTTATTTTATAGGGTTACTGAGAAGACTAAATGAACTATTGTATACAAACCGCTTAGAAAAGTGTCTAACCCAGAAGGTGCTAAAAAAATGTCAACTGCTATTTTTATTATCTTCATTCCATAAAGACCTCTTGGAAAGTAAAATTCAATTTTTTTACCACTGTCATGTTCTGATAATCTCATTTCTCTAAAGTGCTGTGTTTCTGATGAATAAATTCTCCTATAAGAATGAGGGTTTGATATCCACAAAACTATATCCCTAAACCAAATCTGACAGTTCAAAGTTTAACTATGAAATATATTTTGGGGGCCCTGAAATGGCAGAAAGGGTGTTGTGATGTGTGATCGGGAGCAGCCCAGAGACTCGATCGTGCTACACTCCCTGCACCGCCACGACTCCCTGCCTCTGCCAACTACACAGGAATGGCCCAAAAGGCAGATTTTAACATCTGTGCTCATCCTACCCACACAGTCTGCTAGATATTTGAAAACTTGTGAGAAAATAAGACATGTTCACATTTAAAAATCACAATATCTCTTTAGGTAATCTGCAGCAAGCCCTTATGAGAAACCAGAAACTTAACATTCCGACCCCAACCACCTTGCAATACATCAGTGAATCTCTACATCTGTAGAAAGAAGTTACTTTCTTTATAGCAGCAGAATTTCATGATGGTGATGTTGCTGCTAATGTTGACTTAGTCCAGAAACTGCTTTGTTGAATAAAAAAAAAAAAAAAATTTTAATATCTCCAAAAGTTCTTTGGAAAGTATAATCAGCTTTTTAAAAAAATACTCCAGACCACTGTAATTTGAAAGGCAATTGTTTTTAACTCCCATTGCAGGGAAATAAAGTTGGATTTCAAGTGTAATGATGATGAGCCAGGCCCTCACGAGTATGATTTTTAAATGGAAAGAAAACAGAAAACTATGGTACAAAGATAGGACTGGAAATTGATCAAGACTTTCCTTAGAATGCAGCTTCCTGGCCTGGTGTGGCTGCTGCTGGGTTGGTGACTGGCAATCCCTTGGAAGGAAGTAGAGAGAAGAAAAAACTAAACTGCCAAAGTGTTCCTCATTCCCTCTTTCCCTCAAAGCAATGGGAAGCCACAGCAAGCTGACCAGGGCTTCACTCTACAGAGACTGACGCCAGGGTCTCTGCAACACCACCAGCACCACGCAGCTAAGAACTGACTACTCACAACTGAAGATCAACTTCCCTTTGAAAGAGCCACATGGAGATTACTGCTAATAACAATGACATTTACTGAGGGCTCACTATGTGTCAGAAACTTGTCTCATTTCAGCTCCTTAACAGTCCTATGAATTAAGTGCCTGTTATTTTCCTCAATTACAAATGAAGGAAGAGAGGCCCCGAGCAGTCACCCTCTCATCAAGCAGCTAATTCACGGGAAAGCCAGGAGTCAGGTGTTAGCACTGCGGCAGCTCCTGAGCTCTTCCTCCCAATGGCCGCTGTGGGGCCTCTCAGCCTCCATTCCCTGCCACACAGATGATACTCATCATCTCTCCAAAGACTGGACATACTAATCAACAAAACTGAACCTAAAATCATTAAGATATTTTAAGAGAACATTATGTTCTTCCCATTTTTCCTTTCCAACCTGGTTTGGATTAAATATGATAATGTGTCAGCTTTTAGCCAGTGTCTAGAACAAAACAAATGTTAGCTAGTAGTACTAGTAAAATAACTGCTTATAATTACTGTTATAGGATTTGTGTTAGTAAATGTTAGCTAGTAGCACTAGTAATGTAACTGCTTATAATTACTGTTACAGGATTTGTGTTCTCCCCTAAATTCAGGCCCAACCAACTGGCCAAACTCTCCAACAGTATCTCAATTTCTTCATACTCAATCAATGAGGTCCACTCTTCCCTTCTTTGAAGGTCAGTGTTTTGACATAGTTTATTTGGAGTGGCTTATTTCTGCAATTTACATAATTGCTCAGTAAAAGAATAAAGTTAATTCCCTTTTTCCCCTCAGACTACCAACGCAGCATTTGTTCTGTTTAATGTCACTTTGGATTACTAAGAGACATAAGAATCCCCCAAACATAAACATCATTAAACAAAAACCTATTCAAGTGGAATACAAAACACACTGAAGAGTCATCATTAATTCCTTAAAGTTTTTCTTTGGTTGTTTTTTTTGATTCTGCTTTTTGCTTTTTAAACAACCCCACCCAAAACTCAAAGCACAGACACTCAAGTACAGATGAAAACAATCAGCCTCTGCCCAACATGAGCTACAAAAGCAGATGCCTTGGGCATCAGCATGCTGAGTTTACATGGATCATGGACTTGCTGGTTTAGAACATGAATCATCTTAACTGTTGTAACTTTGTTTATATTGCCTCCTACAATATTGTGTTTGAGGGTTAAATATATAACCTGTGAAGAGCACAGATCTGAAAGGGCAGAAGAACTTATGTGTAGTTTTAAATGTATATACACATCCTTAAGCATGTGGCACAAATTTTAATCAAAACGGCTTTGCCATCTTACCAGACATTGCTCACAATGCCCCAGGATTGCCTATCTCAACTGTCCCTGGTCTGTAAGCCTGGCTTTCAGCACATAATCCCAGGACTGAACAGGTAGGAAAGTCAGAGAAAACAAGAAAAAGGTTCACTCTGTTTAAATGAACCATAGCATAGTTATGTCCTATGGGAATGAAACTCACGAAGCAATCAAAAATAATACAGGGAAAAGGAAAGAGTAGCTGGTCAAACCAGCTTAAGTCTGCATCCTGGCTCCCCCATTAAGTAGCTGTGCAACCTTGGGCAAGTTATTTAAACTTTCTGGGCCTAAATTCCCCATAATACCTACCTTGAGGTGCTGTTTCTGGAATTAAATGAGATAACTTCTATGAAAGTTCCTTGGCTAAATCCCTTAAATAAAACCAAAGCCCCAGTCAGTGAGCCCAGGGACTAAACTTTGACCTTAATACATATTTCGTTCTGTCCCTGCAAGGAAAGCCTGCTAGAGATACTCAGTTTCGTGCTGCAGGATTATAAATCACGTGTGAGGTGTTGATAGTGGGGAGATGCACTGATCAAAGGCTTCCATTAAATAAGAGTGCACTGCATCTTCTCAGACTGAGCTTGTACTTTCATGAACTGTCATATAAAGGCACACAGCAAAAAGGAGCCAGCTAAATTACAAACTGCTAGAGAAATGAGCTCAAAATCATGAAAAATGATGAGAAACTAAGCTTTCCTGTGTGTATAAATGCATGTCTAAGTGTTATTGTGAACGTAAGTCCAAGATGAAGCCATAAAACTGGAAAATTTGGTGCAAAAGTCAATCTCCGTTTAGATCAAAGTTTTAGATGTCTTTAAATTTTAGGCAACTAATCATATGCCTATATTTTTCCCTTGATCTCACTGGGGAACAACATAGTAGGTGCTTATGATCATAACTGTACAATGTCTGAAATAAACGGCCCCACCTCCCTTCAAAACTACATAGACCAACTCTATACATTACCCATCCTGGTTCTTGGAAGATCTCCTGGGATACCTGTCTAGTTATTCCCTCTTAGGACAGTTTCACATATAATAAATAAATTCAGAAAACAAACACCATTTTTTAGTTTTCATTAAAAAAAAAAAAAGAAATGCCACTGAATGTCCCCACTGAAAGACCTCAGCCATGGCTTTGAGTAAAGAAAGGGCTGAGGTCAAACGTAGGTGACAGCAACATGGAGAAAGCAATCCCTGGTCAGTGTTTTCCTGAACTTTGCCTCCTGCTTGCTGTACTGAGTCCTAGGCTAGCAATCACCTTGCAAATCCAAAACCAGCAGCTCTCCCCGAGTATATTCATAGGTCCAATGAGAGAAAGCCAACATCAGCTCCTCCAAGGTGTTGCTGGGGGCGATTTCATCACCGTTATTGTTGTTGTACTTTCGGAACTCCCCCGTCATATACCTCTCAATGGTAAACCACTGGTTGGCGGAATGGCAATAGATTAAGAAAACTTCCAGGAACCTATGAGGAGGAAGAAGAGGCCATAATTCCTCACAAGGAAGCAAAGGTGGGACTTACATTACGGAACAGCCAGCAGCAGGGGAGATGACCTAACTCTGGTCTGATGCAGCCTCAGCACCCACACCCTTGCCTTTCTATGGAATGCAAAGATTGAGGAGTTTCCCCATGTTTACCCCCTTCCCCTCTCTTTGAGGAAATTTTCCAGCTCCCTTATGAGTACCAAACTCTACTTTTCTTGCCATGTGCTATAACATTCCTTACAAATAAAACAATAAAACTTTAGCATAAGTCCTCAGCACCTAATTATGATCTGTCTCACTAAATGAATGCAAGTATACACAGACACTCAAGTGAACATAATAAGAGTTCATTCTTACCCTGGCTGTGTGGCTCAATTAGTGGGCACATCGTATCAAACACCAAAAGGTTGTGGGTTCAATCTCCAGTTGGGGCACATACCTAGGTTGGTTGTGGGTCCAATCCCCAGTCAGGGCATGTATGAGAGGAAACTGACCGATGTTTCTCTCTCACATAAATGTCTGTCTTTCTCTCTCTCTCTCTCCCCCGCCCCTACCTTCTTCTCTCTCTAAAATCAATAAGCATGTCCTCAAGTGAGGATTTAAAAAAAAAAAAAAAAAAAAAAAAAAAAAAAGAGCTCATTCTTAAAAAGTTCCTGATGTCCGTAAGATATTAGGGGAAGAAACTGTCCTTACAATAGAAAAGTCTTTCTGCCATCATGTTCCTGGACATTAGCGACTACATCCAAGACCCGCCTTTCGCACATGGAGAGGTCAGCCATGGCCCCTGCAAGGGCTTCTCCTTTCCACTCACGTTAGTTCAGTGATTCATGTATCTCTAGGGTCTCTGGTTCTCTTTTCACCAGTCCCCAGAGCTATGGAAAGAAGAACCCAAAAATAAAATCTTGGGGAACTACCCCGTGGGTCTCATATTTCTCATGAGCAAGAGGGTTGAAAAGGATTGGTAGAAATTTCTACTTAAAACTTAGAGCCAAGTTGCCACTATTTCCTCACCTTGGTGAATAGGGTATGGTTTGTGGTTTCAGTTGGTTGAAGGTATAGATTAGTTTTTGAGCAGCTCTTTGTTGTTGAATTTCCTATAAAATAGGGAGCATTGATTTAAAAAATGGTTAATGACCACATACCTATCAATTAATGATCGCAGAATTACTAGAGGCCTCCCAAGTACAGCCTTATTCAGCTCCCGCCACTCCCCATTCCAAAAACAAAACTCTACAAAACAAAAATAACAAAATACCACCACCTCCAAAAAAAGAATAGGCTGTCCTTTGGGTTGAAGATAATAGCCTTCACTCAAGGCGTAGCCAGATCTCCTTTCTTTGACCAGGCCCTCTGGGCTCTGGGTCCTGACTTACCCTGAGGCAAAGATGAAGCACAGTGCTCTCCTGGAAGATTTTGTGCCATGCCTGAACAACCTCAGGAAGAAAGGACTTCACAATGAAAACCTGCCCCGGCTTGAGGACGTCATCCTCAGACCAGGTGCTGATGACTCTCATGGCTTTGCGGAGGCCGCCGTCCATCTCTTCTCGGGACAACACCTGGATTATCGCGGCTCTCCCGCGCTGGGACCAAGAAGACATGCTTTTATCAAGATTCAAAGGGGAACTCTCCTCCAGCCTGTAGACAGCTACTTCTTCTCCTGCTGCAAGGGAAAGCATGGGTGAGGAGTTCAGTGAGATCCCATCTGTGACGGGAAGGACATCCTAAACAGCAGCAAGTCAGAATCAGTTCAGTTTCCCAAGTGGTCAGAGGAGAATTCGAATTTTACCTACCCAGGAATTAGCAGAAAATAAAGGCATGGATCTGGCCATGTTTTTATATTATTTATTGTCTAGTAAAGAGGGAGAAGGAGGAGAAGGGACAAAGCATCAAGAATTAAGTTGTTCTTATTGCAGACTATAGCTGGACAAAAACAATCAAAGTAGTAAGGATATGTAAACAAAATCAATGTAGTTAAAGACAAATACTTCTAAAGAGAGAGTTTAACCCAGTGTTTTTCCTTATTATCCCCCTTTTGAGCATTATTAGACTTTTTTTGTAAATGCCCCTACCATCACATTTTTATACCAAAGAAATATAGAATATCTGTTTATGTGTTATAGATAGATAGATATCTGTGCTTTATGCATAAAAAGAAAAGGGTGTTTTTGCTCCCCTGGGGGTGATATCACCCCTGTTGAGGATGTATGGTCTAATCCAGTTGAGTTAGACAGGATCAAGGTCATACCCCAGAGACTCCCTCTCCTTCCTTTGTGCTGTAACACAAGTTATTTAAAGCCTTACTTTCTTTTTTTTTGTTGTTTTAGTTTCTATCTTTTATTATTTATCCACAATCAAAAACGTGATTAAATGTGCATATACCTATGTACTCATTAGCTATTAGCAGTAGGACACATTTGCAGATTTTTAGCTCCACACAGCTTATGTCAAATAAACTTCCTGTTTATTAAATATAGCAAGGACTCATGGATAAAGCCTTACTTTCTTTATCAGTAAAATAGGAGTGAAAGTAACACTCACCTCTAAAGGGGTTGTAAAGATTGACTATGTTAACCTGTATAATGTGAACGAATACCTCAGATACAAACTCAATCCCACTTAAAAAATTTTAGACACAAAATACCTTTTACATGCTATACAGTTTCCACATTTAGGCTGCTGAACAGAGAAGAGTTCTTAGGCAGTCTAGATCCCACCTAATTACAGTGTATAATGCTTTGTAACAGAAGTAACATATCCTATACACAGCTTCTGCCCAGACTGTTACATTTTTCTCCTTTCCCCTCTGCTTCAGAGGACTGTACTAGTTTACCAATAAAGGAATCTATTTGCTCACTCCTGCACTGAACTACTTACTAAAAAACATGTCTAATAAAGGCTTGGTAACATATTTTCAAGTGCTTATTCTTGGTGCCAAGATAAATGCCACTGAATATCTCCTTGGGTTCTAAATACCTACAGGATTTACAACAGAGTTACTGAGTTGCAAAACCAGCCATGGAGCCAAGTAGAAGAGAAGGCACCTGGGTCAAGAATCCGAAGCCCCCTGATCTGTCCCATGTGAAAAGTGTGAGGATAATCAAGATCTAGGACAGCGTGTGGACCCTTGTCGTATGGTCAATTAGCCAGACAGAGAAACTTTGATAGCCTTGGCTAACACGAGCCTGTTTTTCTTTACTACTACAGCCTTTAAAAATAACACTTGCTCTCTGAGCTAAGAGCAATTAGTCTACACAAAATAAATAAAAAAACAATATACAAAGCATTTCTCTTCAGACGCCTGTTAGCTTTCACTGTATTGACATTTATCACTTTCTTCTGTATTTGCATTTGCACATGGTGGATTCGTTCTTTTCTTTCCTACTTACTTCCAGCCTTAAATCAGTGAATGCCAGGTGCAACATTATTGCTTTTTCCCCAACTGCTGCCCATTATTGGTCCCATCCTCATAGTATGAGATTTTGACCCTAGAAGCCAGCTGGGCAGCTAACAAGAGTTTCTGTTTTAGGAAATTAATCTCACTAAACTGCACCCATCGGTGAAACAAAATTTTCAACTAAAGTGATGCAAAGTGGTTTCCCCTTTGATTTACTGATACATTATGCCTCCGCCCTCGGCACAGCCTCCAAAAGATAGAAATGGCACTCACCAAACAGTTGGATTGGTGTAAATGGTATAGTCTGAGAAAGCCTCATTAAATTGTTCCTTTCAATGGCTGCAAACAAAAACAAATTACCGTTTTAAGTGTGCATCGGTGAGTTGGATCCACAGCAAGCGTCCCCACATCTATCTATCTATATATAGATAGATAGATGTATATATATATTACATCTATATATATACACTAAAATATTTTATTTCAAAGACTCCTAATTTTTACTTTTATCAAAAATATTATCTATAATACAGTACTAAACTCTGCCTTAAACATGATATCCTCATTTTAGGAACAGATTATATGAGATTATACGACATGGTCTGAGGTCGGGCTATCACTTCCACCCTCCTGATACCAAATCACATACTAGTTCATACATATATGGAACTTTCCTTAAATGGCATTTTAATCTGTGGTCTTCATTCCCTGGTTTTCCTTTTCCAGGGGAAATCTAAGGCACAGTGGACTGTGGGGACATCTACTGTTGACTTTGCACAGTTCACCTTCTTTTCCCAGAGAGAGCTGAAGAGCAGTTTCAATTAGAAACAAGTGACCTGCATTTTCCTGCTAAGAGCCGTATCCCAACGGATCAGAATCCATATGAGTTATGGTGTTCCTCACCACAGAGTTTCTTAAATTGACAGCTGGAGTCAGAGTAATGGATTACAACTGAGCTGAAAGATCCAGTTTTAAGAGCCTGGAATGGGGAGTCTGGAATCCACTAAGACACTGTTTACTACAGAGGACAATTCAGGATGAGGCAGTCTATTACTGGACCCCAAATATAAGTTCTTTGATATAATAATAATGACAATTATCCCGCCATTAAACACGTATTCATGTACTGAGCTTTAGATTGTGTAAAAAGCTTGCCCGTGTATTATCCCATCCAATGCTGTAAGCAATGATGCCCAAAAGACCACTCAATGGCATGAGTCCCATTGGTTGTTAACATTGCTTTGCATTTCAGCATTTCCCTCTTAATTCTCAACTAGCCCCCTGGCACACTGTTCCTCAAGAAGGGCAAGTACAATGATTTCCACTTTGAAAGAAGGACAACTGAAGCACTGTGAAGCTATGTGCTTAAGAGTCAAGACCCTTTGACACCTTGTTTAATAACACCCTTGTAAGGTGTCTTTGTTGAGCTTACTCTGTGGGGTTGGCATTCATTAGTAATTACATTCACTAGGGCCCAGTGAGTGTACAAAACCCTCCCTTAAATAACTAGTCTCAGGCCTGTCTCTTCCGTAATCCAAAATTTGGAGATCTCTACCTTTGGGCTGGCTTTGAGCTCATAAGGAATTAGTCAATCTCAAGGTCATCTTTCCCCTTCACAATATGAGCTTACCAATACATTTTTTTTTAATCTAAATTCTCTTAAATCTTGTTTTCCCAAGTCAATGGCAAGGTAAGAAGTCTAAATGTTCTTCTCATCAGAACTAACAAGTTTTCAAGTTGGAAGCCATATTGATACTTATAAATTCATCAATGTTTCTGCTTACAAATGCAGAATCACAGATGTTTAGCTCAGTTGACATGTCTATGTGTACATGCATCCTACCTGAATAATGATGGTGAGGCTCTTGAGGGCTTTTTAAGGATGCTGAGATTTCTGAAATTATAGAGAAGATTGGCATTTTAATTACTTGGCTGGAGATAAATACATGCTTCTGAATATATTGCCTTCAGAGTTATTATTGAACAGGTTAATCAGAATGGCTTCTCAGTATTCGAAAAAGATTGCCTAATATTCTTTAACCACATTATTGTGCATGGTATCCTGACAGCTTCCAATCATCAATGCAATATCTCCAAACATATTTATATAGGGAATTGAAGAAAGACAGGTAATATTAGCCTCAAAGATCTATTTCCTCTGAACCAATTATACCTCTGGGTTGCAGAAGGCACTCAGCTGCCCATCACACTTCATGACATCCCAGAAGCACAATTCTCTGAGCTCCCTACCAAGATGCAGTACCCATATAAAGACATTATTAATATCAAGTTATTAGCAGACTACTTCACTGACCTAAAATGACAACAAAATGATGGAAACACATTAAGAGGTATATACCAGAAACAAAGGAGTGGGTGGAGAGCGTGACACCAAGGGATCTGCTTGGTTACAGAAGGGCTGTGTGCTGGGATCACCTCCTGCAAGCTTAACCGGCTCTCCATTATGTGCTCAAGTCCTAAATTACAAGGCTCCAGAGAAACCCTTTGCAACAGTTTTGCCATTTCATAAAATCTAAATTAAAGTGGAGAACTTCAGTCTCGTGGTGATAACTGCTTTATGCCTAGTAGAGTAAGCAGTATAATGAGCCCAATTTCATAGATCTCTCTGGCTTCTTGTTGCTGGCTAAAAAAGGAACAAAAATCCCTTCCTTTGGGGGGTGCCTGGTAAAAAGCAGGATCAGCAGAAAAGCCTCTTCCCTTCAGAGTTCGTTTAATAATAATAATAATAATAATAATAATAAAAGTACTCAACTCCCACTCTAGGTAATGCTTGTCATGACAGATGTGAATGTGTCTCCCACCCTAGAGAAAAGTAAATACAAAAATAGTGGGACAGCGAGACATGTAAACTAGAACCACGATACAGTTTGCTAAGTTATATAATAGAGTTGTAAACAAAAACTTAAGGAAGCTTCATAAACAAATAATGTGAAATATGTTAAAGAGTATGGGCATCTAAGTCAGATAGAGCTAAGTCTCAATTGTGGCTTTATCACTTAAGGGGCTAGGAGATCTTGTTTGCATTGATTCAATACATATTTATTGAATATCTACTATGTACCAGACACTGGTCTATGTTCAAGATAAATAACAGTAATGAACACAGATAAAGTCTCTGGCTACGTTCTAGTAACAGGAAATAGAAAATAAACAAAAAGTAAATATATAATGTATACAGTGTATTACATAAATGTCAGGGTAAGAAGCTTAGGAAGTATCGGGGATAGGGAGGTTGCTATTTTACATAGGGCGCTTAGGCAAGGCTCCTATGACCAGGTGAAATTTGAGCATAAACCTAAAGGAACAGAGGGGGAATCTCATATGGGTAAATGAAAAGCAGTCTGGCAGCAGTGACGGCAAGTGCAAATGGCCTGAGGGAGGACCTTACTGCTGTGTAAGGAGGAGAGGGGGCCAGCGTGGATTGTGCTGAGAGGCAATGAGGTTGGAGAGGTGGAGGAGGGGGAGCAGATCAATAGGCTCTTATATACTGTTTGGACTTTGCTTTTACAGAGTGACGTGAAACACCATTTGAACAAAAGAGTGGTTTGATTTGACTTGCAGTTTAGAAGCACCATTCTGGCTGTCTCTGGAAATAAAGAGCAATAGTTTGGAGGCCAGCCTGTAATCCAGGCAAGAGATGAAGAGTGGTATGTGGAGGCAGCAAAGTGATCAGATTCTTGATGTATCTTGGAGGACTTACTAATGGGTTAGACATGAAGACGTAAGAAAATGGGAAATAAATATGATTACAAGACTTTGGAGGACTTACAGCCAAAATGGAGGCATAGCTAGATACATTTTGACAACAACAAATTTAAAAACAAAAAAATAGCCATAGCTGCCAGAAAATTGAACTGTATGGAAGTCCAACAAACAAGGAGCTAAAGAAGAAACAGTCGTCCAGACCAGTAGGAGGGGTGGACCCAGGCAGCCGAGGCCGAGAGGCCCCACGACAAGGTGGAGGCTGGTGGACTGGGAGGTCCCACATTTGTGTGCGGATAAACCAGAAGGAACAGCTGGGGAGTGAGACAGATTGCTCAAACCAGGGTTCCAGTGAGGGAAAAGAAAGTCTCAAAACCTCTGGAAGTAAAAACCTGTGGGGTTGCAGCCGCGGCAGAAACTCCCAGCCTCACAGGAGAGTCCATTGAAGAGACCCTCAGGGTGCTAGAACATACACAAACCCACCCACCCAGGAATCAACACCAGAAGGGCCCAATTCGCTTGTGGGTAGCAGAGGAAGGGACTGAAAGCCAGCTGAGTGCCCTGCAAGTATTCCCTAAGACCACTCCCTGACATACAACTTCACAACACAGGGACCTGGGTTGCTCCACCCTGGCCAATACCTAAGGCTCTACCCCTCCCAACATAACAGCTACACTGAGACAAAGAAATATGGCCCAAATGAAGGAACAGATCAAAGCTCCAAAAATAGAACTAAGCAATGAATAGAGAGCCAACCTATCAGATGCACAGTTCAAAACACTGGTGATCTGGATGCTCACTGAAGTGGTTGAGTATGGTCACAAAATAGAGGGAAAAGTGAAGGCTACACAAAGTGAAATAAAGAAAAATATACAGGGAACCAACAGTAAAGTGAAGAAAACCAGGACTTAAATCAACAATTGGGAGCAGAAGGAAGAGATAAACATTCAACCAGAACAGAATGAAGAAACAAGAATTCAAAAAAATGAAGAGAACCTTAGGGAACCTCTGGGACAACTTTAAACATTCTAACATCCGAATCATAGAGGTGCCAGAAGGAGAAGAGGAAGAGCAAGAAACTGAAAACTTACCTGAAAAATTAATGGAGATCTTCCCCAGGGAAATAGACTTCCAGGAGATCCAGGAAGCTTAAAGAGTCCCAAAGAAGTTGGATCCAAGGAAGCATAATTAAGTTAGCCAAGATTAAAGATAAGGAGAGAATCTTAAAAACAGTGAGAAAAAAGGAGACAGTTACCTACAAAGGAGTTCCCATAAGACTGTCGGCTGATTTCTCAAAAGAAATCTTGCAGACAAGAAGGGGCTGGAAAGAAGTACTCAAAGTCATGAAAAGCAACAACCTACATCCAAGATTACTCTATCCAGAAAAGCTATCATTTAGAACGGAAGGGCAGATAAAGTGCTTCCCCGAGAATGTAAAGTTAAAGAAGTTCATCATCACCAAGCCCTTATTATATGAAATGTTAAAAGGACTTATCAGAAAAAGAAGATCAAAAACTATGAACAGTAAAATGACAACAAACTCACAACTATCAACAACTGAACCTAAAAACAAAAAAAAAAGCAAACACACACCAACTAAGCAAACAACTAGAACAGGAAGAGAATCATAGAAATGGCGATCAGAGGGGAGAGGGAGGGGGAAGAATGGCGGAAAGAGTATAGGGAATAAGCAGCATAAATAGTAGGTACAAAATAGGCAGGGGGAGGTTAAGAATAGTATAGGAAATGGAGAAGCCAAAGAACTTATATGTATGACGCATGGACATGAACTAAGAGGAGGCAGTGCAGGGTGGATGGGAATAAAGGGGAGGAAAAAATAAGACAACTGTAATAGCATAATCAATAACATATGTATTTTTAAAAAAAGACTTTGGCCTCAGCAACTGGATGGATGGAGTTGCCAGTTCCTCAGTAAAAGGAGAACAAAGGTGGAGAGTTTTGTCTGAAGTGCCTTCTAGACACCACGTGGAGGTGTTATTAGGTGGGTGGTCATTCTGCATGGCAGAAATATTGAATGAAAGGGCTCATGAATGTGAGCCTGGAAACATGGGCTGCGGCCCAGCTTTCAGGACCACTGAGAAAGACTAAATAATTTACAGCCTATCCTGTAGGTTAAGGGAAGCATTGAAGGTTTCCATATAAGTAATGATTTATCCTTCAGAAAGACAGTTCAGGAATGTGAAAAATTTTAAAGGGAGAGAAAACAACCACAATGCAAACAATATCAAGGGCAAAAGAAAGCATGCACTTTTTATTTAGGAGGTTTTATGGCAGGAGCAGTGGGGTACAGCACAAAAGACAGCTTCTAAAGGTCAGGGAGGAGGTAATGTAGAGTTAGAAGGCAAAGTGGATAGCTAGAGCACCAGTGTGGGAAGGGCACTGTAAATAGCTGATTTCCAGCTTGGGTGAAGGAAGACAAGGCTACCAGAGAGACCAAGACTCAGTCAACACAGAAGCAGAAGAACAGCCAGGAAAGAGTAGTCTCATGGAAACTTACAAAATGGATAAAATAGTCAACATCAAAAGCCACCAGTTTGATGAAGACTAAAAAGAGATCATGTGCCTTAGTGGTTAGAGTTGGAGTTTCAGTAGAATGGTGGGGACACCTTGGGCTGATGAGCAATTGTTCATATTGTTTCCATTAATTTTAAATTAATTTGGAGGGGATGTACAAGAGTGACAGTTAAAAAGCTGGGTAAAATGAGAAAATAGATTATTTTCTTCTTTTGTATTGAAAATGCCTTAAATTTGTTTGCAAGTAGAGGAGAAGGAATCGATTGGAAAGGGGGTACTGAAAACCCAATAAGAAGAGTGAAACAAGACCACAGAATAGAAAGGTATCCAATCTGTATCAAAGGGTCAAGACTATGGAAAAGGAGCTCATCGAGTATAGTGAAGTTTAAGAATCGCTAGTGAAAGTGGCCTTACCAGGAAGCTGTCTCACATGACTGAGCCCTACTTAGCCATTTGGGTCAGAGTCCTACTGAAAACATACAGGAAAAGGTATCCATATATAATCTTATGACTGGCTCTTAATGAGCAATATGTGAAAAAGTTACAGTAAGAGTGGTCAAACAGTCTAAATTAGCTCAGTGGTTATACTCTCACTCACAAAGAAAACTGGAAAATCATAGTCAAAACAGGTATAATTCAAAAGGTTTTAATAAACCAGACACCAGTCCTGATTTATCTGGAGAGAGGCATTCAACTTTCTAGTTTTCTACTGAACTTTCTACTTTGCATAATAGACAGAAGTCATAAAGAATTTCAAGAACTACAAAAATATCAACAGAAGAGTCAATCTTATTAATAAGACAAAAAAATAAAATGTTTAAATATAAAAACTTACTGCTGACTCCACTTGAACTTCTCAATCTGTTGAAAAATTAAAGTTGTTTAGATAATGTTTTCAATGATCAGAGAAAGGAAAAGTATGTGAAACAGTGACAATAGAGAGTCTATACATAGATATATGTATGTGTGTGCATATTTGATTGAAAAAAAAGTATCAGTCACCTTTGACCCCATCTTTATCAATAGAGAAATAGTTTCTAATTATTTTCATAGAAAAATGAGCAGCAGATATGCAAGTAATTCATTTACTAAGTTTTCCTAAGCTAACTGAAAAGCAGTTGTTGGTTTTTGTTTTTAATTAGCTATGTGATCACAAAACATATACAAGATTTAACTGTGCTTGTATTGTTCTGGATAAATTGAACTAAAGGGCTCCTGAACTATGCAAAGCAGATGCCTACAAATGAGTCTGTGAATGTCTCCAGACAAGCCTACAAATCAGTTTCATTAGCACACGTGAACCCTAAATGTTCACAGGCTGAAATTAGCTCTCTTTACATTGTTACTTGCCCTGCTCAAGTGCACAAGTGGCCACTGGCAAGTCTGACTAAATGCATTCAAAGAATTTCTCCAGTATTTAAGGTCCTTGGGGAAGAAAGTACAATTACAATTATTGTTTAATTTCATGCTGCAATAACCCACCGCTCTGCATGAGCACAAACTACTGAAGCTTGGGGAGAAGAAAGTCATGTGTGCTCTAAGTCCAGAGGCAGGCTTGCACGGAGAGACTTGATTAGGAGCTCCAGGAAAAAAGGTCATCTCTAATGGAGGTGACTGCAAACTGAAAGTCACATTCCACCTGCTTGATATCACTGGCCCTTTGTAAAAGAGATGGTTTTGAATTCTGCTCCTATGGATAGTTAATTTGATGATATAACTGGAGAAGTCCAGAAAACACTACAAACAAAATAAAATAATCTTTGCTTATTTTGTTTTAAGATATTATTTCTATAAATCAATAAAACTGCAGGCTATTCAAGTCTATAACCATGTGCGTTCTCTATCTCCTCTCCCTCTCCTCTCCCTTTCTTTCTTTCTATGTCTCCATACTTCTCAAGGAGTTACTGCCTTGACAAACACCTATGATATTAATGAGAAACCAAAAATTAAAAAATATCAACCTCATAAACAAAAAGAAAAAAAGTAAAACAATAATTATTTTTAAAACTAAAGAAAAAAATCAAATGCTTAGTCTCAGTTTTTTCTTTAAGCAAGACAGCTTCATTTCTACTCTTAAATGCAAATTTCACAATCTTATCAAAAAGAATGATATTCATTACTCCACATGTGCTTTGACATGAAAAGATAAAGGGTTAATTTGCCATAGTAGTACTTGCTTCACTATATTCTTAAAAGGAACTGAGATGAGATCTTATTGCCAGTAATAGGAAAACTTGGAGAATAAATGATTTTCATTTATTGCTAACAAAAAAAATATTATCATTGGACAAACACTATATTTTCTCCTTTTCTGATCAAATTAAACCTGTGTTCCCAGTCAGGTTAAACAAACAGAGAGAAGCCAAAGATGCTGAAGACAGACATTTAGAAATACTCACGGGGAGTTCCTATTAAGGTTGGTGCTCCAGGAATTCCACAAAGAGTTTTTCCTCAGACCCTGAGCAGAAGGGAAAGGTCATTATGTGTTCACCCAACATTCCACCACCCCAGCTTCCAGTAACATGTTTGCAAAACACACTCCTTGGAAAGTATAGCCCTTTTTTCCCCTTCCTGTAGCTCACTATTTCTCTTTTACTAAACATACTAAACTTAGGCTAGAAAGATGCATAACGTTAGCACAAAATCTGGGTAACTCAATCTGTTGACAGATTTTAGCAGAATAAAATTACTTTTATGGTGACAGCAAAGAGAGACTGTAATAGATAAAGGTTTTTACAGAAAGGAGAGAGAACATATAAAATGAGTTAATGACATGAAAGAAGAAATGAAGGTCACCGTTGACAGGAAACATCGGTCATTACATCGTATGTCCTATCATCAGCAGATTACTGTTTCAGTTGATTATTTAGAATAGTCTGACCATGAAATTATCTCATTCTATTTCCTATTTATAGTCAACTATTATTTCTTGAAACTTAGCACATTTCAAGCATTACTCTAGGCATTTTCATTGGTGTTATTTTTATTACTCACTATCAATAACCTCTTTAAGAATGCATTAGCCCCATTTTAGAGATAGAGCTACTGAAGCTCACAGGTTAATTGATGTGCATGTGCTTTGCAACCTATGAAGTGGCAGAGCCAGGATCTGACAGGGCAGACAGGTCCTTGCCTCCAATTACCTTCAAGCAATCTTACATTTTACTATCAAAACCTTTCACAGGTTACATTCCTACAAGAACATCTGAGGTCATTAGGATGCGTTCATTCAGGTAATGTGTATATAGTTCCTAAGTTCATAATGTTCAAACAAAACCAAAATTAGGTCTCTTGAGTTAGTCTAACTAAATCACACTTCAACAGGGGAAGTAAAGCCAGCTCATTTTTGTAGATGGTAAGAAAAAGACTGCAGAATAGGAGAGGCTCCCTGTTGGAGAAACACTGAAGGTCTTTTACCCTGTGATGCCCAAATCCCCTCCAACACATCTGCAAAGAGCTTCACTCAGCCTGTTGACTAACCACAGTAAGTGAGAAACTTAGTGCTTCCAGAAATAAACCATTCCATCCCTGGAAAGCTCCACTTGCTAAAACTTCCACCTCAAATTGGGCTGAAATCTGTCTCCCAGTCTCTTCTGTATGTTGATTCTAGCTGTACCGCTTAAAGGCGTATTGAAAATACTTTATTTTACTTCCAAGTGGCAGCTTTCATATATTTGAAAACAGTTTCAAAAATTCCTGAGTTCTTTCTCTTTCATGCTAAAAATGTGCAGGATAAATTATTGGGTAACTAGACAAACTGCATAAAGAAGAAAACAGAAAACATAAAGTATGGGGATGGGAGAAACGACTGAGCAAATATACAAAACAAAGATTTTAATGTAATACATAGAAGCCAATTAAGAGAAATAAAGCTAAAATGGACATAGGCAAGGAGTTATGCTGTATGCATGAGTGTCTATTTTACAAAGTATCAAATAAAATGTCTTTACCTCATGAGACTGCTTTAGATAATCACTGACTTGTACAGCATGCCGTTGGATTTCTTTAGTTTTCATTTTCTGATATATATTAGGTTCTAGGCCTTAAGAAGAAAAAAATTAGGGAATGCATCAAAATGTGTTGCACTCAAATCCAGTTCCCAAATAGAAAGATCTGTACACAGTGTAGTCACCTAAATTTTAAAATACTTTTTTTTTCACTTTTGATCAAGTTTTACCAAGATTCTTTTTTCCTTATTTTTCTCGAGCAGTTGAAAGCTATATATCCTATTTCTATTCTTCAATAGTTACCTTGACATTTATGACATTTATATTTCTCTATCAAAGTCAAGAATTAAATTATCCATACCTGTCCTCTTATAAACAACACCTTCTGTATATTTTTTACACTCACTTTCAATGCTTTATTTGAAATATGTGAAACTTTAGTTCCAAATTGTTGGGAATCCTCCCTTAACAACTCTATCAAGCATCATAGTGGGCTATATAAAATAAATAAATAAATGAAAATTTTTTAGAAATTTAAAGACAAAAAAATAGAAACAAAAGAATGAAATGCCAGCAAATTGATTAAATTTTTAGACTTTTTCTTTAAAAGGATGATGAGAATCATTACTGTTATTTTTTTTTAACACTTAGTACCTATAGAGTCACTGGCATATAGTGGTTGGGTTAATTCTGGGAATAGTACTTATTAGGAGTCCCTGATTAAACACAGGAGATAACAGTTGTATTTTTTCCCCCTAATGATTTTGTGCAGGGAGAAAAAAGTATACAAGAATTACAAAAATCCTATCAGAAAATTACAAAATTTCACATATGGTATTTGCTGTAATATTATAAAATTATGATAATATGGTTGCAATAATAGCAGAGTATTATAATTAAAATAAAATAACTATAGAAAAAGCTAAAAATATATTTTTCCTCTTCATTGTTAATTTCCTCAGAACTTTTACTTAAAGAGAGCTACCTGACAGGACATCTCTCCACCCTCAAACTTTTATTTATTTTAATTCTTTTTCAATTAACTCAACTTGGACAGGTTTCAAAAAAAATAAGATTCTCAACTCATGATATGCTTCAAGGAAGATATTGGGCCTCCTTGTCTCCTCAGATTAACCAGGCTCCTGGCCTATTTCCCTAGGTCTTCTCTCTCCTCTGATCATCAGACTTAATGAGATCCTTTTCCCAGACCCCTCCTGCCACCCCTATCTTTCTCTGTTTGAAATTCATAGGAAAGAACTTAAATAATTTTAGGGGGAGGAGAATGGGTGAAGGTGGTCAAGCAACACAAACTTCTAGTTATAAGGTAAATACTGGAGATTAAATGTATAACATGGTGACTATAGTTAACAATACTGTATTGTATACTGGAAATTTGCTAAGAGAGTAAATCTTAAAAGTTCTCATCACAAGAAAAAAATGTTGTAACTCTGTGGGGTGATAAATGTTAACTAAACTTGTTGTGGTATATATATATATATGTGTATATATATATATATATATATCTCAAATCATTATATTGCACACCTAAAACTAATACAATGTTACATGTCAATTATATCTCAATTTAAAAAGAATTTTAAAATGACATATAATTACCTAAATATCAGATAAGTTATTAAAATATGTAATGTATACATAATATAAACATACATTAATAAAATGAGTACATTTATAATTGGTCCTAGAATCATATCTTTAATATGATATTTGACTTATTTAAAATTATGGCCTCTGGTAAACTGTGTGATGTCAGTAAGGCAAGACAATTAAGTTCTCAAGCCATATTTATAAATTGAGGTTGTTCTGAATAATTTAATTTTGAATGTCTCTTTCCACTTAGAGCCCACTGGACTCTTGGTGGTTTAACAGTCACTTGAGTATTTTTTAAAATATAAATCAGGGTTTCTCAAGCTTGACAGTGGCATTTTTGGCTGGATGTTTCCTTGTTGGGGGTGGAGCTGCCCAAGCATTGCACAGTGTTTAGCAGCGTCCCCAGCCACTGCCCCTGGGTTCAAAACCACCAACCATAAAAGCAAGCCTACAGAAGCTTTAAAGAAGCATAACAACATAGCTTTCAATACACTGTCTATTTGTACTGTAAGTCTGATGTTTCAAATAATTTTAAATCTTCATGAGTCCTAAATCACACAGTCCCTTCTGTTTAAAAATTAGTGAATTATCTTGTTATCCAATTCAAGAAGTTCAAAGTTATCATTATTGTTCTCAATTCTGTTCATAGTCTTCCCTCATCTTAACAATCCAGGCTTATTTCACTTCCTTTGCCTAAATCATAGTCTTCATTCCTAGATAGCTGACCCATCTTCTATACTCTACACACACCATTATTATTAAGCTTAAGGGGTACTTGCCCACAGAATAAACATGATTTGTGAGCAGTAATAAATAGCCAGCTACAACTCAATCCACTGAACCCTTTTTAAGTGTCCATATTAATGTCACATGAACCTTAAGATTATAAAATTAGACACCCCCCCATAAATCAGACTAAATGAACACTGTGCCAGATTCAACAGCTCTTAATAAGAAGACTATCTATGGATTGGAAGAATTAATATCATCAAAATGTCCATACTACCCAAAACAATTTAGAGATTCAACGCAATCCCTATTAAAATACCAATGACGTATTTCACAGAAATGGAACAGACATTTCAAAAATTTATATGGAACCATAAACGACCCCGAATAGCCACAGCAACTTTGAGAAAGAAAAACAAAGTAGGAGGGAGCACAATACCGGACAGCAAACTATATTACAAAGCCACAATACTCAAAACAATCTGGTACTGGCACAAGAACAGACCCATAGACCAGTGGAACAGAATAGAAAGCCCAGAAATAAGCCCAGGTCTATAAGGGCAACAAATATTTGACAAAGGGGGCAGAAGCATAAAGTGGAGTAAAAATAGCCTCTTCAACAAATGCTGTTGGGAGAGCTAGACAGCTACATGCAAATAATTGAAATTGGATCATCAGCTGACACCATACATAAAAATAAACTCAAAATGGATAAAAGACTTAAATGTAAGTCGCAACACCATCAAAGTCCTAGAGGAGAACACTGGCAGGAAACTCTCAGATATCCCATACAGGAATTTTTTCACTGATGCGTCTCCTAAAGCAAGGGACATAAAGGAAAGAATAAACAAGCGGGAGCTCATCGAAATAAGAAGCTTCTGCATGGCTAAAGAAAACATCAGCAAAATGAAAAGGGAACCGACCCTATGGGAAAATATATTTGCTAATGATACATCAGATAGAGGTTTGATCTCCAAGATATACAAAGAACTCACTCGACTCCACTCCAAGAAGACAAATGATCCAATCAAAAAAATGGGCAAAGGACCTGGGCAGACTCTTATCCAAGGAAGAGATACAGAGGGCCCAGAGGCATTTGAAAGGATGCTCGGTATCACTAGCCATCAGAGAAATGCAGATCAAAACCACCATGAGGTACCACCTCACACCGGTCAGAATGGCCATCAGAAACAGATCAACAACAGGTGCTGGCGAGGCTGTGGAGAGAAGGGAACCCTAGTACACTGTTGGTGGGAATGCAGACTGGTCCAGCCATTGTGGAAAGCAGTGTGGAATTTCCTCCAAAAGCTGAAAATGGAACTGCCTTTTGATCCAGTGATTCCCCTGCTGGGACTATATCCTAAGAATCCCAAAATGCCAATTCAAAAGAACCTATGCACCCCAATGTTCATAGCAGCACAATTTACAATAGCCAAGTGTTGGAAGCAACCTAAATGCCCATCAGTAGACGATTGGATCAAAAAACTATGGTGCATTTACACAATGGAATACTACGCAGCAGAAAGAAAAAAAGAACTACTACACTTCGCGACAATATGGATGGAACTGGAGAGCATTATGCTAAGCGAAATAAGCCAGGGGATAAAAGATAAATATCATATGATCTCACCTATAAGCGGAACCTAACCAACAAAACAAAGATGCAAGGAAAATAAGATGAGCAACACTGAAAGAAAAAGAAACCAACAGAGACAAGAGGGAAGGAAGGTGGGGTAGGCAGGGGAAACGGAAGGGAAGAGGCAAGTCAAGGAACATACAGCAAGGACTCCTGGACAAAGGCAAAGGGGGAAGGATCGAGGGAGAAAGTGGGGAGGGGGCAGGGGAAAGTGGTGAGGGGAAGGCAGAGACAAATGTATTTGGAAAGATAAATTAATATTTTTTAAAAAGATATAATAATATTAGAGAAATTTGAAAACAAGGTAAAAATCCATAAGCCAACCACTTTGACAGTGTGACAACTATATTTTTATGTTCCCTTCCTGTTTCTACAAATCATGTAAGCACAAATATCTTTCCAGACTTTTTTCACCCAATACTTTATCACCAAAAAAAAAAAAAAGACTATCTAAATCTTACTTTTTCTTTTCTAGATTCTGACAACTATTTCATTAAACACATGGAAATTTTGTCCCTTACATAAAACTTTAAAAAAAAGAAAAAGGCTATTTTCTTAAAAGAGTGTTGCCACCTCTTCACTTCCTCATCTCCACCAGAAACAACTTCAGGGACCAACTGTGGTCTAAAGACCAGAGCTTGAGGAGGCCCTACCAGAGGTCTCAGGATCCAAGAATGCACACTGTTACATACTTAACTGACTAAATTTGGACACTGTCAGCCAGTTCTTGTTGCACCTCTCTTCTTCAGAGATGGTATTTTCTCCTGGCTCTGAATTCGGCTGGTCACTTTGAAAACAGGCATCGATTGTTATGACCTGGAGAGAAAGACACTTGTTGGAAAACAGTGACATTAATCTGAAAACACGGCCACGTTAGTAGAGGGACCGTGGTGAAGAGCACTGGTTGTTAACATTGGCTGCACATTAGAATAATAAGGAAGCTCTGAACTCCCATGACTCATGCTGACAGTTCGCAAACATCCATGCGACTTTTCTAATTGCGATCATGACTGAGAACCAGAGTGAGAAGATGAGCTCCTCAAATGTAGGTGTGTATAACCCAGGCCTGTGTTACACCACAGATCACTGAGTCCCACCCCGCTGGGTCTGTGATGCAATAGGTCTGCAGGGAGGGAAAATGTGAATCTCTAGTAAGTTTCCATGCTGACAGGAGACCACAACTTGAGAACCGGTAATATTGCGGGGGGGGGGGCGGGGACGGGGACAAAACACAAAGCTTGCATCCAAAAGAACTTGTGTTGAAATTTTAGCTCTGTCACTTAGAAGCTATAGGAACTTGAGCAAATTACTTAATGTCTATGAGCCCCATTCCCTTTATCATTAAAGTAATAGATAGCCAATAATAATGGTGCCCTATGTACTTCCCAGGGGCAGAGAAGAAATGGGGTAAATTGATAAGCCACAAAGCAATAAATAAATGCAAGTTATTAGTACTTGGACTCAGTCGCATTTCCTAGTTGAAATCTGGCCATTTTTTACTATTTCAAAAAAAATAAATCTACTTAAATTTATATTTTGTGGGATACAGCAACTCATGGCATCTTCCCCGAAACAACCTTCTTTAACAAGCTAAACCGCTTCCTCAAAAGGTGATTTCACATAATTTTCCCAATATTTATCTCTGTGCTTCTGCCACCCATTCTAAAAAGAGCTGAAATGCTTTTTCAAAATGCATCTGCCCTGACCAGTATGGATCATTTTGGGGGGCACCATCCTGCAAAGTAAATGATCACTGATTCAATTCCCTGTCAGGGCACATGCCTAGGTTGCAGGCTTGGTCCCGGTTGAGGCACATGCTTATGAGAGGCAGCCAATTGATCTTTCTCTCTCACATTGATGTTTTTCTCCCTTTCCTTCTCCCTCTGTTCTTTTCCAAGTAACTAAATATGCATTGAGATCACAGAGGTAGAAGTAAAGCATAAAGAGTAGTGTCAATAATACTGTAATAGCTATGTGTGGTGCCAGATGTGTACTGAATATATTGGGAGGAATGCTTTATGAAGTACATGATTGTCCAACCACTGTGCTGCACCTGAAACCAATAAAAAATAATATTGAATGTAAACTGTAATTGAAAAACAGAATTAAAAAATAAAAGTAGTAATACTAAAAATGCATCAAGATTATTATATGAAAAAATATATGTAGAACAGAAAAGTGAAGCAGGGCATTAAGATCATGAAAGATGAAGTCATAGAATAGCTAACTCAGATCTAAGGCTTCCTAACAACAAATAAAAATATTCACTAAATGAATATAAAAACATAATATATCAGAATTTATAGGATATAGCTAAAAATAATGATTACAGAGAATATCCTAGCACTAAATGTCTGTATTAGAAAAGAAAAAAGTCTCAAATCACTAACCAAAGTTTCTACCTGAACAAACTACAAAAAAGAGAAAAATTGAACCCAACATAAACAGAACACAGGAAATAATGAAGAGCAGAAATCAATGGCATAGAATACAGAGAAAAATTAATGAAACTTAAAGTTGATTCTTTGAAAAGATTAATAAAACAGATAAATTGTAGCCAAACTGATCATGAGACCAAAAAAACACAAACTTAAAAATATTAGGAATGAGTGAAGTGCTGTCACTAGAGATCCGACAGACAGTAAAAGGATAAGGGATGTGGGTAGATTCCTTGAAAGACACAAACAAAGCTCACTCAAGAAATATCAGTTAACCTGAATAGCCCCATATTGATTATGGAAATTGAATTTATAGTTCAAAACTTTCCCGCAAAGATGGTTTCATTGATTAATTATACTAAAGAATTAAGATTGAAATCATATCAATTCTATACAAACTCACTCAGAAAACTGAAGAAGGGAGAATACTTCCCAACTCAGTCAATGACCCCAGATCACCTGACACCAAAACCAGACAAACACATTACAAGAAAAGAGATCTAAAGACAAACTCCTCCAGAATACAGATGCAAAAAACTTTATCAAGATTTTAGCAAAAGGAATGTAAAAAAAAGAATATACCATGACCAAGTGGGGTTCATACCAGAAAGATTGATTTAATATTCTAACCATTAACTCTAACATTATAAAATTAATTAATATAATTCATTATATTAAAATAATAAAAGGGAAAAATCATCTGATCATATAAGTAGGTGCAGAAAAAGCATTTGACAAATGCCAACATCCATTAATAATAAAAAATTCTTAGAAAACTAGAAATAGAAGGGAAGTTGTTCAACCTGATAAAGGGCATCTACATAAAAACCCATAGCCAACATCATACTTCCTGGTAAAAGACTAACTGATTTTCTCCTAAGAGAAGAAGCAAGGAGAGAATATCTGCTTTTACCACTTCTACTCAGTATACAGGTTCCGGTGAGTGTAATCAGGCAATTAAAAAAAAAAAAAAAAAACCCAGATTTGAAAGGAAAAAGTGAAACTATCTTCATTTGTAGAAATCATAATCTTTTATATAGAAAATGCTAAAGAAGCAACAAAGACACTACTCAAAATAAGCTTATTTCTATATACCACGAACAAATAATCAGAAATTAAAATTTTTTAATAATTGCATTTAAAATAAAATAAAAATATTAAATACTTAAAGATATATTTTTAAAATCATGTACAAGACCTGTATACTGAAAACTGGAAAAGATCTAAATATATAGATATGTCATGCTCATAGATCAGAAAACTCACTGTTAAGATGCCAATTCTCCACAAATTGATTCATTGCAATTCTACTCACCCCAACAGACTTCTCTATAAAAACTGACAAGCCGATTCTAAATTTAAGTGAAAGTACAAAGAAACATAGCAGCTAAAACAACTTTGGAAAGGAAGAAAAAATTTAGCAGACCTATAATACATGATTTCAACACTTATTATAAAATAATGTTATATTTAGATAGTGTGACACTGCATAAATAGGCAAAAAATATATATAATAGAATAGAGCCCAGAAATAGATTCACATGTATTGTGGATCTACACAGTCAATTAAATTTTGGTCACTTAATTTCCAAAAATGTACAATAATTTTCTATTGTAACTGTGGACACCAAGAAAGAAGATGCCTACTATAAATTTCTGGTAGCTAACTGGGCTCAAATTTTAAAAACAGAGCCTCTCCACCATTTCTACATAGGGGCTTCTCACACACACTGCGCTTCAGGGAGAAGCCTGCTTTAAGCAACATGCCTCGTACACCAAACTACTTTCCTGCACTGTGCTCCTATCATCTGAGCCAGCCTTTATAAAAGAGTTCCTGGAATTGTATTTCAACCAATAGGACTAAAGTTTTCCCCATCCAATTGGATCTGCACAGCTATACACCCCATCAGCATCTTCACCAACCAATCAGAGCAGCTCTATTCTGACCAGTCAAAACAGTGCCTTTTGGAGCAATCAAGCTGTGAGAATTTAGAGTCCTCAATTGTGTGAGAACAGACCAATCAGAGACCAAAGGTAAGGACTTCGGTCTAAATAAGTCAGATCCCCACTGGCCCAGAGAACACACTTTCCAATTTCACCGAAAACTGAAGACTGTGCTTCCCCTGCTGAAGCTGAAATACCCAAGATACCTATCTTGCCAGAGCAAAGCAGAGCAGATCAACGCAAGAGCAGAGTGGACCAAACCAGACCAGGGCAGGTGCAGCAGAGCAGAGCTGTCTAGCCAGAAAGGAGCCTAACCCCAGGGCCTCCTCACAGTCATGCTGTTTCATAGCCACACTGCTTCAAAATTGAGTTGTTTGCACTAAACAATGTTTTCTTTTTCACTGCACCCAAATTCAGAATTCCTGTTGGCATCAAATTGATTCCAGCAACCATAGACTGACCTAACTCAACAGGAAAAAGATTATCTTTTTACCAAAAAAAAAAAAAAAAAGTAGAAAAATTTGTTATCTGTATTTAAGGAAGGAAGAAACCTCAAATGTTACCTATCACCATATACAAAAATTAACTCAAAATGGATGCTAGATCTAAATCTAAGAGCAAAAACTATAAAACTCCTAAAAGAAAATAAAAGAGAAACTTCGTGATCTTGGGTTTGGAAAAATTTCTTAAATAAGAAATGAAATTAAAAAGCGTAAACTATAAAAGAAAAATTGAACATTGGACTTCATCAAAATAAACATGTATATGCTTCAAAGAACATTTATAAAAGTAAAAGGCAAGATACCAACTGAGAAAATATTTTCAAACCATATATTCAACAGTGGGCTTTTATCTAAAATATAGTAAAACAAAAAATCTTTCAACTTAATAATAACAAAAGATTTGAGCAGACATGTCACCAAAAAAATAAATGGATAGCAAATAAGCACATGAAAAGAGACCTAGCAGCACCAGTTACTATGGAATACTGATCAAATCACGATTAGATACCACTACACATCCTCTGATATGGCTGAAATTGAAAGGCCTGAGTACACTAAGAACTGGCTAGGATGTGGATTGCTGGGCTGCTCATGAACTATTAATCAAACTGGTGGGAATATGAAATGATACAACCACTTCAGGAAGCAGTGCGGAAGTTTCTTCTAAAATTAAACAACTGCTTACCATGTGACTCCGACATTCTACTCCTAAATATTTACCAGAGGGAAACTGAAACATATATCCCCACAAAGATTTGTATCAAACATTCACAATAGCTTTGTTTGGAATAGCCAAAAACTGAAAATGAGACAAATGTCCTTCAACATGTGAGCTGATAAATGAATTGTGGCATATCCAATCTAATGACTCTTAAACTTATATTGTCACAATGTAATTTTGTGTGTGCGACACTTTCGAATAAAGAGAAAACAAGCTAAGATTGGCTACTACCTCAACTGCCAAAAACATAAGATACCTACTGGCACCTGTAGTCCTTGTGTTTTCTTCTTTTTCTTCAACGATCTCCTGTCCTTGGTTAGCATTTTTGCTTTGGTCCATGCTGACTGCCCTATCTCTGAAGATCTCGAAAGATCTGTAAGAAAAGTGGGTTCCATGAGAAAGTTTACAATGGCATGGGGAACTATTTTGTTTTACTGAAAGGATGAGAGAATGGGAAAAAATGAGAATACAGTCAAAAGTCATAGATTTTTTAAAAATAGCAATGCAAAGAATTTAATACCACATTTTAAAGTGTTTACTTCTTACTTTTAATCTTACAGATCTTCAATTTCTCCTCCTTGTGGAATCTCAAACTCTGACTCCTAATGAAGGGCCTGTCTCTGCGGAGAGAATTGATCCCAAAAGATGTGCTTGGCTGGAGCCCTGGTCCCACCTCCGAGCAATCACTACTCTGGGCCAAAGCTGCTGAGTTTTCAGAGAGGGACCTGCCCCAGAACTGCCTCCAGCATTGTCCATTCTCATTGGAGTTACTGTTACAAGTGGAGGCCAAGCAGGTTTGCCATTTTTTCTTGATGCTAAACACACCAGTTTCATCACCTTCTGAAAATGCCCAGTTCACATATCCACCTCCAGTTTGTATGCTCTCAGCTTGGGAAGGCAGGGAGGACACTTTCATGGGTACAGGTGTGCAAATCAACGTGTTTAGAACTTGCTCTCCCCTGTCTTGTCTGTCTGGCATTTCGACAATAGGCTCATGCTGCTCCTTGTGCTCAGCCACTGTACCCTGGGCTGAGATAGCTGGGGTCTGCCAAGTCAGATGAGCAGGGACTTCATTCTGGGTGATCGGTTCAGTTGCCTGCACACCTGTACCTGCATCCGCAGATGGCCTGGACAGAGGCAAGTCAGTTTCTGCAGAAAAAGGAACTTGCTTTAGATAAGAAGGGACCAGAAGAAATTGGCCATACTTTGGGTGCGTTTGCCTGTCAAGGCAAGAAGCAACTATACTATTTTCTGTTTCTTGCTCTTCCTGGTCATTTCTTACATTTGAAGTCTCGCTCTGACTGTCTGTCATCTCAACAAGGGGCCCCCTCTGCACTCTCGGGGGATGCCGGCCTCTGGCCAGGCTCCGCAGCAAAGAAGGAGGCATGCTATAATACTGCAATTTCTTCTCCCCAGACATCTCCAGGCTGCCTAGAACCTCTGCACAGATGACATTGCTCCAGGTGTGGGGAAGTTTTCTGCAAGTAGAAAGCTTTCTGTTGGCCCGGAGAGCCTCATCCTCTTGTAAGGTGTCAACAGCAGAAAGGACATTTAGGGCATCCACTGTTAGGGCAGAGAGGTCTTGCAGGTGTCCCACCTGGCTGTCCAAAGACAGTAAGGAGTCTTTTATAAAAGACACCTTTTCATTCATTTCTTTCAGTTGGAAGTACATCTCCGTAACCCTAATAGTGAAGGGAGGGAGAAAACCAATAAATACATTAAGCCAATGGGAATTTGCCTTATTCTCTTCCTGTCCTTCTTCTTCCATCCTTAAGTGGCTCCTCAGCCTAAGTTGCTTCCCCAAGTTAGGTATGTCTTCTGCCCATCTTCCGTCTCCAATATATACTTTTATTCCACTGCTATAATTCCCACTCTCACCTCAATGCAGAAAAACTATAAATCTACATTAGCCATTACTTCTAATATTTCAGAACCACATTTCCTGCTCCCCACTAGTTATCCCTCAAATCATCTCACCAATCAGCCCATTTGTTTTAACTTATATATTCATTAATTTACATAACAAACACTTGGATGTCTCCTATTGGCAAGCACTATGTTATCTTGGTAAGAAAAGGAGATCCTGAGGAAAAAAACCATAATGATAGGAACAGCATCAATAATCAAATATGCAATTAGAAAAAAGTATTTTATAGATCTTTAAAAAAATTCCAAGCCTACAGTTTAAAAAGGGTTCCCAAGTTTCAAAACAAAACCTAATTTAAGAGCTCTACATTCAAAGAAAACCTTAGGCAATTTTTTTAAAAATTACTTTGAGTAATTTAACCCAATATTATGATGTCAAGCCACTGATTCATGCATTAAAAAAAAAAAAGCACATCTTTGCTATACAAGTATAGAAGTAAATTGCAAGCGGAGTCAAATTAAATGTAACAATTGACTTCATTTAGAGAGGGAGAAAGAGAATATTGGTTAATATTTATCTGTAAATACCTCTGGATGGGGATGGGTTTGGTTTTGTGTCTGCCAAGAGATATGTTGAAGTCCTAACCCCACAGTGCACCCAGAACGTGACCTTATTTGGAAAAATGGGGTCTTTACAGAGGTAATCAACTTAAATGAGGTCATTAGGGTAGGCCCTAAGCCAATATAACTGGTGTCCTTATGAAAGGGGGAAATTTGGATACAGAGGGAAGATGATCTAAAGTTACACAGGGAGAAGATGGCCCTATGACTGGAATGATGCATCTATAAAACCAAGGAACACCTAGGATTTACAACAAACACTAGAAACTAGAAGAGGTAAGGAAGAATTCTCCCCTAAAGCCATCAGAAAAAGGGTGGCCCTGCTGACATCTTGATTTTGGGCTTTTAATCTCCAGACCTGTGAGACAGTAAATTTCTTTTCTCATAAGACCCCCAGGTTGTTATGGCAACCTTAGGAAACTAATACAGTTGTCCAAGCTTAATAATGAATAGAATAAATTACAAAATATATCATATTTGGTTGCATAAAAACAAACTCATACACATAAAAACATAATACGAAATTTTAGAACAGAAAAATTAGTCAGAAATTATTCTAACAGATATGATGAGGTGCTTGTGTCCCTTATTAAATCAAAAACTTTTAGAAATTTCAGTGAAAAAAATTACAAAGACTCCAAAGGACATGAACAGACAATTCACAAAATATAAAATACAAAAGATAAGGAAACATGGTAAAATATTCAACCTCACTGAGTAAGAAGACAGGGCTGCAACACTGGAGCATTCAACTAGGCAACACATATAAAGGAATTCACTATGGAAAAGGACACATATATTCCTTCTATTATGAGAAAAACTAGTATGAAAACATTAAAAATCAAATATTGTTGATAATAATTTCCTTTTGCTATTTCAAATGGTAAGGGTGGGGATGTAGATATTTGTTATGTGTTGAATTATATATTTTTAAATGTGGTATAAAAACTCTGTAAGTAGAAAAACAATAAAAGTCAAAAATGTGTTTACAAAGAATGTTTAGTTATTTGAAGAAGTGTTTTTGATGTATAAGGCGAAAGGGGGGACAAAATACAAACCTGTATATTTTAACTATATAGAAAATATATACAAAAATATATAGAAGACTAAATGGAAAAAAGACCAAAATTTTCACAGTGGACTCTGGCTTATGACATTGTTCTTCCTTTTTTCCCTTGTTTTATTCCTTTACTTGGAGGAGGGTCTAAACTTTCCAGTTTCTCAATAATAAAAACCTTTGAGAAACAGGGGAATAAAGTAACAAAGAGCAAGAGAGGAAATCCAACCTAGAGTTTCATGGCTGATATGACCATATGCACAAATTAAAATTGATCCCCAGTCTTATTTGGGAACTGGGAGAAGTGGTGATCACACCATAAAGAGCTGTAGCAAGCACTTCCCAAAACAGCGCTAGACAGCCCCTCTCTTGAGACCCCTCAAGTCACCTGGTTGAGAAATCTTCCATTTCTTCTTTCTGGGAGCTTTTCACACAGGAATTAAATAATAAAGAGGGTGGTATTTTCCATTTTTATTACAGTCTATGTGGGTGGAACCTTCTCTTTCTTGTGTCTGCTATAGAACTCAACTTCTATAACTCAATAGAGGCTTAATAAATGCTTCCTGACCTTCTGGAACCTGCAAAACTAGGATTAGCAAGGCTGATTAAGGAAAGAGCACAAAATCTATGTATATTCCCTTCCAGATATGCTTAATTAGAGCTGCTCCATCCAGTGCACTGTTTCATCTAATTCAAAAACAGTACAGTCTGAGCAGCAGTAATGGAGACTCATTAAGTTCCATTAGCAGCAGTCACATCGAATGGACACAATAGGAGCCAGCAACTATTCACAGCAACAGGTAACATGTTATAATAGAGACCCGTTAGACAAATAACCTGGTCATCCTCAAATCGGGTCCTCTTGCTTTTATAGGCACTTATTTTCTAAAGCATTATGTTCTGTAAAACATATTTTAATTATATTCCTCAACCGCAAACTACATTAATCCATCCTTTCAGTCATTCTGACATGTAAAACACATTCTTATCATTTTAGTTTCCCCTGCGCAAGGTTTGAAGGTGCAAGGAAGACAAGGACAGTTATTGTTTTATTGTGGGCCTTTGGACAAGATTTTTTCAAATGAGATTATAACAAGTATAATTATAATCATCATGACAATTATAATATTCACTGAGTGGTCACTATGTGCCACGCATTTTACAAAGTCTCTACATTATTATTTTATTTAACCCTCATGCCAGCCCTATGAGGTAGGCATTACTATTATCCCCTTCATGAAAAGAGGGGAGGTCACATGGCCAGTCACAAGACCGGTGACAAGAAGGGATCAGACCCAGGCGGTCCAACTCCACATTCAATGGCATTAACCGCTGTGCTCCAGCACTTCTCAGCAGCTCATCTGGGCAAAGTTCTTTTGGGGAGTCGGAGAGTCCCAGGATGGGCTAAATGAATCACACCAACATTTCCTGTGCCGGGGGGCATTTGGCTACAGATGTTCCTCACGAAGGTTTCACAGCCAAATAACGACAGACCTGCTCAAACTATAACTCTCTACTGAGTCACGATGCACTTTATATTAAAGTGCTTGAACGTTCTAAAAAATGTAGCATATCCCAGGTACTATGTACCCAGACAGGCTTGATAGGGAGAAATACCTAAAAAACATCTTATCCTACAGAATAGAAAGGGAAAGGCTGACTTACACTATGAGGTCAAAGAGCATCCAGCATCCCAAAATAGAGAAAGTAAGATATAAACCAGCCTTAATATGTTTGCCTTCTCCATTTTCACAGCTCACTTAATTCTATAAAATGATACAGGCAAACATGCAAATATCCTCCTCCTTCCCTTTCCCTCCCTCTTCGAATGATTGTCCAGTTACCTGAGAAAAGTATCCTTCCCTTCCTCCCACACCTCATTTGTGAGCTCCCAAAAATGACCTCAACGAAAACAATCATGTACAAACAGGGCTGGTAAAATAGTTCGATCGCAAGGGAACATGGATTGATTATGTTTTGAAGTTTAATTAGAGCTTCATAATTAAATTCTAGAGCCTTTCAAAGCACCTAGAGTATTTTCCAGAAGCTGCATTTCCGTCTACCTTCTAATCTTTCTCTATTCAATCCCAAGAAAAAAAATTCAAGAGAAATATAACAGTATTTGATGATTCACAGTGTTAGGTTGTGGATGATGATGATTAATTGATTTGCTTGTTAATACATGTCTTGTTCTCAAGTTTTCACTCTGGCTTCCCTTGACTCATAATGCTGCCTTCTCCTAGTTTTCCTTACACTCCCCTGATCAGTCCGGTTTAGACCGCTCCATGAGTCTTCTCAGGGTCCGTTGACACCTTTCAGCGTTGGTCCCTCAGCCCACTGAGTTTCCTTACTCCCGGGCATAATCACTTCCTCTGTCATAGTTTCATTTTCTTACAATAAGCAGATTTCTTACAATAAGTTATCCCTCCCAAATCTCCTCCTCCAGTTCACACATTGTCCCAGGGCTTCGCATTCATACATAGAAAGACCCCCCAGGCATCTCTGTTGAAATGTGCCACAGGAATCTGAGGCTCCCCAGACCTAAGCCTCGTTTCTTCCTGCCCGTTCCCAGGCCTTGTGTACATTCCTTATCTTGGTGCCACCACCTTGCACCTAATTATCCCAGCCGGGGATCTGAGAGTCATCCTGGACTCCAGCCTCTCCCTCAGGTCCACATCCAATCCCTGACTCACTTCATGAATTGTCCTTTCTAACTAGGTCTTTACTCATCACCCCCTGCCACGGTCTGAATGCCTCATTGTGCCCCCCTACATTTCTTGTGTTGAAATCCTCACCTTAAAGGTGATGGCATTAGGAGGTAGGGCCTTTGGGGTGATTAGGTCATGACGGTGGAACACTCATGAATGGGAGGGATTACTGCTCTTATTAAAAAGACCCCGCAGAGGTCCCCTTCCACCATGTGAGGACGCAATGAGAAGCTGACAACCCAACAGAGGTGCTGCCCAACCAAGCTGGCCCTGATCTCAGATTTTCAGCCTCCAGGACTGTGAGCAACAACTTTCTCCTGCTTCTAAGCCACCCATCCTGTGGTATTTCTTTACAGCCACCCAAAAGGACTAGAAAACCCTCTTTTCCATCCCAGCACCACTAATTCAGCTAGTCCTTGGGACTCACCCATCTGCTGCATAAGCCTCTCATGTGGCCTCCCTAGTTCCAATTCTGACCCCTCAAGTCCAACCTGTAACTGAAGGAATCTGCCTAGAAAGTAAATCTGCAAAACTGACCACCTAAAATCTTTCCTCAGTTTATAGTGTAAAGTAAGGGGCTCTCCATGACCTTGTTCATCATTTTAGGGAGCAGGGATTATCTTGATTCCATCTTATCTCTTTTATTTACTCCCTTTATATTTGTTAAAAATCATACTGAAAATTCTGGGTGCCTATTTTTACATACTAATAGATAACTTGCACAGCACCCTTACTATCCATCCCGACTCTGCCACGTAGCTCATCTGTATCCTCTCATGTAACCCTCACAACTCTAAGAGGAAGGTCTGTTTTCATATCCATTCTACAGGTAAGAAAACAAAGGCCCAGCGTGAATTCACTCAAGTACATGCAGCTAGTTACGTGGCAAAAACTGGACTTGGTCCCAGCTCTGGAAACCCCTATCTGTTTCATACAAAACTGACAATCAGGTTGGTCGGCAGAACCATCGCTGCAAAGGAGGCAGAATGTGCGTAAGACGGAGAGGGAAAGGGACACTCACAGAGCTCTGGCCTAAAGATACTGTTTAAGTAAAACAGAATTTCATGGATTCGCATCTTATTTGATAGTCAGTTTTTTCTCAATATTAAATTTTGTTCTGAAATTCAATCAGCTGCCTAGACACATGTTTACATAAACATGGTATCAAAAGAAAAGTCCAGAAATATAACATGCCCACATTAAACCATTTAGAAAGTCCTAAATTGTGATTCAGTTACGATTAAAACTATGCGTAAGGATTCACTACCCAACTATTTGACACCAGAGAAATACATACATAATTGGTAATCACACATTTTGCAGTCAGAAGGAACACATTTCGCTTCTGTCGATTTGCTTCCAGTTACAAGAGCAGTTCTGTGTTATTTCAAAAATGCACATCAGCTCATGCCGTCCTCCATATTTTAACACAACACCTTGTCCCCACCATCAGTAGTACATCCACAATAGCTTTGACCCTATTACAGTTGCTGAATACGTTCCCTCTCTCCAACACATCCTCTCCTCGAACTCCTGCGTGGCCTCCCTGCACCATCCCCTCAAGTCCTGCATGCCCACCGGCTCTCTCAGCTGATGACTCCGCTGTGAGATCTGTGTCCCTAACCCTCACTGCACCGCCTATATAGCCTCTCCGGGCCACCTGCTCCATGAGCCCCCTTCTGAGGACTACACTTTAGCCAATTACCTCTCCCTCCTCCAGCTCCTGCAGCTTCTCCTTTGCAGGTGGATCATTTCCAAGATGATCCACATTTCTGTTGTTATCACCACATGAAACAAAACAAAACAAAACAATACCTTACTGTGTCCCATATCCCTCCTTGCTTCCCCTTACAGGAGAACTTCTCATAAAAGCCGTCTGCCTTTGCTATCTCCACTTCTCTTCACCCTTCACCCACTTCAGCCAACAACTCCACTGCACAACTAACTGCTGGTCAGGCGCCCTGAGACCTTTAGGACTCCCGATGCAACCAGCGTGGTACACTGGACCTCCTCCAGGCCTGCCTGCAGCTCCTGGACACCACTGCTGCCTCAGGCACCTGCAGGTGCTGCTCCTTCGGCCAGGTGCACCATGCCACTCCTGCCGCACCCACCTCCCTCAGGTGTCTCCCCCTCAGGCGTTTCCCCCTCAGGCAGCTCGGAGTGACCTGCCTGCACCAGGCGACCCACAACTGTCCTTTCCAACCCCCAGCTCTGACAGATCCTCACCATCATCGTTTTCCATTCCTTTTTACTACTTTATTTTTCTTCATTGCTCTTCTTCTGACAGACAATAAATTATATATTTCTTTTATGTGTTTCCTGGTTTATTTTTTCTCCTCCATCCCCCTCACTCCTCCACATGTACATGCTAGACTCGATGTCCGAAAAAGGCAGGGACTCTCGTCTCTCATTCACCATTTACCTCCGGTCACTCGAAGATAGCCGGGAGCATAGTAGACGTTCAATAAACACGCATGAATTATATAAATATTATATACTATTAAAGAACATTCTAGAGAGCCCAAACCTCTGGGTTTTGAAAATAGATCTTTGTACTTTTTTAGACATTCTAGTAGAATCAGGTTTGGGTAGTACTTTGGGGATGGGAAATATGTACACCTTTTACCTTTCTGATGTCACTCGGATTTGTTCCTCCCAACTACAATTCAGACCTTCCATCTTTTCATGAAAGTATTTTTCTACACACTGTTCTTCAAAATCGTGAAGCTTTTTCAGATCCTCCTTACTCAGGTAGAGTTCTGTGGAAATAAGTATGTCACATAAAAAGAATGAATAGGAAACTGATACAGTGTATAAGTGGTGTTTTTCCACGTGTTCTGAAATTTGATGAACTGGGTTTTGTATGATAAAATTTTGCTGCCTTGTCCGGTTGTGTTCCATGGAGAGGCAGTATGACAGGAAGAATTGGAAACATCAGTCTGGGTCTTTTCTGTTTGTCTATTAACAGGCATTGAAATTTTAAGATGACTCATGTGGATAAGATGACTCAACATGGAAAAGACACTTCCTCTTCAACATTTTAATAGGCTAGAATGTTTTTACACATCAACAAAAGTTCAGTGTAGAGTTGACCCTTGAATAACATTGGAGGTTAAAGGAGGCAACTCATGCTCAGTCGGAAATCCATATATAACTTTTGACTCCCCCAAAACGGATTGTCTTTTCTTCCCTGCCAAATGTTTTATCAATCAAAGTGACAATAAATAAACTATAGGTTAAAATCAAAGCTAGAAATCAAAGTCTTTTGAAATTAATTTGGTAAGTGTAAGAAAGCTTTACCTTGTTACATTGAGTTTGTATGTCCTACATTCTATTGAAAAAAAGATACACTAATACCAGTCGATCGTCATCTGAGGCCATCCACTTTCCCTGACAAAACTGTAATTAAACTCATTAAAAAGCCACATGGTTTGGTGATGCATTCTATGTCAAACTTCAGCAGTCACTCAGTCTACTAACTTGGCTCTCACTCTGACCTACCCAGAAAATACATCTCTTGAGCAATTTCCCAATACTTGGAAAATATGAAAATTGTGTTACAAAAAGGGTAAAAAAAGGAGGAAGGTTCTCTTCCTTCAAAACTTTCACTTAAACTGCGGGAGGGAGGGGAACCACTAGAGTTCTCCAAAACTTATTAAAAGTGAAAGTGTCCCATTATTTTCCCATGAAATAAGAGACAAAAATATTAATTTTAAATTGAAAAACATGGCTACAAGAAAACAATATTCAAGTGCATAATGTTTCCTGAATCTTTCAAATACCAACAAAAATCCAGTATCTCCCCAACTCTTAATATCTGTTTTCATTAAAGAATCTCTTATGAACAAGAAGTTTTACAATTGTCATGATATGAACTTCCTGTGGATTCCTGAGAGCGCACAATCCACAGAGCAATTCCACTGACGGGTGCCGCTGATAGCATGGGGTGCATTCTTGGGACTTGCCGCCAGGTGGCACTGCTGCCCCATATGCAAACGTCCTGATCCTCGACAGCGAAGAGTGAAAGCAATCTCACAAAAATTCAAGAATTTTCCAGAACTTGAAGTGAATAGAAAATTTACCAGAATCATCATAAAAGCCCAGACCCAGGGGAGCCCAGGAAACATTTTTTGGTATGGTGCTAGAAAGTCCGGCCAAATCCTAGTTAATTCTCGGATCTCTCAAGTGGCTCACAATCCATTAGGTTCAATGGTTCTGCAGCCAATGACTACATGGAGCTCTAGTAAAAGCCTAAGAATGACAGTATAATTATAAGCGTTTACATTAACTTCATTTGTTCTTTGGCTTCCTTACAAAGACTGAATCTCCTGTGGAGGAAGAAATGAAAAAGAAAGAAATCTCCAGCACGACTCAAGGAGAAAAATACTTCATACAACTAACTCCCAGGAACAAAAGCATCATCACCTGCCAACCTTGCAGTAGCCCCTGGCGCCCGAAGGGCTCACTGAAGCGTCTAAGTACTCCACACCCCTCACCTGAAACTCCTGGAGCCAGGTGTGCTGTAGAATTCAGATTTTTTTTTTCCATTTTTAGAAAAGTAAAAGAGTTATATGCTATAAATGAAATAAAACTGGTAGCTGGGGCTGGGGCAGTCCCAGTAATCAAACACATGACTATTTTTGCAGCAAAACTGATGAATGCTCACACTACATGGAGTAAAGGAATAAGTGGGTCCATATTAACTAGTCTTATAAGCCTCTTCTACCCAAATGAGCCTTCCCACAGCTTATGAAGAAAAAATGACTTCCCATTTTCAGAGGTACTTTGGACACAGAATTTGGGAAAAAGGATTGTGGATTTATGCCACCTATTTCCTCTATGTCTAGAAATTATCTAGAAATGGGCCTGGTATCAGTTGTGGGATTGCTCGAGAGGTACCACAGAAGACCTATAAGATTGCAATTAGTAAAGTTCTCTTATGACAATTAGTATGACGGTCATATCATGCAGTCAAGATATAGCTAAGCAAAATAAACTAGGAAAATCTCAAAATATATAGACTTAAGCTTGGGGCGGGGGGAGAGAGCGAGAGAGAGAGAGAGAGAGAAAGCCACTGTTCTGCATTCTGAGCTGAAGTTCTTAAAGATGTGAAACATCCATTCAGAATCACCTCCATGCTCCATAGTTTAGAGAACAAGAGAACCATAACTGGTTAATAAGTTAAGCACAAGGTCTTGCATATCTATTTTCCTTAGACCATGAATTTCCAGGTCAGCAGAGGAAAACACAGGTATTCAGGAGACATAAAGCCTTCACACACTCAGAGATTCTGTTCCTACCTATTCCTTTCTTTCAAAGTATCAATTACTCTTGGCAAAAGGTACTATGACCACACAATGATAATGTTTTAATATTTACTTACACCCAGCTCCTCAGCTGACACTCCCAGAGCCTTCCATCCTGTGCCCTGAATTTCACTGACAATGCTCTGCTGTGTCTTCACCTTGGATCTCCACTCTTTACTCTCTTCCCCCTGTCCCATCAATAAAAACTTACTTAATCCAACATCACCCTCTTCTTGGTCACTTGGAGCTCGATGATGGCAGAGACGGCGAAGGAGGAGGCCAGCGTGGCTCAGCAGGATAAAAGGTGGGGGCAGCCATGGTTTCTCGTGGTAGGTCATGATGTAGCGATAGCGATTGTATTTCCACAGCTTATTGGAAATGGATTTCATATCTACATAAACGTTACTATAATTTGTAATAAGAGAGGAACAATGTCTTAATATGGAACCCTGAAATATTTTTTTTCCAAATTTTATGATTAATCCACTTGACATTATCAGCCATTAGCCAATAAATAGCCATTGCACTTCTAATTTTACTTCCACCAAACAAAATACATTAATCACTTTCTACAATAAAATATGCTAATAAGAATAATAAATAAAAGGTAGAAATTACAATAAAAGAGAAGAAAATGCTAACATTTTAAATGCAATGCACAGAAACTGCTCAGTGGGACTTAACATTCTCCTTGGTTTACCATCTCTTCTCACATAACCTCTTTTCAGTCCATAATTCATCATTCATGGTAAATAGCTTTAATGTTCCTCTCTGTCATCAACTTTATGAAGAGATTCGCCTAATGTCAAATATGAGAACTGCTAGCACAACTCTAGTTAAAACACCCAAACAAAACAATATTAATGAAGACGACACAGGGAAAAAGAATCAACTCATTCTAAAATAAATTAATAATTGCAGCTTCCATTTAGAAACTACATATATTATTTAGGTGAACTTTACAATAAAAGTAACTGCTCATTGATAGGCCACCTTGGATTTTATTTGCTTTAATTAAATCAATTATAATATGCAGCTAGTGCAATAAATATCCTGATATTACAAAAAAAATAATTTTAAGATTTTATTTATTTACTCTTAGAGAGAGAGGAAGAAAGGGAAAAAGAGAAGGAGAGAAACATCAATATGTGAGAGACACATCAATTGATCACTCGGTTGCCTCTCCCACACCCCAAACTGGGAACCTGGCCAGTAACCCAGGCACTTGCCCTGACCAGGAATCGAAGCAGTAACCCACTGGACCTTCAGTTCGCAGGGTGCTGCTCAACCCACTAAGCCACACCAATGAGGGCCTGATGTTACAAAACTTTTGATGGAAGTTGTGGTGGGTGGTACAATTATTCACTTATCCTAAAACAACATAGTATCCTTAACTACTTAGCTTTAAGTCTATAGCATGGTGAGGCTGTAGCACAATGGAATGTCCATCTTAAAATTTCATTTAGGCCAATATAAAATTGAGTCTCCAGAGAAATATGACAGAGAATTACTTGAGTAGGGCAGCCAAATTTATCAAATAAAAGTATAGGCAACTTTAAATGAGAAATAATAAAGAAAAGGAACCAAGACGATCCTGGAAAAGGTCAGTTTAGTATAAGAGGAAGGGGTACATTTCACTCAGTCCATAAAGTAGATGAAGGAAACAGACAACTGGGTTTTAACAGTGGTTCTCAAAGTGTGGTCACTGAACCATAAGCAACAGCATCACCCAAAAACTTGTCAGAAATGCATATTCTTGGGCCCTATCCCAGAACTATTGAATTAGAAACTCTAGAGGTGGACATTATAGTCATTTGTCTCTCAGTAAGGCCTCCAGGTGATTACCTACAAGTCTGAGAACCACCAGGTTACATACCACTGCCAGCCCAAGTGTGACTACAGGCTGCCCACCAGCGGGCGAAGACATTCAGAGTGAATTTCAGCTTCCTGGTAATTATGAGCATAAAGAATCTGCAAAGCACCCCAGGACAAGTAGTCAGATCTTGGCCTTCTCAGCTCGTTTGGTCCTTAATGTGTTCATCTCTAAAGTGAGGAAACTGGCCTAGGTGAGGATTTCTCAACCTCTCTTGGCACCTGATGATTTTTTAAGATACAAAAAATCTCATGCCTTTCTCTTAATATTACTTGAGATTTCAAAAAATAACTATAATAAACACCAATAAATTTTAAAGTTCATAAAATGTGGGAGCAAAATGTGATAATAGCTACCATATAATCTTGTAAAAAAGCAAGAAGGTAGGTCCTTCCCATTACATGCAAGTCATTTTCTCGGTATTCTGATTTATTTTGCCTCCCTCCAGGCTTTATCTTCTCTACTTTCTTTATTTAGACTCCATGCATTGATTTCCCTTTTCTTATTTTATCAGTGCTTGCGATAAATTCATAAGGGAGGGGACACACAAAAAACTTGTCCTTGAGGAGCTTATATTCCAGTAGAGAAGCCAGATATGCAGAAGAATACAATATGTAAATTATAAAATATATTGTTATATATAAGTGAATATAAAGAAAGAAGAGTAAGGAGGACCAGGCATGCCAAGGAGATAACTGAAGGAGAAAGGGCTTCACTTGTAAATATCATTTGAGCAAAGGTTTGAAGAGGACGAGAGAGTGAACCACACTGATATCTGGGAAGAGCATTCCAAACAGAGGAAATAGCAAATGCAGACACACCTGTGTCACTTGAAAAACTGTGAGAGGCTAGTGTGCTTTGAGAGAAACTAATTAGGGGAGGAGTGGAGCAATGTGTGATTTGAGAGATGAAAGGGAAACCAAATCACATGGGGCCCCCCCAGGTCATGGTAGGAACTTCCAACTTCTACCAGGAGGGAGATAGGGAACCACTGAAGAGTCTAGAGCAGAGGAGTGACATCATCGGACGTATGTTTGCAAAGGGTCATTGTGTTGATGACAGAATATATGACCAAAGACAGAGCAGAGAAGTAAATTGGGAGGCTCTGTGGGAGCAGTGAGGTGGTGAAGGGCAGCTGGATTGGTGATCTATTTGAAGGCAGAATCAACAGGCATTCCCGATGGTTTGGAATTAGAAGTACTGGAGGCATTAAGGATGAATCCAAGGGTTTTGGTTTGATCAAGTGAAAAAATGGAACTTTGACAAACACTCATGGTCTCTGTCACAGATTTGGGGAAGACTACAAGTAAAATAAGTACACGTTGGGAAAGAGTGGAGATCAAGAATTTGAACATTCAAAATTTTAGAAATCTATCATACATCTGACTGGCGATGGAAGGAGGCAGTTGGATCTACAGGACTGAAGTTTAAGGGGAAACAATGGGGCTAGAGATATAAATTAGGATTTGTCAGCATAGAAAGGAAACTGACCGAGATCACCAAGCAAAGCGTAAACAAAAGACAAGCAAGGTCTGGGCCCAAGGACATTCCAATGTTAAAAGGTTAAAGAGAAGATGATCCAACATAGGAGACTGAGAATAAGTGAAGGAGTGATATGAAATAAAAGACAAAATGAGCTTGAGGGAACCAAGTGAACAAAGGGTATCAAGTACTCCTTAGCAACTTTCAACCTCATCAACTGTTATTTTGCCATGATTCCAATTATTACTTAATTACAATGCATGATTTCCTTTCATTCTGCTTTCATTATACTTTCTATTTATTGTTTTTCTCTTCTCATGCTAACAGTAGTTTCATGCCCATATTTTAAACCATAATAAAATATGGAACACACAAAAACCAAAGATTATGTGCTCAAAATAGATGTGAACTTACTCAAAATACCTGTCTCCATTTTTATTGCAACAAAATAACCACATTTAATTAAAGTAACCTACTTGAAGAAAGCGATTAACAGGTTCACCATGATGATATATTGCACGAAAAGGTAGACGGCTTGGAGAAATGGAGTAAGAAAAGAACCAGGAGGGCAGGATGGCTGGCTTGAACAAACTACAAAACAAAAAACAAAAAAAACTCCAGAATTTACAAGAATGAGATAAGATGAATCACAGTCCTGTGATAATAAGCAAATAGCACATTAACTCAACAGAATACCATAAATTTTTGCTGCTTTTAAGATTCAGATCATTATTTTCCCAATTTTTATTTTAGTATCTACAAAAGTTCAATTTCTGCTGTTGATGAAATCTCCTACGCACCATCTATTTCTGATGCGTAGACTTCTCCATACATCATCCAGTATGGCTCAAATACAATATCTCGAGCAAGACCCCAAGACGCAGTCTCCTTTGGCGAAAGGATGGCCTTGCGTGCCACCCCAAAGCTCAGCAGGACTATGGCCATTATGATCACAATGTAGAACATGTTTGCTGTCTGCAAAATAGTACAGCATAACAAGAATTTTACCACAGATTTGAAACGTAAAACAATACTAGCAACCGTCATAATTATACCTGCCAATAATAGGACTGTCTAGTCATTGACCCAAATGCCCTGGTCCCCGCATAGCTGCATTTCTTTGGACTAAATTATTTTGTTTTCCCTACACACTCTGTGTTTCACTTCAATGTGGTCTATGGAATAACGTAAATATTCTAACAATAGAGAATCTGTGCTTCTTTTTCTAAGAAGTAATGAAATGTGAACAGCTTGTGAATAGCTAATATCCAACTTTTCATCAATTGAACCAGAGGTTAGAAAAAGAAAAAAAAAATAGGGATACTTAAATCTGTAATATGGTTCTTTATCCCCACAATTATCTTCAAGAATTGATTGGAATCTGAGAAATGGATCAGGCAAAGAATCTGCTGAAGAACTCAAGCTACTGAACACCCTGATAAAGTAGAGATCACCAAAGAAACCAAAAAATAAGAAAGAAAGAAAAAAATTCAGAAAGCAGCTATGAAAAGATGTTTGTTAAATCCAGTGGTTCCTAACTTCCAAACCCTTAGTCTTTGTATTCAGAGTAAGGCTTGTTTTGTAATGTACCATAGAGGACAGCTTACAGAATACAGAACTTTGTGTTATAATTTTAAAGATCTTTTACATGATTGACTCACTTCACTTACTAAATATACATCAGCTCAACCCACGTGTTCACCGTGGCAGAGACAATTACTCCATGAGTATTCTAAGCTTCTGTACATTTCTCATCTCTTAGCCTTCCTTCCATGGAGCTGGGGTCATGTGACCTATTCTGGCCAGTGGGCTATGGAATGAGTGACCTGAGTCAATTCCTGCCCAGAGCAGTTAAAATCCATTAGATTTTCTCCATCCCACTCATTCCTTGTCACAGGAGACCTCAGAAGCCATAGGCTGACATCACTATGTTACAGGATGAGAAGATTCTGGATCCCTGAGTTACTGGGTAGAGGACAGCCCCCCATGAGCCTCCACCAAACTTTGCATTAAGGAAAAGCAAACTTAAACTATTGAATGCGAATCATAAAAGTAGGCAGATGCTTTAAAAAGAACACCAGAATACACAAGCAGGCTGTACTCACCATTTTGGCAATCATGGTCACATAAGGACCTGCGTGTTGATTCACAGCAAGGAAGTCGAGGAGCCGTGAGAACCAGAATATGATGTCAATGCAGTATATAAGTCTCCCTGCTGTGTGCAGAGGAGCATCACCCCACCGAAGGCTGAAACCAACCAAAAACAGGCCAGTAGCCACCGTTTCCATGAGGTTCCAGTATTCACTAATCCATACCTTTACTTTCTGAGTAAACTTTTCAGGTTCTGAACTACAGACCTAAAAGAAGAAAGGAAGGGGGAAACTTACAGAAGGAGGTATAATTTTAGTCTCATCAGTATCATCTTCTTTAATATAACAACTGCTTAATTTAAAGACTAATTTGAAGCTTGCCAAATAGTAGGAGATTTTGGAGACTTAAGTTATCTTTGGGTAATTATTTAAACAATTCTATAAAAATATTTTAATGTCACTATTAGTGTGAGCCAGATATTTGAAACCCCAAACAGAAGGTTTTTCATTAAAGAAGTTTTTTCTAGCTCTGACTAATCCTAAACTAACACAGGGAAACACCAAGACATTTTAAAACTTAATATTGCAATGGATCTACGAGGTCTGTCCAGAAGGTATTCAGCCATGTACTATGAAAAATATAAACATTTAGTGAAAAAGATACAAGAAACATTGTACATAAGACAATGAAGCCTCAGTCCCCTTCGAAGTATGCACCTTGGAACCTCACGCAGTTCTCCCAATCACCATTGGCTACCCTGTCACATTTTCCTGAATTTCACCAGTGGTCTGAAATCTCTTCCCTTTCAAAGGTGATTTTAGTTTTGGGAAAAGCCAGAAGTCATAGGGGGGCTGAATCGCCTGGGTGATTTGATGCTTTACCAAAAGACTCTGCACGAGATGTGATGTATGAGCAGGCACGTTGTCAGGGTGAAGCTGTCAATCACCAGTCGCCCATAGCTTCAGACTTCTGAATTGTCTGAACAGTTTCCCCGGAGGAATGTTCAAGCTTAATGCAAAATTTGATGCAGATTCATTGCTCTACTCACACAGTCATTTTGAATGTGACAGCCACACAGTACATATGCTCACTCAATGGTGTCTACTGCCCCCACTGACTAGTACAGTGAAGTTGTCATTGTTCACTCATACACATTCCAGTCCACTCTCCTTGGTTGCCAGGTTACATAAATGTCATGCAAACGATTCTCATTATATTAAAAATGGCTGGACTTTTTCTGGACAGACCTCATATATAGCTATCATTTTACTTCATAAGGTATAGCTAAGTACATAAAGACTGGTTTGAAGCCAAAGAATTCCATAATCTGGTCACATCAGCTCTAGGAGAAAATAATGTGTGCAAATGTGTGCATAGGCATTGATATCTAAAACAGGGTAAGTCATAGCTGGATGTGACTACATTGTAACTGCATGGGAATATTTTTTAAGTGATTCATTGCAAAGGAAAAAAAAAAATGTTGTCTTGTTTTGTTCCTTGGACTACTTGCCCCAGAGGGATTTTCAGCTTCAATTTTCAAAGGTATTTAGCAGAATCTTTCAAAAGCTATAAACAAACTCTTTACCTGTTGTACAACTTTGACCACTTATTTGCCATTCTGAGGTGAACTGATAACATACAAGTAATGCTAGGCTATGAAGATCAATCTTACTTAAAAAAAACATTTCCAGGAAATCAAAAAGTTGGAGGGTCTAATAAAAATTAGATAGCATCACTTCAGGACTCATAAACACACTAAGATGTCCTTGAAGACAGCTGCTTTCAAAGAGTAGCAACCAAAAGAAAGTATTTGGCAAGGATAAAGGATTACAATCAGAGATTTTCTCCTCGGTGCCCTTCCTGCAGCACACAAATCAGAGTCAGCATTGTCCGTCTCACCCTCACCCCGGACCTGTCCGTTTTCACCACCAGAGACCGGAACACCTCTAGACAGATGTGCAGAAGACAAACGGAGAAGGGGTAGCTCACCTCTCTGACTTTCTCAATGGCATTGGTGAAGATGTAAATGATAACGAGCCACTCTTGCACGCTGGGCTGCGGCTCCATCTCCACCAACACAGTGTAAGTGAAGAGCATGAGGAATGCCAAATACATCATCTGTGAGGGGGACACACATTCCCTGGACATGAGTGATGGTCATAATGGAGGAGGCCAAGCACACAAGGACCAAGGTGAAGAGAAATACACATGTGAACTTCAACAAGATAACATGAAAACATGACAGAGACGGCCCTCTGATTATTGGTTTACCTAATATCAAGGAAAACACAGGAATCTGGTTTTCTATTCTAGGATTGAATAGCAAGAGTGAAAATCACTGTTTTCAAATGTATGGGAAGGGGACACGATCTTGTCCTGACCAGAATTTCTGGAATGCTGCACATTCCAGAATGGGCATTTTCAAACTAACAGCAAGCCAAGAGAGAATCATACACCTTCCCCCGCATTTAAACATGAAAAACGCGTGTGTGCCAAGCTCACCAAATGAGTAGCATCAATAGGTGCCTGTATTCAAATATAATAAATCATGGCATTTACTGCTGCTGGGAGTTTTATTTTTATGTTGATTAAAACATTCTGGTTAGTGGGAAAGTATTGTCCAGCTTTAAATACACTAAAGACTGTTGATGTTCTTATCTCAGCACTTGGCCTGACACACGATTGACATTCAAGAATATGTTTAATTACTACCTGGGTATATTAAACATAAGTTTTCAAACTCTTCAAAGAATTAAAACACAGTAAATACACAATACATATGTACATAGTGTTAAGAGCCCTGTTATTTCTTCTAACATTTTTATCTTCTTAAGGTATATTCCCAGAAGTAAAATAGCTGAGCACACACATTTAAAACTGTGACACATATTACTAAAGTGCCCGCCAGAAAGGCTTTACCAATTTCCATGATCGCCAACAATGCATGAGTTGGTGCAGCCCTTTAAATAGCTTCAGAGACAATATGCAATGCTAGCTGATCAACCCTTGTATTAAAAATCCCAGATCAGTAGAGAGAAAAATGGGTGGGTGTGAAGATGTCTGTTTATCTCACAAGAATCATATTATTTTTAACTTGGATCCATATTTCTCACTTTTTTTTTTTTGAGCTCTACCTAGGTCTTATCAGTCTTCTAAGTTTAGTTCTACATAGAGAATGGCTGAAACCACTTCTGAAAATACTGCCTATCAGTGAAAGAGCTGTAGAAGAAAAGCATATAAGAAAGTTAAGGTACAGTCTATTAATTCTGTACTTCCCTAGGTCCATGTCTCAGTGTCTGAGTATATTGGACAACCTCTTAGGGACATAAGCTAATAAGTCTGTTCTACCAGGCAGTCATGTTTTACATTTTTGTCACTGTTTCATGGTGACCAGACACTAAAACACTAAAACACTGTTGAGACTGATGGTATTACTTCTAAAAAAAAAAAAAACCTGAAAATGTTTACATTTTTGCTCTTTCATCACAATATTTATAATAAGACACTGTTTCCATAAAGCACACCTGCCATAACCTAGCACTGTGACAGCCAAGACTAAAATGCCTGTGTTCACCATCTGTTATGGTGGGCAGATCTGGCTGGCTTATTTGTTGTTTTTGTTAGCAATTGTTGTTGTTCTATTTGTTTAGCTTTGCTCGTGTCTCTAAGAGTTCATAAGTTGTACATTTCTAAGGAAAGAAATACGTGAATATTCTTTTCCCAATGATGTGATTATGGTTAAAATTCTCTCAGAGCTACTATCAGAGTCTCTGGAATATTTTATTACATATTCATAAAATGGTGAAATAATATTTGAAAGGAGATTTGACTTCTGAAAACAGATGAAAGTCATTCAGAGCTATGTACTTATTCGATAAGTATACAAAATTAGTGTGTAGCTGAGCAAGCAAATATTTTGAAATATAACACATTCAAATAAATATCATTTTACAGTGACAGTTCAAATGTTTTTAAAAACATAAAATCTTGCCCTGGCCAGGTAGCTTAGTTGGTTGGAGCATCATCCTATACACCAAAAGGCTGCATGTTTGATCCTGGGTCAGGGCACATAAATAGGTCACAGGTTTGACAGGGAGCCAACCCATCGATGTTTCTCCCTCACATCCATGTCTCTCTCCCTCTGTCCCTTCTTCCCTCCTTCTCTCTAAAATCAATAAACATATCCTTGGGTGAGGGTCATATAAAAATAATAAAATAAAATAAAAAATAAAAAATCTTAGCCATGAGCAATTTAAGTATAAATAAGCATTAAAAAAATAATGCTATTCAATAAAAGTGAAAAGCACTCAATACATTTCAAGTACAGTTCATACTTTCTCTGTATCTCTACTACCCAAAGCAGGTCTGGTATTTGTTCATATAATTAAACTCCTACAATTTTATTGTGCTCTATATATTTATAAACATGTCTTGAAAACAAAAATAAAACTTGCCTTTTTAATCTGTAGTACACATTATTCCTACAAAGAAAAAAACTGACTAAACTGCTTTTTTGCCCAAGAGAAAAAAAAAAAGAACCCATCCCATCACTTAATTATATAAGCACTGTTGTTAATTTTATTGTGCCACAAAGCTTCAAATGCTCAGTCTCAGCTTGCTAACGGAAAGCACTCAAGGAAGAGAAAAATCCTTTTTCTTTCACTCCTAAAGTTGGGGAGATCTGTTCTAACCTTTACTCACCTCCCTCCAGGCTTCCTTCCTACCTTTTTAGCCATTCCCCCCATCTTTTTAACTGCAATTCTATATTTTATCAGAAGTTGGCAAATCAGGCATATCATTATCAATGTTATCATTAGCTATTAACAATCATAAAGCCAACAATGAAACCAACCGTATAAAACCAAAATTTGACAATTGGAGCACTGTAGAATTCATAGACTTTCCGGGTCAGTGGAAGGATTTGAGGACCACTCTTTAAAGCAAAGTGCTGATTTTCATCTAGTTTCTCATCAGGGCCCCTTTCCGTATCACAGACTTTCTGTAAAATAAACAATTTATTGTCAGGGGCTTAACTAAAATATCAACATATGCAAATACTCCAAAATATTATAAGCATATAATATATTAGAAATTAATTGGGTACCCTCCTGCCAAATTATAATCTTACTTTTTAAAGGGAAAAAAACTACATGTATTATATAAGTCTTTGACAAGATAAGGAGCACAGAGTATTCCTGAAATGCAAGCTGAGTCTCTAATAATCAAACCTACTCACACTAAGGGTATTACCAAAGATTTTTAAATTGTCCCTGTTCCTGTTCTTTTTAATCTCCTTCATCAGTATTTGGAACCTAAGGATTTCATAAAATCCCCATGAAATCAATAACCAATAATATAATTATCTGCATAATATAGGAGAACAAAATGGACACATTGATAGTGCATCTCTTCCAATTTGTAGGGAAGTTGAGCACAGCGTTAGTTTTAGGATTCTGACTTTGAGAGCTTCTCCTCTCATTTATACCAGAGGTTGTTCACCTGAAGTTCATGGACTCTGGGCTTCTGAAGTTCCTTAAACGTCCTATAACCATATGCAAGTATTTATGTTGTACATGCATTTTTCTAGGGAAAGCATCAAATCTTTCATCATTTTCTCAAAAATTATGTGTCAGCCCAAAGGGATTAACCCTTGCAGATGACAAGCAATGAGTATCTATGTGGCAGAGAAGTGGTTGCATGAATGTGACTACACAGGTGCCCACAGAGAACAGAGTTTGGAAATACGGGGGAAAGACATGCAAATACCATGGTGGTTACCAGAGGGAAGGGGGTAGGGGGTTAGTAAAGGGTAAAAGAGGTCAATTATATGGTAATGGAAGATGATCTGACTTTGGGTGGTGGGCACATAATGCAATATACAGATCATGCATCACAGAAATGTATGCCTGAAATCTATATGACCCTATGAACCAATGCCACCCCAATACATTTAATTTTTTAAAAAGTCAGACAAACAACAAAATAGGTCATGTCCCTTAATAACACAGAATCAAGTAAGTTTATCTGGGTAATAACTATATTATCAAATCTCTACCGATACTTTACAATATGTATACAAAATCATTCCAAGTACAAATAGAATAAATATCTGCTAAGAAGAAAGAAGAGAAAAGAAAAAAGCTCCTATAGCCTGGGTGCTTTTAAGAGGAAACTTAGAATCGTGAAAAAGAAGGCAACAAGATTTCACCCTGTTTTATAGGGTTTTGTGTGGTTTTTTAAGCAGGAAATGCATTACTTTTGTGATTTTTTAAATTAAATAAAAAGAAAGAAGTGTTCCCGTACCAGTACATTTCTTCAACCCATCCACCAAAGCTCTCTCTGAAGTGTCAGACCCTGAAGACTTTTCAAGCCAAGGAATAAATCAAGTTTTGCTTGTTGTCCATATAATTGTAGGAAAATGCAATTTTTGAGGCCTCAAGCATCTAGATGGGATGCAATTTTTGAGGCTTCAAGCATCTAGATGGGTTACATCAGTGCCTGATGTAAATGGCATTCACATCACTTCAGGAAGCAGAGGTGGGGTTGTGACTTAGAAGCGTAGGAACGGACCTGGTTCCTGACAGGTTTGAACCAGCCCTCAGTTAAAACAGCTTAGAATGCATTACAAAGTCATCATTTATTATGATTTTAATTACACAAGTACCATTGCAGAAAGACCCCAGAAAGCAATTTAAGTAATGACCTTGCTATTAAATAATCTCCCTTACTATTTTTTAAAGGTTTATTTTATTCTCATTCAAGAGAGAAGGGAAGGGAGAGAGAGGGAGAAACAGCCATGTGAGAGAGAAACACGGATCAGCTGCCCCCTGCGTGCACCTCAGCTGGGGATGGAGCTGGCGACACAGGCATGTGCCCTGACCCGGAATCAAACCGGTGTCCTTTAGGTTACAGGAAGACACTCCAACCAACTGAGCCATGCTGGCCAGGGCTCCCTTACTATTTTTTCTAATAGTGTTTCATTAGGTCTTTAATTACTCTTGGCATTTTGGTATAGATTATGAAGTATTAATTGATCCTAAATGAGTTGAATTCAAAGACATCAGCCCCCATGATAAACATGGGAATATAAATTTAATTCCAGACTTTTTTCCTCTAAGAATCAGGTAAACGAAAATATTTTTCTTAGCTTTTATTCTACTCAAATTTCAATATCTCTCCCTCTCCCCTTCCCTCCCTCCCTCTGTCCTCCTCTTTTTCTCTCTCAAACAGGAATCTGATACCAGCAGGCAGATGGAATAAAATTATAACTACAACAATCAGCTCTACTACAATTCATGTCTGTTTTCCACTGTATTACAATCACCATTTCCACTTAATGGTGCTCTGATAAAAATAAATTATGCAACTTTTTAAAATACTTTTATTGTGATTTAGCATATGTCTAAGACTAAGCTCATCTCTCCCCCTTGAAACCTGCTCTTTTTCCAGTCATCCTTGTGTTCCTTTAAGGACAGTCTCGTTTTAACCATCAACATCTCAATCATATTTGCTATCTCCTTCTTGCCCATGTCCCATAGTCAAGCCCTATTTGACTCATGTAAAATCTTTTCTTCTCCATGCCCATTGGATAAAACCCTTATTACTTCTCCCGTGGATGGTTGCACTAGCCTATTCTCTCCTGTCGGTCTTCTTGCTACATCATCCTATACATTGGAGGCAGAATAATTGTCCTACTTTTCAGATCACCTTATTTCTCTGGTCATATAGATTCACTGGCTCACCATTACCTACAGAATAAATATTCCTTCATAGGATATGCAAGAGTCTCCAGGATCTAGCCTCACTCTTTTTCCCAGCCATTCCTATGAATATTCCCTCCTTGTTCCATGTCCACCATAACCTGGCTCTAACCATGCCATACAACTTAGGATGCTTCATAGACACCTGGCATTTCCTGCCTCTGGGCCCCTACTTACTATCTTCCTTCCCACTGAAATGCTCTTTTCCCTTTCGATAACCTCAAGTCACAGTTCAACGGCCACCTCAATCTTGAAACAGTCTCCCATCCCTAATCCTCACCTAGTGACCTCCAGTGAAAAGGTTCCTCTTCTTCCCCTAGTTAATCCATTCTGCTATCTTGCTGTACTTTTTTCCTAAGAAAGCTCACATCACCAAAAATCATGCTTTCAAGAGGTTAGCAACTAGAAAGATTTTATTTTCTCATGGCAAAGTTATTTTGTCTATGGAACTATCAGGCTTAGGCAAGGAAGAAAGGGACAGAGGGAGGATGGGGGGAGGGAGGGAGGGAGGGAAGGGAGGGAAGGCATTCTCAGCTCAAACAGGCATGACAGTCAAAATATTTAACTGATCTGGCTAAGACATTAACTAATCACAAATTTATAAGTAACTGTTTTCCATGGAATACCTATCTATTATTTTTTAATATTATAACAAACACCACATAAGTAAAAAAGCATGTCAGACCAAGATGCTAGCTAAAGATGCCTGATTCAAGTATTAAGTACCAGAGATGTTTATACCGCCTCACAGGAAATGATAATCTTATAAGCAATGATACAAATTGAGATACAAAAATAAATATATACCCACAGACAGCATATTGAAGCCTCTCCAGTGAAAATGGGTGGAAAGAGAAGTAGTTGAAGTTACCCATGAAAGAGTATACACCTGGGAACTCAAGCAAAACTACTTGGTCAAAGAATATAAAAAAATGGGGGAAAAAATTGAAGTAGAACAGTAAAGACCAATGAAAAGTCTAAACTGCATCTTTACAATTCAAGATTTTTAAGGATGTGAGGCATTCTTCATTGTAGTTTTAGAGGAATATTCTGCTAGTCACAAAGAAATATGAAAAGTTAAGCAGCTGTAAAGATATAATAGTCTGTGATTTGTGCTGTGAGGCACAAAAAGGATATTTTGCTTAATCATACATGGGAACTAATTAGATTTATCATACATGCTATATTTGATCATTCTATAATGTGATTACAATTGTCAAATACATTGACTTTGTGTGTGTGCATTTGTGTCACAGTCAAGACTCGGTCGACTACGATGTTGCACTGACCGTACTAGCGTTTTCTTTGGTGCTGCCGGGGTTTTGGTCATCATTATACCACGTGAACTGGAAGTCCTGGGATTGGGGAACATGCGACATCTCCGCTTTGCTTTTAAATTCCAATGTCAAAATGGTGGGAGGTAAAAGAATACTTATGATGATCTTTAAAAGAAAACAAAGCCAAATACATAGCAGGGGTTAAACAAGGTTCAGCATTATTCAAATAACAAAATTAACATTTTAGTGCATACAAAATGTCAGACTCATCACCAATTCAATTGATACTGATTCTGTACATACTTTTAACTCAATGATTCCCATTCTAGAAGCAGCTCCCTCAGAAATACTCATAAACACAAGCCTATATGGATAGGGATGTTTGTTGCAGGGTTATTTGTAATAGGGGGGAAATGGTGTCAACATAAATGTACACATATAAAGGAATAACTGGTGTGGGACAATCTAACAGTGAAATACTATACGACCATTACAAAAACAAAAGCATCCTGGCTGCATAGCTCAGTTGGTTAGAGCATAGTCCTGATTCACCAAGGTTGTGGGTTCAATCCTCAGGCAGGGCACATACAAGAAGCAACCAATGAATGCATAAATGAGTGGAACAACAAATTGATCTTTCTTTCTCCCTCTCTTTCTCCCACCTCTCTCTCTCTCTCTCTCTCAAATCAATATATAAAAATTTTTTAAAAGACAAAAGCAATTTTGTGTATGATGAAAAGTTATCCAAGTTAGATTAAGTGAAAAAAAGCAAGTAATGGGAAAATATAGCATGACACCATTTTTTTAAAAAAAAAAAGTAAAGAAAAATATATATGCATATACATATGTACATTTTAAAGTTTTAAAATATATAGGTAATAATCCCCCCCCCCCATCCATGGTTTTACTTTCCATGGTTGTAGTTATCCACAGTCAACACGGTCCAAAAATATTAAATGGAAAATCCCAGAAATAAACAATTTATAAGTTTTAAATCGCACACTACTTGAGGTAGCAGACTGAAGTCTCACAGTATCCCACTCTGTCCCCCAGGGACATGACTCATCCCTTAGTCCACACACAGGAACTACGCAGAATAATTTATGATTGACTTTTCTCTTATTTTTGAAATAGGATTAGTGGGATTAAAATGCACAAGCTCCTTTACATATTTTATATATTATATCTTTTATTCTTTGTGTTTTCTATAGTGCATTCACCAAAAATAAAATAGCCATTTTACTTGGGAAACACTGTATTTTTAATAACTCTAAAAAGAATAAAATTTAAAAAATAAAAGTTTTATGGAGTTCTTAAAGATCACACTTTATCCCTTTTTTTCCAAGTTTCATAAGCACATGCCCTTCTTAAGCTTAACCACAGCCTAAAGCTGTAGGCTGAGGTTTAATGTCATAAGTTTAATGCCATTAGTAGTTAACTAAATTACTCTTGATAATTCAAGATGAGAGGTGAGGCTAAACTGTAATGGAAAAGAAGAATTTGGAGACAGAGGTGTAAACAATTGCATTTGAGAGCAACTTTATAAATCAGCAATTTATTCCCTGAAACATGACCTTGAATGAACAGAATAATAGAAATGGCTAATTTTATTTAGTTTATTATCAGTATTCTTAAAATGAGCAAAATTTCACTTAAAAAAATCTCATTTACTTCTGTTATAATTATCAGAGACAAGTATACTACTAACAAAATTTTGCATGTTTTTAACATCTTCTAGCAACCTTCGTGAGTATGCCTTTGTGATACTTTTCACAAAGGGCTGGCACAATTATCTCACTTTGTGAAAGAAGCTGTGGCAATAGGAGATAAAGTAGTTGTCGGGTCCCACTGGGAAGCTCCCAGCTCATCTGTGAGAATCAAAGATGTTCATTGCTTTTCTGAAAATACTCTCTGGAACAAGGGAAAAATGAACTCAAGAGTACAGGCCTTCAGACTAAACTAATAGTAAACTCTATAGAGCAAGTCAAGTACCTTTAACCAAGAGTTTTTCCTCATTTTCAGGCGCCCCACCCACATGTCCGTCAGCAGCATTTGGGTACAAGTATGTGACACAAAAGGCCGCAACCCTCCAGACACGGCCAGTTTCAAACAGGTAGAATTGCTCCAGTTCTTGAGTTCATAGGTCAGCAGCTTCATGGCCATTCTCTCATTCTGCTTGAATGCCTTTTCCAGCACGTCCAGGGCAAGCTGGCCAAACTGTCTGTAATGACCAAGTGGTGAGCAGTGAAAACAAATGCAGGTGAGAGCCCCGGAAACATTCTCAAAGATTACACATGAGACTCAGAAAAAGACTGACGCAAAAGAGCAAACAGCAACTTAATAATCGTGGTTCGCAGAAGCTACTTTAGAGGAATCGTTGCTCAGGAAATGAATTGTTGTCCCTTTCCCGAAGGAATGAAGGAAGGCTTACTTACACTGTGGCATGTGGAATTCGGTTTACACCAGGAATGCCTGAGCTATGCCTGGGGAGAAGCCACTTCACACCACAAAACTGGCTCTGTATAGCTTGTTTTGGAGCTCCCTAATATTGACCTCCTACAGAATTTTTTACAGAAAATACTGTTCTGACTCAAGGAAATTAAGGAAAACTGTGTAACTACTTTTTTTTTAAGATTTTAAAAAGTACATAGATGACTTAAGGAGGAAGGCAGGCCTGGAGATATTTTCTGGAGTTTTCTGGGAGGTTGTTTTCTCTAAAAAATAGATGCTGTCATTCTCTGGAAGTTTTTAAACCAAAACTATAAATTTGTTTCTATTAACTCCAGCTTCCCTTTCTTCCTATTATAACACTTTCTAATAAAAAACACTTCTAATTTTTTTTATCTTCTACTGTCTCACTCTAGTTCTTTAATATGTAATAGATTTCTTTGTTTTTCTACTTGAGAGATACTTAAAGTAAACCACAGGTTTTAATTTAACTTAGTATCAAGGAGTTTGAGAGTTGGGAGGGACTTTCAAAATCATTAACTGAACAGGGAGGAAGCTAAAGTCCCAAAATCTAGTCAACTGACTTGCCCAATTAGTAAACAGCTGGCTTAGGACTAGAATTCAAGTCTCCTGACTTGAAGGTCATCTCTCTTTCCTTTATTCCCAATGCTCCTTAAAAATACCCAAAGAACTTTATTTATAGGAAAGTGCATGAAACGCGTGGCCACAGGGCCACTCATCTCACAAGTTCTAAGGTGAGGGAGATAAAAGTGTCTAACCATTCTAAGAACTGTCGATGTTTAGCATGAAGTGAAGGGAGAACTCCTACTTTGAGTAATTTTTCATCTCTTCTGAGGCGTCATCCACCATGTTGCTCTCCTTAGCTTCACGGGCCATGGCTCGGTAGAGGGTAGAAGCAATCACCGCCTTAACTGTGGCCTCCTCTCCATGCTGCCAAAAGAACATGGCCATCTTCTGCCTTTTCATTAGCACAGCCCAAACCAGAAGGTCATTGTAAGGGTAAATAAAGCCAGAATCATCGGATATATGTTGTTCTTTTGACTTCTTCCTGGATTTATGAAGGGCTGCAGACTTTTCCTATTAGGAAATAAAACAGAAGTGGTTTCCAAATGCTCAGGTACATGATGTTCTAGCTAGTGAAACACATCAGGTATCCTAGGGATGGAAATAATAATAAAACTTTAGATTCCACAGATAAGTAAAATCATATGTTATTCTAAAGAATAACATAAACAAACAAAACAGAAACAGACTCACAGATACAGAGAACAGACTAATGGTTGCCAGTGAGGAGGGGAGATTGGGGACCTGGGGGAAAAAGATGAAGGGATTAAGAAGTACAAATTGATAGTTACAGAATAGTCACAGGGATGTAAAGTACAGCATAGTGAATACAGTCAATAATATTGTGATAACTATGAAGGATGCCAGGTAGATATTGGAAAAATCAAGGGAATGTTTTCTGAAGTGGTTGTCTAACCACTATGCTGTACACTTGAAACTAATACAAAGTGATACTGAATGTAAACTGTAATTTAAATAAATAAATAAGAGACCAGTTAAAAATAATAATAGAACTTTATAAACCAGAAACCAAAACTTTGGTCTTTTAAGATAATCTATTTCTTGCTGTATCTAATAGTTCCAGAGTTCCTAACCAGAGATAAACACAAAGTTCATTTAGTTCAACTTAAAACACGACACATTTGAAATAGAGCCACTAACTAACTATATGACAACTTTTCATTTCCCAAGGGAATGGGTTGAAATAACACACTGGATAAATGACAACTATTTAATAAATAAATAAATAAAAATTTTTTTAAAAAACCAGCTCCGTCACCTTACAAATAGATAAATTATCCACTTAGAAAAATGTCACTAGTGTTGCCAACACATACCCAAATAGGTTGGTTTTAAGTTTCCGTTCTTTATTCTGATTACATTCTTCTTTTGATGGCTATGGGTAACGATGAAACACCATTTTCCACCTGGTAAACCCATCCTTTACTGCTCACCTCAAATGAGACTCTCTAGCCCCCAAGTTCTTCTGTAACACTGTGTATGAGTCTCAACTTCAATACCCATCCTACTTGCACTATGGTTATTACTCTGGGGAGGGTGGGACCATATCTCTGTCATCATTATATTTCCTCCAACCCATCTGCACCCCAAATTCAACCAAGTACTCAGCATAATGCCTGGCATATAATAAGATTAATAATTATTCTTTTTAATTAAATAGGGGGGTGAGTTATAGCAAAAATTGTAATAAGCTTCCTCTAATTCTATAAATAAAGGAAGTTTGTATTCATTGATGACGGTTAAGGGTAATTTTATAAAATATCTTTTCATTCTAGGAGCTATAGAAAGCAAAGCTCTTTCAGGCAACATAGGAACCAGTAACACAAAAACTCTTGAGCAATGCATTCATCCCCAGAGGCAACTGGCACTGAGATTGCATGGGGAGAGGGGGAATAACGACGTTGTACACATGCACGCGCGCACATTATCATTGCCATACTGTAACATTAAGCTAAACTTAATTTCAAGAAATCCTCAAAAGGAAAAAATAAGATGCAAAATGGTAATCTGAAAGAGAAGTAAAAGAGAATAAGAAAGTAGTCACATCTAATTAGGCTCAGGAAGTTTTGGTGTTGGGTTAATAATTATTACATTTTTCATACCATCCCATAAACTGACTTCCTGAGTCACCATGTGGACCAAGTGGCAGCTGGAACAAGGAAGGCAGGATGAAGCGTCAACCCCGGTATTATTCAGGTCCCAGTGGTCTGTCCTGGGCCTTTGCTCACTGATACAGGACAGCTGTGTTATGCTTTGATTTGCACCATCTGTTTATGGTACTTGTAAGTGGTCCCTCTATTTGTACCTCCCTTTTTCCGATTTTAAATGAAGAAGCTGTCTCAATATGCAAGAACAATTTTTTTTTCAAATCTAAAAATAAGTAATGATACCTTGAGTTTGTAAGGCTGGGCAGTTCTGATGAACTGGGAATGCAGCGTGCTTTCTGCAGATTCTTTTCTATTTCCAGAGCCGCATCTCTGGGGAAGAGGGGGCTGGGAAAAGGTATGAGCAAAGCTGATCACTCTCTGTCATATATTGAACATTATTTTATTTTTAAAATAAAACAGGAAGGGAAAAGGAATGTTGTAGTGGTAACATTTAACATTTTATTTCTAGACAGTAATGAAAACCAAATATAATATTGCGTGCTACCAAATATCCATTGGTTGTCTCTCCTCCATGATTAGTAATTAATCATTAATCAAGTTAATTACACACTGACCCAAAAAAATGCCCCTCATGATATACTTCTTATTAATGGCACTGTTATTTCCTAACATCTTAGAATGGTCTTTTAAGGTAATCTACTTCTTGTTGTATCTAATAGTTCCAGAGTTCCCAACCTGTGTTCTTTTGTTCCCTATTACAAATCTGCATTCTTTCTCCATGTGGAAATTCCATTAGAAATCAATGGATGTTCTATACCTGGAACAAACTCAGATTAGGCAATAAAGATACATAGTTCTGATAAGAAAAAGTTCCCATTCACAAACAGCTCCAAGGCTAAGTTAGAAAGTTATGGAATTTTTCCACGTGTTATATAATATCACCATTGGAATTCCAGTGGCTAGGCACAACAACTAATTCATTGCTAATGAGCATGAAGCTTTCATCAATGAGAAAGAAAAACAAAAGCATTCATAAAGGGACTAGAATAAGAATTTATGATACAAACCATATGCTTTGAACTATTTATTTATTTTTAGTTTATGTTTTATGGATATAAATTAGACATTAAAAGTAATGTGGTCAAGACTTTTTAAATATAATACTTAAGTTAGTATCGTGATAGAGAATTAATAGTATTATTATTAATAATCATGATTATTATTATGAGTTACTCTATATCCTCTTTAAAAAACAGAACTATGGGCTTTTCAGATAATATTTTCTTTAGTCCTTTTGATAAATTTTAAAAAGGAATATTATTATTCCCATTTTATAGATGAAGAAACTGATACAGAAAAGTTAAGCTTCCTGCTCAAGATTACACAGGTACTAATGAGCAAAACAGAGGTACAGCTTTAGATCTCTCTGACTCCAAACCATGTATTTGTAACTCTGTGATTTACTAGACAACACAATAAACTCTGTACTTCTTCACTAGAAAATAATCAGAAATGGGTAATTCCCTACGCTTTTTTGTAAAGAGCACCCGGGCCCGCACCTGGCCTGCTGCCCGCTGGCCTGCACCAAGACCACAGTCGGTCCTGCCACTGGGAGCCACACAGCAGCATGTATTCTGTCTCAGTGAAGAAGCTGACACCTCGAGTATATCCCTCTGTCTTTGAAATTTAAATAAAAAACATTTTCTCTATGAGATTTGGATTTCTTTTTCTTTTGTAATTTCATTTCCTAAAGCCAAGTTGGGCTTTCACTTCACCTTATTCTTTATAAATAAACATCAATAGCAGCCTGATATCCTGCATTCTTCATGTGATCTTAAACTCAAACTACCTTTCCAGTCTCGTTCCTCACAACCTCCTGGCACTTCTCCAATGACAAAAGCCTCCTTGCCTTGTCACAGCAAAAACATAGCCTGACATCCAGAGCGCTGTGCCTCTCATTGTTTCTGGTCTTCTCGCAATCAAAAATGCCCCAACCTATCTTCCTAACACTTTCATTATCTTTTAATAACAATTAGTCTCTTCAGTTTACTGATCTATAAAGGCACTTTTAAGAAACAATGTTTTCTCTGCTAATCAACTAACAAGTCTGATTCTATATTCCTAGACTTTTAAAACTATGATGAAAAATAAGTAAAACATGTATTTTTAAGTACATTCTGCATGCATCTTTCAATATAATCCCCACACTTGTCTCAAATTTGTCATCTCCAGACTATGGACTACCATGAGTTTATAGATCTAATCCTATTAAGCTTTAGACTTCTCTATTTTCAAAAGAAAACGAAAGGAAGGAAAGAACCGGTCATCTCTCCCCCTAACCTTTCTTATCACATTACTTCTATGTCAATAAGTACATGTTATATTCTGTTTTGTATTATGTCGAGTTATTCATAAATCTGTTTCCTCTATGAGTTTCTAAACTCTTAATTTTTATGTTCATCCCAGGCCAGAATGCCAGCACAGTACCTTACATATAGCAAATACTTTTAAAATGTCAATAAATAGAACGTCCATTTTAGAAGCTATTCCCATCTGAAATTCCCAAGCCACTTTGTAAAAAGTATTATTATTAGTTATCCTTAATTTTACTAGAGTACTTTTTAATTGTGCTACCTTATGTTTTCTGTAGAGATTGTAGAAGGCTCTGAAATTTTTTCTAGTGTAGCTGCTTCGATACGCTCCACCAATGAGGTACTCTATTACCAGTCCAATGTCAATTAGTGTTATTCTGTAGCCTGAAAGAAGAGTATGCTGCAACAGAAACATGTAGCCAATTATAACTTTCAGTTCTTTTTTCTGACCTCTTTTCCCATGCCATTAGAACATAACCAAATCAACTGCAAAGAGGCAGACTCATATTTTTCCATCATCTTTACAAACCAGTCAACTAATATGGCCAGCTATTGATTCAAAATGCTTGTTCAGATGGGAAAAGAGACTTAGCTTTAATATGGTTTTAGTTTTCTAGACATTGAATGTCTGATTATATCTGCTCATTCACTCTCTCTTCTCTCTCTCTCTCTCTCTCTCTCATGCATACACATTCTTTAGAATAAAATACATTTCAATATAGTATAAAAATTGTCTTTAGCTGGAAATAACTACTACAACAGAGGTAATATTACTGAAAGATATACTGAATGTATGTGATATGCGATAGAAAATTAACACCGGGTTAAATAATCTGCCTCTTTTTATGAAAATGGCTACAACACTTTGAATTTTGTTGACAACTTCACACACAAAACAAGAATATGGAAAGTAGAACAAATAGAAATAAAGAACATGGAATGGCAGAACCAAATGAGCTATCAAAACATGAGGTTGTATCAAGACTAATTGTTATGGGTGGTAGGAGAGCTGAACAGCAGATTTCCAAGTACACAGATCTTAGTCTAAATGAAATTTATTTTGGCCCCTGAATATTTTTAAAGGCACACAGACTACTGAACAAAATCTCTGTGAACAGCATTCATGAAGCTTTGAACAGGAAATAAGGTAATATATATGTATATATGTAAATGTGTAAATGATTTAATTTTTCTGTCATAATTTACTTTTTTAAGAAACAATAAAAATTATGTTTTTATTTGCTGCTAGTTAATAGCCTATTTAACTTTTTCATTCCTTTTTCTTCAGCTTACTGTGACAGAATCAGAGTTTAAGGAAATAATATAAGGAAAATCATTTTGATCTATCAAAAATGAATGCAAATTAAATTTACATCAGCATGGACACTTTTGCTTACTACTAATTTGCCAGCTAAATGTCTTCTTCCACAGTCCTTTCACTCTGGCTGTGCCATCATGTTAGCATAACCAGAAAGCCTATACTCTCTCCATCAAGATACTAGATAAGATAAATGAGGAAAAAACTTTTCTTTTTTTTTTGTTTTGTTTTAATGTATTTATTTTTAGAGAGAGGGGAAGGAAGGGAGAAAGAAAGGGAGAGAGAAACATCAATGTGCGAGAGATAACATCGATCGGTCACCTCTCCCACGCCTCCAACTGGGGACCTGGCCCACAACTCAGGCACGTGCCCTGGCTGGGAATCAAACCGGTGACTTTTCAGTTCTCAGCCTGTCACTCAATCAACTGAGCCAACCAGCCAGGGCAGGAAAGAACTTTTCAAATGTGCCATGGATGGAAATTAATTATGGAGACAAATAAAAGGCACTACCAGTTTTCCGCACATGTGAATAAAAGTTCTGGGTAATTAAAAGAGAAGAAATTAAAATAAAAATCTGTTAAAGTTGAGAAGTTACGGTAAGTAATGGGACAGATTATTTTAAATTTGACTTGACTCTAAGTTCAATGAAAACACAATGAACAAAATATGAAGAAGGATATAGAGCAGCTGGATTCATCCTAGTTCCCTAGAGAAATGCTTAGACTCGGAAAAGAAGTAAGAGCTTTTATATGTCTCCAATTTGTATTTGTAAGAGAAAATAACTATTAGCTAATGACATTTATTTGGTGGATCTAATCTTTAAAAACAGAGTAAATTATAGGAAAAATGTAAGGTGTGGTTTGGTGATGACATTGTTCAATCTTTGGTGAAGAGGGCAGGCAACTCACTAGAAGATCCAAATCTGTATTTTATAAAGCAAAACCTAGTGAAACCTCCATCACACAGTTAAGGCCATGCCCAAAGAAATTTGCACACCTCCATAATTAGGTTACCTGTTTCACATCTCGGACAAGATGATGCAAGAGCATATTAGTAGGTCCTTGTTTCTGAAATAAAGAACAAAAGGAAAAATTTTCATTGACTTTTTATTACCATGTGCTGGGGGGTGGGGGGGACTTTATTTCAGAATGTATAAATAATCCAGAATACCAGAGATGTTCTTCAACATCTTTGGTAATGAAACTTAAGCCACATTAATTTTAAAGAAGGTGTTTCCCAAGAGAAAATATAATTAGATTGAAATACTTTTCAAAGCAAGATGTAATAGGTAGGTAGTATGGACTTAGCTCTATGTGACAAGTGACAGAAATAAATCTTAACTAATTTATTACTACCCTTTATTATATATAAGCCACATAATTACAAATTCCATCAAAAATATTTTTCGAATGCTTACTATGTTCAATCAAGCTTCTGAGGGAGTCAATGGAGAACATAAGTACTTTCTTTGCAGAGTTTTTACAGTCTAATAGAAAAGAATAAGAACTTACACACACAAAAAATGACCAATAATATGAATATGTGTGTGCTCAAAAGTTGAAAATAATTTGTACTGCAGGGACAGGTCAAAAAGACAGGACTTGAATAGGGCTCTGAAGAAAGTCTAAGATTCAAAGGGCAAGGACAGACACTTCAGAAGGGTGCATGACTCGAGCAAATGGTGTTTTTACAATGAGTAAACCAGTCAGTCTAGTTTCAATACATGTTTGCATAGGGAAGTTGCAGGTGCAGAATTCTAACAGCAGCCTTAGGTTGAGATTCTTTCAATAACTCAATAAAACTAATTTGCTCTTATTCACATCTGTGGCATTAATTACAGTCTTACTACAATATTTTTCTGAAATTAGTTTATGGCTCTATTCTGTATGGTTAATGATGGGAAATAGAGAAATGACCCTAGGGTCAAATGGAACCAGTAAGGATATTCCTCCTTTGGTTGAAAAGTCTGTCTCTCTATAAGCCATTTATCTTTGTATATCAACAGTCAAGAAGACCTGAACATTCAAGCTAAATCCTAAAGTAAATTTTAAAGGAGGTGACTGATGAAATGTTCCAGTACTCACTGTGTTATAGAGCTCTTCCAGTCGAGGAATGGTAAGAAAGCGATGGAGGTTCACTCCATATTCTATTAAGAGCTTCACAAAATCCACCCGATCCATCAGTAAAGCATCTAACATTGCTTGTTCCAGTGAGCCAGGCTTCAGAGGGTAAAAATAAAAATATATATAAAGACAATTAAGAAAAGTAATAGTAACGAAATGACTATGCATATTTGAACTCAAGACTATACAGACACAGTAAATATAAAATACAACCTTACTTCAACACCAGAGTGAAGAAATAACAAAAAGTAAACTTGAAGACATAAAGGACATCTTGACTAAATTTTCTCTTGGGTGGGAAGACTGACTATTGTAAAGCTCTCAATGTTTTCCAAATACATGTACAGGTTTAATGCAATTCTAATAAAAATCCATATGAGGTTTTTTTTTTTTCCTTTTTTTCATAACTTGGCATCTTTCCATTTAAACTATACCTGGCTTTTGGGTATAAATGGCAAATTAAACACATTCATCTACTTTTACTCCTACCTAAAACCCCATTAAAACTATGGTAGAGACTTTAAAAAGAAGAAGGAGAAAAAGAAATGAGGCCCTGGATGGGTGGCTAAGTTAGTTGGAGCATCACCCTGTACACAAAAACGTTGCGTGTTCGATTCCTGGTCAGGGCAGATATGGGCTTGATCCCCAATCGGGAAGCATAGGGGAAGCAATCAATCAATGTTTCTCCCTCTGCCTCTCTCTGTTTCTGTTTCTCTCTCTGTCTTTCTCTTGCTCAGTCTGTCTATCTCTCTCATCAATAAACATATCCTCAAGTGAGGATAAGAAAGAAAGGAAGGAAGGGAGGGAGGAGGAGGGAGGGAGGGAGGAAGACGGAGGAAGGGGAGAAGGAGGGAGAGGGAGGGAGGGAGGCAGAAGAACAAGGAGATAAAGAGAGCAACATTTTAAAAGATGGTCAAATGGTAATTGACAGCAGTCTCCAAAAGCCAGAAATTCCCCAGAAGTTGAAACTGGAAAAAGTCAACAACCAAACAAATCTATGCCACAGAATTCTGGCAGCACCAAGATGTAATAAATGCACGTATGCTGAATTCCTAATGTTGGGAGCTTCCTAGTCATCTTTGCCCATTTGACTTCCATAATACTAGCAACAAGGCTTTTACCTTCAAGGCAGGAGATTGAAGGATTCTTTTCTGGTATTGTGACTCATACAAGAGAAAAGACATGAATATGCTGACTTCTCAGGTCCACCAACAAATGGCAGCCAGGTCACTCCACTCTGAAGCTCAAACTTAGCAGCTCATAATTTCTAATGAGTTTCCTATCCTATAGTCTCAAAAAGTCCAGAGCAAACAGACCACAAAGCATCAATTAAGAGGAATCAGGCAAATTGGAAATAAGAAAACGTCAAAAGAATCATCATTAAAAATCCTCAGAAATAAAAGAAGATATTTGTATTCAATATGTCATTTTTTAAAAAAAGACAAAGAACAAATGTGCTCTTAGAAATAAATAATATGCTACCAGAAACAAAAAGAAAATGCTTATTAGGTAGGAGAAGTAAGATTAGAGGAGCAATCTATGGTCCCACATTTAACTAACAGGAATTCCTTAAAGAAAACAGAGAAAACAAGGAAGGAAATTCCTCAGAATAGAAACACATGATTGCCAAATAGAAAGCATGTGTTCCGCATAATGGATACAAAGACTCAAAATAACACATGTATTTGTGAAATCTCAAAACACTGAAAAAAAACAAAACATTTTTTAAACTTCCAGAGGAGGGAAACATGGTCACAAAGGATCAGAAAACAGAAAGATTTTTACTTTCTCAACAGTAACACTGGATATTAGAAACTAACCATTCAAAATTCTTTAGGAGAATTATTTCCAATCTTGAATTAAAATTTATTCAAACATGTCAGTCCTCAAAATCTTCCATACTCCCTTTCTCAGGAAGTTACTGAAGGATGCACATCACCAAAATAAAAATGTAAACCCAGAAGGAGGAGGACAGAAAGTACAGAAAACAGGTACAATAACACAAGAGGGAATCCCAAGACAATGAAGGACGACAGTCCCACACCAAGAACAGCGGGCCACTAGTCCAGATCGCAGTAGTGAAGCCCACAGACAGAAGTATTGAAAGGTGTCTAAAACTGATGCATCAGAAGACAGCAATACGACATTATAGTAGGCAGTTAGACAGGCATAAGCTGAGCAAGGACGGTGGGCCAGGTACAGGAGGTCCCCAGCACCGAAAGCCCCAGGTACTTAGCAACCAGCAAAACTGGTGGGAAATAAGGACTTCATCCCCCGGGGAACTTCTCCTTCCCTAGCCTGTCATTGGTCATGAGGTTTAAACCCCCTGACCTTTCACCTATCTGTTCCTGTGGTTCAGACCCTCCCCTGACCTTTCCTCTGTTGGCATGTCGCTGGGCATAAGGTAGACTCCCTTAGAGCAGGAACACAGGGACCAGAGAACCATTTCATCTGACTCCCATATAACCCCTTGCAAAACCATTCCCTTAAGCATTCAGCCCTCAGGATAATGAGGTTCTGAACTGCATCAAATAATCCTAGGAACAAAACCTCAGGTCTCAGAGAGAGAGAGTTTTGGTCTAACTACAGACAACACCTAGGTCTCAGTTGTCTGTGACCTCCAGGCCCAGAAAAGCAGCAAGGCCAGGTGGGAGGGGTGGGGGGATGCCACAGCTGACATTCAGAACCAGCTGTGATGATTAATGACCCCCTGTCCTGGGGCCCACCCATCAGTGGAGGCCTCGACCCTGAAAGGACACACCTAGAAAGATGCTGGTGATAGTGTATCGAGATCCTCTCCTGGGACTTCCCCTAAAATCTCAGTTCTTAAAAGCCCTTAGGACACAAGACCCAGCACTCCTTTGCCTTTCCCCATCTCCTTCTCCAAGAGGCCTCCTTTTGCCTCTGTAATTTGTTTCCTGAGCCCATTTCTTCCATAGTTCACTTCTTCTACCTCTGTGGCTTTCCAAATAAACTTTCTCTTACAGTTTGACTCTTGTCTCTAAATTATTAGTTGGAACTCAAGTACCGAGGTTGCTGAACCAATTGGTAAACCGAGGTCCCCACAGGTCAAACACATGGTGCCTTTTCACCACTAACATGATTATTTAGAAATATGAAGGTTTATAAATATCACAACAATCAAAAAATGTCAAAAGTACTTGGTTCTTGGGTTTAGTAGGGTAAAGAACAACTTTTTTTTATTTTTTAGCAGACTTTTAGTACCATTTAATGTTTTAAACAATGTGTATGTATTAGTTTGACCCAAAAATAATCTACCTGTGATATGGTCACAACTGTAATTTTTAAAAATAGAATGTTAATAGTAATTATGATTACCACTATAGGTAATTTTTCTTCTGGATATTTTTCTCTGTTTTCACTAATTTCAACTATGAGCATTTATTACAATTTAATGCAAAAAAATTACATTAAAGTATTAAATAACAATATAAAAATCTGCCCACTCAAAAAATAAAAAATTCTTAAAATAAATATCCAGAAATCAGTTGCATTTTTATATGCCAATAATGAACCAACAGAAAGGAAAATCAAGAAAACAATCCCATTCACAATTACTTCAAAAAGAATGAAATACTTAGGAATAAACCTAACAAAGAATGTAAAAGATCTGTACTTGGAAAACTATAAGACACTAAACAAAGAAAATGAAGAAACACAAATAAGTGGAAGTATATACCATGTTCAGGGATAGGAAGGAGATGCATATTTCCTTCCTTACATCATTAAACTGTCCATACTACCCAAAGCAATCTGTAAATTCAATGTAATTCTTATCAAGAGTCCAATGACATATTTCACAGAACTAGAACAAATATTTCAAAAATGTATATGGAACTACAATAGGCCCCTCATAGCAACAGCGATCCTGAGAAAGAAGAACAAAGTTGGAGGAATCACACTACCTAATAGTTTTATATTATTATGAAGTACTGTGATTTCTCTGATATATTATTAGGCCATAGTAGTCAAAACAGCCTGGTACTGGCACAAAAACAGACACAAAGATCAATGGAACACAATAGAGAACCCAGAAATAAATCCACAACTTTATAGGCTATTAATATTCAACAGAGAAAGCAAGCACATGCAATGGGCTAAAAATAGTTTATTCCATAAATGGTGTTAGGGAAATTGGACAAATACGTGCTGAAAAATGAAACTAGACCACCTTCTTACACCACACACAAGAATAAATTCAAAATGGATCAAAGACTTAAATGTTAGACCAGACATTGTAAAAATCCTAAAAGAAAACATAGGCAGCAAAATCTCAGACATTGCTTGTAGCAGTTTTTTATCAGATATATCTCCCCAGGCAAGAGAAACAAAAACATAAAAATAAACAAATGGGACTAAATCAAACTAAAAAGTTTTTGAGCAGCAAAGGAAATCATCAGGAAAATAAAATGACAACCCACAGAATGGGAAAACATATTCACGGATACATCTGATAAGGGGTTAATATCCAAAATTTAAAACATACTTACAAAATTCAACACCAAAAAAACAAACAACCCAATTAAAAAATGGACAAAGAATTTGAATAGACACTTCTCCGAAGAGGACATACAGATGACCAATAGACATATTAAAAGATGATCAATGTCACTAATCAGAGCAATGCAAATTAAAACCAGAGTGAGATACCATCTTACACTTGTTAAAATGGCTATCATCAAAAAAACAACAAACAGCAAGTGCTAGCAAGGATGTGGAGAAATGGGAAGTCTTTTGCACTGCTGGTGGGAATGTAGACTGGTGCAGCCACTGTGGAAAGCAGATAGAGATACCTCAAAAAATTAAAAATGGATCTGCCTTTTGACCCAGTGATCCCACTTCGGGCAATTTATCTGAAGGAACCCAAAACACTAATTTGAAAGACATAAGCACCCCTATGTTCATTGCAGCATTATTTACAATCACCAAGATATGGAAGCAGCCCAAGTGTCCATCAATAGATGAATGGATAAAACAACTATGGGACATTTACACAGTAGAATGCTACTCAACCATGAAAAAGGAAAAGAACATTTTACCCTTCACAATAGTATGCATGGACCTGGAGAACAGTATGCTAAGTGAAATAAGCCAGTCAGGGAAAGACAGATATCATATGTTTCACTCATATGTGGAATATGATGAACAAACTGAACTAACAAGGAAAATGGGAACAGACTCCATAGATGGACAGCTAGTTGGGGGAGGAGGGTAGGGGGTGGAGGGACTGAGCAAAAAGGAAAAAGCGCTCATGGACATGGACAACAGGGTGGTGATTGCAGGGGGAGGGGGATATAAGGGGACTAAAAGGTAATGTAAAAAAAATAATAATACAATAGCCCTGGCTGGTGTGGCTCAGTGGATTGAGTGCCGGCCTGCGAACTAAAGGATCACTGTTTTGATTCCCAGTCTAGGACACATGCCTGGGTTGCAGGCCAGGTTCCTGGTATAGGGGGCAAGAGAGGCAACCACACATTGATGTTTCTCCCCATCTCTTTCTCCCTCCCTTCCCCTCTCTAAAAATAAATAAATAAAATCTTTTTAAAAACTACAATAAAGATGAAATTCAATCCCTGGCTGGTGTGGCTCCGTGGACTAAGTGCCAGACTGTGAATGGAATGGTCACCAGTTCAATTCCTGGTCAGGGTACATGCCTGGATTGCGGGCCAGGTCTTCAATTGGGGCAACTAATCTATATTTCTCCCCCTCTCTTTCTCGCTCACTTGCCCCTCTCTTCTCTCTCTAAAATATAATAAATAAATCTTTTTTAAAAAAACAAAAAATAAAAAATTCTAATTTGTCTTTGCCCCAACTTCCTTTATCAGCTTCAATTAATCTGCAGAGCCAGAGGGAAAAAATGTTTTCAGGAAGGCAAAGTAGATGAGAGAAATGTTTTATATTCTCTGGGCACTTTGCTACAGAGATGCTACCCCCCACACCCCTTCCAAACCAATTAATCTCTCCAATTTCCTCTTTTGCCCCTCCCTAACAAACCAACACAAAATATTTTTTCCATTTTCTTTGTACCTTCCAATGCTGTCCATGTATTAGGATATGTTTCTTGGCAATGTCCGACCTGTCCCAGGCCATTGCCAGATTTAATTGTTCAGATGCTGATAAATTTGTACCTAGAGTAAAAGAAAGGAAAAAGTATAGGTTCTGTTTAAAATGTCAGCATATTCCCTGGCTGGTGTGGCTCAGTGGACTGACTGAGTGCCAGCCTGCAAATCAAAAGGTCCCTGGTTTGATTCCAAGTCAGAGCACAAGCCTGGGTTGTGGGCCAGGTCCCCAGCTGGCGGTGTACAAGAGGCAACCAATCTACGTATCTCTCACATACTGAGGTTTCTCTCCCTCTCTTTCTCCCTTGCTTCCCCTCTCTCTAAAAATAAATAAATAAAATCTGTTTTAAAAATTCACTATAATGTCAACAATGAAGCACAAAGTGTGACCGAATGTGAAAACAGGAGGTGGGGAACAGCTGTAACCCGCTTCAGACCTACTCACCTTTTAGCAGAGCTGTTAGGATTGCTAAATCAAGGTCTTGCAACTCCTCAGAATCAGCCTCAAATATGATAATCTATAAGAGTTGAAAAACAGAAAGGCATACATTTGGGAATTTGCAAGGAAATGCTTCCAATGGTACCCACAAAATTCATTCTTGAGCTCATGAATTGGGGAAAACAATCTTCATTCGTGTCAAAAATCACTCAGATTTTTAAAAAAATTTTTTTACTTATAAAATAGATAAAAATGTACATGGGATAATGGAGAACAGTAGGCTTGCAGAGAAAAAAAATACCTAAAAAATTCCATCTATCCTAGAGGAAACATATATAAAAGAGCATTACTACATTAATTTACTGTGCACATGCTATAAGAAAACTCATTTCAGTTCCTTATGCAAAGGAAATCCTTCCCCACTTTAAAGGAATACCGTAGGAGCTCCTTCTGTTCACCTAGGCTTAGAAACTCACACTTATGCTTTTCAATGAGAAATGAATCCTCAAGGATTTGTCCTAAAATAAGTGAGGGAATTACAATGCACCCAATGAGCAAGTACAACGGACAGCACAAACTGTTTGCACAATGTCAAAGTGTCCTGTGCATCCCAGCATGTGACTGATATTTTTCAGACAAATAAGGATATTACTTGCAATTATAGACGGTCTCCTGCTATTAATGAATGTGTCTCAGTATTTCCAAATGAAATGATATTTTATACAGTAGACGGAGTGTTTAACAAAAAAGGAGCCTGGATTGGCAAGTGCTGGCCCCAGACGGTCAGCCTTGGGTAGATATCTTATGACCACTGAATCTGAGGTTCCTCACTCACAGAAAAGGAACCCTAATTTCTAAGGTCCCATAAAGACAGGAAAACTATGCTTTTACAATTCACACATTGGTTCCCTCCAAGTAAGGGCATCCCCGTGTGCATGAATAAAATCAACCCTCATTTGTACTAATTCCTGTAATGTGCAAACCCTTAGTTGCCTTCTCTAGTTCCCTCTTGATATTACTGATTATTATGAGAAATATAAAACGTAGTAGACCATATATGAGACTTCAACTCTAAGTTCAAGTTTGAGTTTTACTATTTAGTAACTTCATGATTCTGTATAAATCACTTAATTTCTCTAGGCTTCAGCTCCATCACCTCTGAAACTGAAATAAAAGGTCCGTGCATACTGAACTCACTTGTGGGGCTATTTTGGGTGAAGAATATATCTGAAAGCACACTCTTAATTATTGACACGGTTCTTATTTTTGTTGTTATTAGGTCAACTAAAACCCCAAGGCTTTTCATATATATTTAGCCGCGTTTGTTCAATTGTTTTTTTGAAGCCAGGAGCTCAAGGATTACCAAAATCTTGTATAATTTTGCCCAGCCTTCAAATTCTGGAGAGACCACCATAAATCATAATATAGTGGCATGTTTACTGTAATTGTCAGCTTCATATCATCCAAATCATTAATAACAGTTTTCATCAAAGTACCCTCAAACACTAAAATCTTTTCCTGAATCTACATTATGTGCCCGGGCCATAGTGTGTGGACTCCGCCCCCTGTCCCAGAGTATGCTGTCACTTTCCCATTGCCTATGTGCCCTTCATGATCTCCTGCAGGATTTACTCAGGATGGCATGCTGCTGTCGTCTAGCCCAGTAGACTTGAGTTCACTTAAGGAGCTGTTCCTTTAACCATTGAAGAGATTTATGTGTAATTTTCACTAAACTTAATCACTTTTATGTACTACTGCTCTGCTAAGTGCTTTTCCCCAGGTACCGTCAAGAATTTAAAACTGGGGGTCAGGGGTTAAGAAGCCAAGCTACTCAACTAAGAGTCAAGTTCTGTAGCCTTTTACACAAAGTTAAAAATGAAAAATTCCAGCCCTGGCTGGTGTGGCTTAGCAGATTGAGTGCCAGCCTGCAAACTGAAAGGTTGAGGGTTCAATTCCCGGTCAGGACACACACCTGGGTTGCAGGCCAGGTACCCAGGTTGAGGTGTGCAAGAGTCAATCAATTGATATTTCTCTCACACGTCAATGTTTCTCTCCCTCTCTTTCTCCCTCCCCTCCCCTTTCTCTGAAAATAAATAAAATCTTTTTTAAAAATGAAATATTCCATAGTTTAAAAAATTGTAAAAATAAACGGTATAATTGTTAAACATTAGCATTTTAAGTCAATTGAGTCATCACCTCATTATACTCACAGAATCCCTGTGTACCATGCACTCCATTAGAATTTGAAAAAGGTGCTTGGACTGTTTAATACTGAAGTTGAAAGTGTTCTGGATCATGCAGATAATCTTCTCCTTCACCTGAGGATGAAGAGTCCTGGAGAGAGATAAGTGGCCATGACTTGACACAACGCAGAGCAGGGGACAAGAGAGCAACTTCAGTACAAGAAAACCAGCCGTCTGCCCTACTTGACTGAGAAGGTTTCTATGGACAGTCCTGCCGAGGAAGAAAATGAGCAGGAAGCAAAGAGAAGCAGCGTCGCCAGAAGTCTGAATTTGAAATTGACAGTAGACTGATCTGCCATGATCCTGGAATGAATACACTCTGGGCAAGGTTCTCAAGCTGAAAGATTTCCAGGGGCTGTCAATCTCCAGAAATTATGGGCATCATGTTCTCAAAAGGACCTGAAAGCCTAAAAGGGCCAAGAACCACTCATCAAGGGTGACTTTGGGAAAGGGAGAGGTACAAAAGGATAAGGAAGGGGGTAGAGGGTTTGATCAGAGAGCTGAGGGCTTAAAGGGAGAGAAACTGTAAGGAAAGCATCTTCAAAAAGCAGTTTTAGCATAAGCATGAATATGAATTAAATTAGCCTGGTTAATACTTTAGTTCATTAGCACTTTTTTACTTCGGGAGTAAAAATATTTATCATGCTTTTGAAATGGAAAAATCACACTGGACATAGGGATGGCTAGAGAAAAATTTTCTTCTTATATAAAAGGGGGGGAAAGAATTAAAACCTCAAATAAGCACAAAATATACTATTTAAATGCCAGGATGTCAGTTTCCCCAATTCTGCTATTTTTACTAATGGCAAATGAACTTGAAGGTGATCTGAGCCAACACTGATTTCCTCACTCACTGTAGAGTTTTTTCAGACTTAATAGCTATTTGCAGGAACATCTCCTCCCTCATACTCCCTGAAAATGCTTTATCCAGAAGCTCAGACAAGGCTCAAGCTCCCCTTAGAGGCAGGTCGTTCTTCACCTAATGAAACAGCAGCTGACATCCCTGGAGGGCATTTTGACAAATAAATACAAAAGTCACTGAGAAATGAATTCCGATCTCTACCTCTGTCTTCCAAGGGTATCCGGCCCACATAAAAGCAGAGCTTTAAGAACTGAAATGAAGGAATAGTCACCATAGTTTCAAACGCAAGAGTCGACCACTTACCCTTCATCTGCCAAGTGTTTGTGGGTGAAGGCCAGGAGGTCGGCAGCCCTGCCAGCGCCCTCACACACCACCACTGGATGTTTGTCTTTCACAGTCTCCCAGACCCAGAGGACGACATTGGGACCTCCTTCCACCACCAGCCCCACCATGGGCACACCTTGTCTTGAGCCTATTTCAGATGACAAACAATACCACACTGTTAGGAAGCAACCCTATCTCGGCCAATCAGCAATTTTGATTTCCAGACACAAATGTTTCGATCACCACATGCATTCGGTACTTGCTCTGGCCCCTCTCTCTTTTGGGCTCAGGCTTGCATAGTTCGAGTCCAGAAGCGTGGACTTGAAATAAAAGTAGCATCTATATGGTACAGCATCTTCAAACTTTCTCTGGTGTAAAAATCAACATAATATTTAAGTATTTTCATTCTATCCAAGTAAACCTCTTTTTAATCACATCAATGACAAATACAAATATAGTAGAAAACCTCCTTAATGAGCATGGTAGGCATAAAGATAAGCTTTGATATATAATTGGGGTTTTCTTGAGGGCTTTTTCCTTCTTTCCTTCCCCTCTTCCTTCTTTCTTTCTTTCCATCCTTCCTTCCTTCCTCCCTCCTGTCCTTCTTTCCCTCATTTATTTTGTGTGTGTGGTATGTGCAGGTGGCTTACTGTTTTTGCTGTTTTCATATTGGTTCTCCATAGAATTTATAAATGTTATCAGTCCACTGAAATTGATTCCACATTCTTTCTCCACAAACAGTGAAACCCTCCCAATAAATCCTAAATTTCAAGATCTTTGAAAGCAGAAATGTCTCTTGCCAGTATTTGTAAACTAGGGTTGCTTTCATTCATCTTCCAATGGGAAATCAATAGGAAATGAGAAAGACAAAGACTTTGCTCTCTTGGGGCGCACATGATAGTGCTGTACAGAACCCCTGAGCAACTTCTGCGGTGAGCGCAAGTCAGTGGAAGCAAAAGGACATTCCAGGTAACTGATACTTCAGACCCCTTCACGGTGACCCCTGACCTGTCCTCCTCTCCTCTGGGACTCTCCCTTCCCCTACAGAGGACTGCACACCTGATCCTCTCTCCCTTCTCCTGACCTACAGGTAAAGGAGCCTCCAACTTTCATTCACACTAAGCTCTAAGTGGCAACAATTCCCAAAGTCCCTCCCATGCCCCCACCCCAACTAGGAAATGACCCCATAAGAGGAAAAAAAGAAACAGACACTTCTTGAGGACATACTATGTTCCCAGCACTATTCCAGGTATCTCTAACATACTTTATCTAAATTAATACTCACAACAAAAGGTAGAAGTAGACAGTTTCTTGCATTTTATATTAAGAAAACAAATTGACAGATAACTCCATTGTCCAAGGTCACAGAGGGTAAATGACAGAGCTCTGGTTGGTCTGACTTCACCACATTCTGCAGCCTCGGGGGATCAAGGCCCACAACTCAAAAGACATTCAGCCTTTGCCAGCCAACAGTAAAAGGCTGAAGAGGACATATACCTCCTGAGGGCCTTCCTACTCCCTGCCCTTCTGCCCCAAAGGGTGGAGCATTTTGTGGATGATTTAACTCATCGAAAGAGGCAGCGGCCCACCTCTGCTTCCTTGGACAAAAAGTCTTCATTTCTCCAGGTGGCACCCAGCCCCGCTCCTTCCTGCAAGGAGCCCCCCTTCTCCACTCAAGGATGCTCACCGAATCAGGCCTTCCTCTTGTCTCTCCCTCCTACAGATACTACAAAAAATGACAATCTCAAAGCGCCACTCTGAACAGAACACAACATGGACATCTTCAACGTTCCCTATTTCTAAAAGCCCTGTCTGATTTAAACCACCTCGCTGTCTGGGGCCACCCCACTTATATATGAAATGTCATTATCTCCCCTGACTATCAAAGATCAGAGCCCCAGCCTTCTCAGGCTAGTCTCCTTACTGCTCCTCGGCCAGTCCCATTTTCTCCCCTCTCTGTCCATCCATCCAACCCTAAGTGCTCCAGGAGGCTCTGCTATAGTCTTCACTCTCCCACAAAGCCAAACCTCCCCTGTCTATACTGTCTTCCATGTATATTTTCCTCTCTCCCAACTGCCATCCACAGCTCTATACCACTTCATACCCTGTTTTTTTTTCTGGTTGTGGGTTCACACACGTTAAGGCAGGGGCTGCCTTGGACCCCTCTAATCTGTAGAGATGACACCGGAGCACCTAGCTCCACAGCAGAACCGCAGCCAGGACCTGCTGGCTGAACCCCTGTGGAACTCACGGCTGTGTATTTTCTGCAGAGAGAGGTACTTTTCCAGGTTCCTCCTGAGCATCATCTCATTTCCATACTTGCCCACAGTCCCGTCATCAGACAGGATGAAGTGGGAATGCATGCTGTTGAGTGTAGTGAGCTTGCTGAGCGGGTTTCCTAGAGTCTGGTACAGGCACACCACCTGCAAGAAAAAGGGAGGGCCAGGTGTCAAGTTCCTTCCCTCGGTTCAACTGCTCCAAGGCCTGTCTCTATGCACAACAGAGTTCTGGTTGAGGTTACCAGAACTCTTGCTACCAAGTTCAACTTGCTACCAAGAGCAGTGCTTCTCAAGCTATCTGTGATAAAAGACCAATTTCTTTTTTAAGTTCCCATTTTTTATTGGCCAGTGTGTCCTACAATGCATGACTAGTATGCAGTTCTGCTCATGAAACTCCACAAGTTCAACAACACTTGCACACCCAGGCTCAGCAAGATAAGCCCACAGACCACATGCTTGGATGTCACCGCACTGCCACGTCGCTAAAAATGGTTCTAAATATTTATTTCCAATCTCAGTACTTACCTTGCTTCTAAAGATTAGAAAACAGTTCAGGAATCGGCATCAATACACAGACCACGTCATTGTCCACCAAATATGCCATTAGTAGATCTATTCCAGAATAATATTTTGGCACTGATTTTTTTTCTAGTATTCCAAATGAGATTAAGAATAACAGCCAAACAGATGGCAATTCATTCTACTGTATATAAAACACCCAGACCTTTATTAACATTTATTGACTCTTCCTTAATCTGTTCTAATTCTTATTTGTTTTCAAGATGAGAGGACAGGATTTGGAGTCAGAGAACTCAAGTTTAAGTCCAGGCTTTTCTGCTTACTAAATGTAATTCCTGACTCTTTTCTCAGACTGATTTTCTTCATGTGTAAATGAAGATGATAATAATTTCTACACCAGAGGGTTGCTGTGAGGCTTAAAAGAAATAATGAATGTAAAAAGCACTATAAGCTTTGCAAACATTATTCCTTGAAAGTTAACTTTCTAATTCCTAAGGATGATGCTGAGGCCAGGAACCAAAAAGAAAGTGGTCCATAGATTTAATACATATTTTTTATTTATGGAATAATAATCATAAATTATATAAAATAAAAACTGGGGGAACTGCATCATACATAACAAAAATTTAAATAAACTAAATTACAATAAAAAAGGCTTTCAAAATATAGCAACCATGCCTGAGAAGGCATAAAAACCACATGAAACAATGCTGAACCTCACTAGTAATCAAAGGTACATAAATAAGAACAATTAAGGCCCTCTCTGATGTGGTTCGGTGGACTGAGCACTGGCCTGCAAACCAAAAGTCACAGGTTCCATTCCCCATCCGGGCACATACCTGAGTTGCAGGCCAGGTCCCTCTCCCTCCCTTCCTTTTCCTCTAAAAATAAAAATTTAAAAGAAAATCTTTTACAAAAAAATAAGAACAATTAGGTATTATTTTATACCTATCAAGATGGAAAGTGTGTTTTAAAGCCCAGAATACCCAGAGCTATCAATGGAATAGAAAAACGGGCGTGCTCATACCTATTAGAAGGAATGTAAATTGTTACTACCTTTTTGGAAGTCAATGAGTCACATCTTTAAAGGCAGATACCAACTAGCCCAAGCATTCTACTTTCAAAATTATTTTGAGGGAAATAAAGGTAGCTAGCTTCAAAGATTTATATATCTTATTCAAACGTTAGTATCATTTCTGTAATAGGGAAAAACAAGAAATCACCTAAATGAACAATAATAGAGGAATAGTTATAAATTATAGTACTTTAGTATAGTAGAATATTATGAGACATTAAAAATCAAAATGCATGCATAGCCCCCAGAATTTGGTTTGTTAATACCGTTTCCACTAAAAGCGACCATCCATGTGTCTAGGAGCAAAAATATATATACAATGAGCCTGGAACATTTTTCATAGTTAAATGAAAGGAAGCTATGAAAAATTACTAGAATTATGTTAAGAGGACCCAGGAGACAACTCAGATAGGCTACACTGGATAAAAAGAGATAATTTGAGCATGATTAAGAATAATAACTGTAATGAATTGAAACATACTAAATATGTTAAATAAAAAAAAATCTCATGGTTCACCTTGGGGGATGGTAGATAACCAACTCATTGTTTTGTACACTGGCAAATAAAGAGCCAAGGATTTATTCTACTCTCTCCTATACAACTGTACCACAAGGTAAAATAAGTGCCTGATGAGAAAATGTTTTTTCTCTATAAAGTGTTTAACCTAATAAATAAAGACATATATATATCAGCATTTTCCAACCCTATTGAAATAATGAACATAGGCAATGGCATCATAAAAAGAGATATGTTACCAGAGAAGGATTAATCTCCTCCTGTTGCTTAAACTTGCACAACTAGAACCTGAATCTTCTTATAACTTTGTATCAAACTACCAATTTACAGGAAAGACAGGACACAGGGAAACAGACCAAACCCTACTACAAGAGGTTCAATCTGCAAAAACCAAACTGTGGGAAAGTCTTCAGGACAAAGACCCAGTTTCTTCAACAAATAAATTGCCAAAAAGGGAAAATATAGAGATTGAAAGTGATTAAAAGTGACTCAAGTTAAAAAAAAATGACTCAAGAGACATATCAACCCACCACAATGTACGAAACTTTTTTGTATAATGAAATCAAACAACTAAAAAAGTATGAGAAAATCAGAAACTTGAACACAGACTGGATATTTGATGATACTCAGGAATAATTGTTCATTTTTTAGGTATAATTGAAATGTTGCTATATTTTTAATTGTTCATATATTTTAGAAATACCTATTAAAATATTTACCAATGAAATTATTTGATGTCTGGAATTTGCTTCAAATAATTGAGGCGGATGGTATAGAGTGAACAAGAGAATAGATGAAACAAAACTAGCTATAAGTTCATAAATTGAAATTGGGAGATGGATATGAAAAGTTCATTATCCTAATATATTTATTATTTAATATGTTTAAATTTTTTAATGGAAGTTAAAATAAACCATAAACATGTCTATTTTAATTGACATAGAAAAATAACTATGTTAAATAGTTAAGTTAAAAAATAGGTGCCCAGTAGTAAGTTTCTGTTTTTACTTATTTTACATACAAATTTTTTTAATATACATATGTACACATGCATAGAAAAAATTCTGGAATAATACACACCAAAATATTAACAATAGTTATCATTCTTCATACCTTTTGAAATATCTTAGATTTTTACCAAAAAAATCATTAGACAAGTATATTCCCTTTAAAAAAAACAAACAGAATCAAAGAATCACTACACAGGAATAAATGAGGCAGAGAATAATATGAGATGAAGGAAAAGAAGAACCATAACATGAATGTCCCTTATTTTGCTACATGCATGCCACTTCAAGAAGCTTGGCTACTGCTCTGAGGGAGACAGGATCCACTGAAGGCCATTTCACAAAGGAGTAGCATGATCTGGTTTATGTTTTAGAAGAATCATCCTGGCTACTATGTTTACAATAGACTGTAGTAAGAGACAAGGATGAGAGGAGGGAAAGCTATTGTAATCATCCAAGGGACAAAAGATGGTGGCCTGGACCTGCTCAGTAACAGTGGAGGTAATGAGAAGAGGTCAGATTCTGGGTATATTTTTAAACTAAAGCTGAGATAACTTACTGATGGACTGGATTTGAAGCATCAGACAGAGATCATTCCAGGATGAGCCCAGGGTTTTTTCCTTGAACAACTGCAAGGATGGGCTTGTCATTTTCTAAAATAGGGTAAGGGAGGCAGTAGGAAGTCAGGAGTTGGTTTTGGATATATTACATTCCAGTTGTCCATTAGATATCTAGGTATAGTGCTAAGCTGGCAATTGGATACATGTTCATTTCTTTTTGTTGGGAAAGGATTGTTTACTTACATCTTTTCCAATTAGATCTCTCTGGTTCTCAATGACACCCCAAGGAGGGATTCCAACCGTCCAGATTTTCCTCAAGCACTGGGAGAAATGCGCTTTCAGGGCATCCCCAACATGTTTGGACACTCCTATGAACAACCAGTTTAGAAGTCAAGGTTTAACTCACAAATTGTGCAAAATACCGAGACTCCCAGCAAAAGACAAATAGACAAGTACATGCAAAAGGCTATTGTTAGGAAAAGTTGTTGACACAGTGGATAACATTCTAACCAAGTGAGCCACCTGGCCAGGGCCCACCCCTTTTCTTACTGGAAATTACATAAGTTCTATACAATAGACTAAGAACTCCACCACCTTCACTTTCTACCAAGAATGTGAAACAATAATTATCTCAATAAAATCTATGCAAGAAACAACCAAGTTACCCATTAATGACAAGCCAAATTCCTTGGTTTTATTTTGCTTTGTTTTTATTCAATCATTTGCTTCCTTCAATCCTTTCAGCCAGAAGAAGTGATTTGTTAAATCAGTATGTCTTGCTCAATGCCTAGCAGATGTGCAGCCCCAGCCCTCTAGCTCAGAACCAGGAGGAGGAGCTAATATACAGACTCAACCACCTATAAGGAAAAGCATAGAATGCCACAAGTGCTAAAGGCAGTAAATGCTATAGAAATTAAGAGACAAAAGTGAACTGAGATAGAGAATGCTTCATGGGTGTGTTGGCATCTAATGCAGACTTAAAGGACAGGCTGAACTTAATAGGATACATTACGTAGGGCCAATCAAGATCAAAAATCAAGAGAGGGAAATAAAAGATGAAAAATCACTCAGTGATATTGTGATCTATAATAAGAAATTAATATTTGGTTTTCATCCTATTCCTGTCATAAAGCTCCTTAAGCCCTTGGAATTTCCTGAGTGATGAGAGTAATAAAGGTACACTAATGACTTTTGGACTGCACCAAAGGCGGGGCTGGTTGCCAGGGGAACCAACCAAGCCATTACAGGGGTGGAACTTTCAGCTCCAGGGATGGGAGACAGAAGGAGGTTAAGTTCAATCAACTATGGTCAATGATTTGATCGATCGTGCGTATGTGATGAAGCCTCCATAAAAACCAAATGGACAAGGTTTAGTGAGCTTCCAGTTGAGTGAACACGCAGAGAAGAGGGGAAGGCATAGAAGCTCTGTGCCCTCCCCCCATACATTGCCCTATGTGTCTCTTCCACCTGGCTATTCCTGAGTTATATATTTTTTATAGTAAACTTGTAATCAAGTGAGTAAACTTGTTTTCTAAGTGTTGGGAAATGCCCTGTCTGGTTTCAGGAACTGTAGTCCCACCAAAAGGCGAGAGGGCCCCAAGGCTGGAAATAATCAAGGAGGCCTCGGGAAAATAGGCCACTGAGGAGACAAAACCTGTCTCCCTGGCAGGGGCTATGCCACTCACATCACCCTGCTTGGCCCTGAAGGATGGCTGCTTAGTCAATGATAGGTAAGACCCCTCAATGGAAAGAGCAACCTAAGACATGCACAGCCACAATGGGCATCAGGGAAAAACTTTCGCACACAGAAAGGGCAAAAGACCCCCACCCCTCGGTTTTGACATGACGGGGTCCTCATTCTATCTGAAAGAAGTCTCCTATTTCCTGACTTCCTTGCCCTCCCCCTGCCTGGCTCAGGTTTTAACCAATACTGGAGACAGCCCTAAACTGGATCAGGCAGTTCCCAAGGGAAATCAGTCCTACAAGTAAATTCTTTAAAACATGCTTTGTTTTTCCCTCAAAAGCTATGATAACCAGCTCATGCTGAGAAGGAAATTTTCATTATTCACAGACCCTGACCCTAAACCCTTTGGCATTCTTATGTTCATGCTCTCATGTTTACCTGTCTCTTCTCGGACCCATGTAAACTGGTGTGTTCCTGCCATCTGTTTTCCTCAACATCATCTATTCTCTGTAAACATTAACATACTGATGTAATGAGATCACTCATACATTTCTATTACCTAGCCCCATTGATAACCCTTTCAATAAAAGCCTTTGGACACAGGGGCTCAGGGCCTTCTCCACTAGAAGGAAGACACAACCCCTCTCCTGGCAGAAAGAGAAGTATCTGGAGTGATTTATTACTTCCTCCCATTCATGACAACCCCGGGGCGGGCTCTGTGGGATTCAGAGTCCACGCTCCCTCCCTCAGCTGGCCCCCAGACAGGGACCCTCAGATCCAGGGTCCAGCGTCCCGCCCACACCTAAGTTCTGTGAGCCACTCTAGCAAATTAATTGAAGAGTGTCACAGGAACTTCTAATTTACAGCCAGTTGGTCAGAATTACAGGTAATAACCTGGACTTATGATTGGCATCTGAAGTGGAGACAGTCTTGCGCTGAGCCCTTAACCCATGGAACCTGAAGCTATTTCCAAATAGAGTGTCAAAATTGAGTTGAGTTACAGGACATCCAGCTGATATCAAAGAATGTGTTGAGAAAGAACCCACACATCAGAATTGCTGTCAGAATCATAACAGGTGATTGGTAACAGAGTAGGGTATGTGAAGTTACTAGTTCTCAACACTGCCCTGTACATTAGACATACTTATGAAGCGGCACCCTGAAAAACTCTACATAATCTGGGGTAAAGTCTGTGCATCTGTGTTTTTTAAAGCCCTTAACAGTCTCTAATGTGCAGACAGTTCATAAATACTGACGCAAAGGAACAGAGTTAGAGATTCGGAGACTACTATATAAAATTCTTGAATGTCAGATTTCAATGAGTATGAAAGAGGGATAGAGACAGTGAGTGAAATGACAATTATGTAGTTAACTAACTTATCTCTGCATGCCCAATATACTCAACGCAGTCGTTGCAAGCCTCATTGATTTATTTCCGTTGCCTGGGACCTTGGCCATGGTGAGTTTAGCTCATGTCCGTGCCCACACACTACACACTTGCATGGCTTCTGTGTCCTTTTTAACCTCACCATAGTCCGAGACTCATGAAAGACTATTTTCTTTTTACCCAAAACATTTACCCGAAATTATATGAGAATAGCATATATTAAAAATGGTAGACAACACATCCCAGGAAAGGTTTATGGTTCTGGATTTCTTTGCCTGTCACCAAGCTCTTTGTCTTTCTCCCCACGCCATCACATCTCCTGGGAGTACTGGGGAGTGGAGAGGAGCTGCCATAATGCTTCATTCACAGTTAGACAGAGGGGATTTTTTTTTTAAAGTGTGTAACAGTGGAGTATGCTTTACCGGTATTAATGCCTTCCGTTATTATCCATGCTCCCGTTGTCTCCGCAGCTTTGACCAAACCCTGGCTGAAGACCTCTTTAAGTTTGGAGGGCATCTTGAAGTTCTGGATGCCCCCATGGACAGAAATCACCAGCTTTGGCAATTCCATCTTCCACTCTTTCAGCATCAAATGTAACAGATGATCCAACTTTGTATCATAAGAAGTTCTAATATACTGGAAGAGAAGCATATACACATGTACATAAAACAGTGAGAAAAAAAAATACCAGTAATAATAAACGCACAGAAAGAGATTTAAATAGCCACAACTTGAAAGAAAAATTCTGCCATCCCTTCCAAGTTCATTTTACATAATGGAAGTATTTACTTTGAAAGGGTCCCACGCCCCCTTTAAGTTGCTTCTGAGAATTAAAGACATAGTGGGAAAGCTTTCTCTGGTTTCCAAGGTTGGCCCACCAATGTTCTCAGAAGGTCTCAGGTGAGGCAGAAATACTTCAAAGTGGCAAATATCACTACTCCGGTAAACCTGTTTCAAAAAGGAACTAGTCAAAGAACATGTATAAATGACTCTTGGCATGGAAATGGAGAGGGGATTGATTGTGGGCAAGAGGGGTGGGCTGGGTGGAGGGGGGAAAGGGAAGAAAATTGGGACAACTGTAATAGAATAAATAATAAAAAATAGCCCTGGCTGGAGTGGCTCAGTGGATTGAGCGCCAGCCTGTGAACTGAAAGGTTGCCGATTCGACGCCTGGGTGGTGGACCTAGTCCCCAGTTGGGGGCATTTCTCGCACATTCATGTTTCTCTCCCTCTCTTTTTCCCTCCCTTCCACTCTCTCTAAAAGTAAATAACTAAAATCTTTTTAAATAAATAAATAAAATACACGTTCCCTTTCAAACACCAAAAAAAAGTTTTTAGAAACTAGTGAAATGGGTCTTTCAAAAATGCTATGGCTTTTAGTTTACTTGACCATTTCAGATAGTTGCATAATTTAAATTAAGATTCAGGAGTACATACATTTAATTTCTTATAAATTTTACATTCTAATCATTTCCTTTATATATAATTATCCCTCTGAAAATATTCTTTCCAAAATAAATACCTTTCAGAAAAGTGTCATATCTTTGATCAGCTAATATAACTGAAATAAAAGATGAAGAAAATCCAAACCAGCAGGTAACCCAAGAATCATTGTGCATTTTGCCTAAGGTTACAGTATATGACTGACTTTCTTTTTCCAGCAAAGGTACCCACATACAGACCATTAAAATCATATTGAGATGAGTTTGCCTTCTTCGAGCATAAGCCAACCAACAGCAAGAAGAGGATGAAATGAGGGCAATAAGAAACCATGAATTATAAAATTATACCAAAAATAACCACAGGTGGTATACAAATAGGAAGTATCACACTACCCTCCAGAATGTGATAGCACTTTAAAACAGTTTTCCATTTATCTTTGAAATTCTTAAAACATCACAGAATGTGAGTCATAGAAAGAACCTAAGGATAACTAGGATGCAATTCTTAAGTGAGGAGACTCAGTTGCCATGGCTTTATTACATATTCAAATAGTAGGGAAAAAAATACAAGTTGACCTTTGTGAAATGGCTTGCGTTTCTCTGAATAATGAATAAAAAGAGGCAGGGGGTGCAGCTCTGGTTCGGATCACCTTCTCTCTAACCCTACTTTCTCCCAGGTGCACCTCTCTTTCAACTATAAGTCCTTTTAGTCCTAAAAGATATTTCTCCTTGAGAGTTCAGGGTAAACAACCTTGACTAACTAAAATATCAGCACTAGTCTTTCTCCCCAAGGCCAACCAAAGAATGTGCTAAAGGTCAATGGCTCTTTCCCCTACTCCTCACAACTAACTCCCTCCTGTCCTCGGGTTATGTAGACTCCAACTGGCAAAGATTCACCTCGAAGCCTCTGTGGAATGTGGTGGTAGGAGAAAAACAACTGGGAAGGGGAATGTGGTGGAAAGAGGTCACACAAGTTTCCCTGATGCTCACAGTAAACATGAGCAACTCTGGGCTTAAATATAAAGAACAGACACTTCTCTTCTGGAGAAGAAAAATAACTCATTCACTAGAGGATGTAATGGGAACCAAGTGCTAAGTGTAAAATGTATTCGTGATCAGGAGGTCTAACTGTATTTTCAAATTTCCTAAGTGTACCATATTCCCTTTTGGCCTTTGCACACGGCATTTCCTCTTGTCTAGAGTGGCCTTACCCCTCAGTCTCACCAGACACCAAACACCTCACTCATCTTTCTGATCTCAGCTTAGCTGTCCCTACTTTCAGATGGCTTTCTTGACACTCATACAGAGCCCCTGAAAAACAGTTTACTCTTTTATTCTCTCAAAGAACCCTGTATTCCCATTTTAGAGCACCCCCTACCTCTGTCATAATTATATATTTATTTTGGTTTCCTTCACTACGTTGTAATTGTGGGAATTCAGAATGAGCCACCCCAAGATGTTCCTTAGTGGTATGCAGATTGCTTTGAGCTAAAGGCAATTTCAACTTCAGGCTCAAGAGAAACGTCAGCCCCTCCATTTAATTACTATCTATAGGGCAGGGCAAATTTCTATTTAGTAAACATCTGTTCTTATCACTCTGCAAGGACCCCTTGAAGCCTCCAAGGTGCATTACACATCATCCCTAGCTCAGGATATACCTCAATCCCCCTTCTATCTCTGAGCCTCTCCTGTATATGAGGTTTCCAACTCTCTCATGTATGCTGGGTTCCCATACATAGATGCATATGTATGGATTAAATTTGGTTATGTTCTCTTGCTAACCTGTCTCGTGTCTGTTTGACTATTAGACCAGCCAGAAGAACCTTGAAGGTAGAGGAAAGCTGGTTCCTCCCCCGCAAAACCAATTTTAATACCTGGAACATATGCTCTTTGGGGCATAGAAAAGTGTGAGCACCCAATAAATATTTGTCGAATAGATTTAAAAATGAGTACATGAAGGTGATCATGGATAAATATAAGAAGCAAAAAGAAGACTAAAACTTAAGGGAAAAATTGCATACAGTGTAATTACATATTACAAAGAGTCAGCTTCCAAAAGGATCAGAGGGGAGAATGAAAGCAGTTTGCCTGCCAACTAAAGAAAACATCAATGCACAAGGTTAAATGCAAGAGGATTAATAACTGAAAATGCAGACTACTGCAGAACTATATTATGAAACTTTATTATGACTGCACCATAAAGAACTGCTGTTTCAAATCCATCCAACTGATGGTCACACTCCAGAATACACAGCTGACTGAGTTTTCCTGAGCTGGGCTCTCCCTGTATTTTCCCCTGGCGGAGCTACCTCTACTAAAGCAGGTGGTTAACATGCCCCAGAGAAAACATCTGGGAGACAGTTGATCTGTCAATAGTATGCCAGTCACATGCAAAATTACCATATTAGGGACAGGAGCAAAACTGGCCTGGAGAGCCCAGTACTATAATTCAGAGGGTGCAGAGAGAAATTCCCTCATTTTCTTCGTGAGAAGAGGCTGCACCAGGACATAGGAGGCATGAATAACCACAAGTTAGCAGCAACTGCTGCAACCATGATTCAGCTAAGTCTGCTGTCTGGTAGTAACTCTGCATTCCACAATAGCAACCCTTTGGCAACTGTCTCAAGAGCAATGAGCCACTATCTTCCACAGAGAGCATAAGCTTGCTGAAAGAGTTCAATCAAATAAAGAGCTGGCCACACCCGGGAAAGGAAGAATGCGCCTGAGACATAAAGGAAAGATAAGAGTCAGATCATTTTTGTCCAAAGGTTAATAACACGGATCTAATTTTTCTTTTTTTAAGATTCTGTTTATTTATTTGCAGAGAGGGGGAAGGGAGGTAGAGAGGGAGAAAAACATCAACGGGTGAGAGAATTATCTACTGGTTGCCTCCCCCATGTGCCCCAGCTGGGGACGTGGCCCACAACCCAGGGCTGTGCCTTGACCGGGAATCAAACAGGCGACCTTTCACTTTACAGGATAACACTCAACCAACTGAGCCATGCTGGTCAAGGTGAATCTAATTTTGCAATAACACCCAATCATCTGGTTATCTGTTACTTGGTGATATCATTAGGAGAGACAATTTGAAGGTTATTTCCACTGTTAAAAACCCGCAATATAATGAGGGTTAACAAACCTTGGCATGGTGAATATGCTCTCCATCTTGGAAATTAATAGTGCCAAAGGCATCCGTAGGGCTTCGCATTGTGTGCTTTTCAACAGACCACTGTTCATCTTCATCACCGCTGGCAGCTGAGATGGTCCGGGTATAATCTGTCCCATGATGGTCACCAATCAACCGCCCACAGTAACACCTGAGATTTGGGATAAAAACCAATTTCAAAATAGAAAACATGCAATTACAAAATAGAAAATAGATGTAATATTCGTACATTTCTACAGTGTGATGTAGAGATGGCTTATATTAATAATTTTTAAAATGTGACATTAAAATTTATATTAGACTTTTAACACTGGACTACATAAAAACAAAATATAACATTCATCATATTCATGAAAGAATGACAGACTTCTCATCTTGGAGAATTTGGAACAGTCAGAAGAATAAATTAAAATTTGAATATGTACAATTTCAATACTTTCTTCAATGAAAAGTTATATATCTGCAGACCAAGAAAATTATTTGTATCAAATATGTCAGATCATATACCTATTACATACAAAGGGATTATTATTCAGCTCTATAAATGATTCAGGCTTTTGTGTATGTATGTGAAAACCAATATAAAAACATGAACGAATTATTGGGTCCAATTAAGCAAGGAAGCAGTATGAAGAAACAAGTCAGAACACAGGGAACGATATTGAGGTTCCGATGGAGGGGCTCTAGATGCTAAAGGAGGAAGAATTATCCCAAATGTACAGGATACACACAATCAGGATTTATTAGCAAGAAATGTGTCATCTGGTAATCTTGAGGAACAAGCGTCACTCTTGAACATGAAAAACATCCCATAAACTGAATGATGCCTCTCACTGTGGCTTTTTCTAAACAGAATATTAATGGAGGCAACCACACCTGGAAAGATAAATCACTACTCTTTCATAGGATTTTCTTCAGTTCAACCTACTTTATTCTAAGTATTTTTCTAGTCTAATCCATTTGATTCGAGTCAATTTAGCTTTATTCTAGTTTTTAACCACGTCATTAAATTGGGGCAAGGTGGACGCTGCAAAACTGTTATTCTTTGGAGCATTTGAGATGTTGGTCCTTGGCACATGTCATCAGTTTGGCTCAAACTCTTATAAAAAAACTGTTTTGTAATTATGGCAAGGTGGACACACACACACAAAAAAAAAATCACCCCCCAAATTAAAAAATAAAAATAAAAAGATTCAATGTTCATCCCTTTAGTTATAACTTTCAGAAGTCCCAAATTATACATCATTAACAAGTACTAAAATCTAACCTTAAGAATCAACTTTAGAAAGATGCCAATTTTACCAATTTCCTCCCAAATTGTCTGTATGAATTTAATAAAATATCCTTTAAAAATCCTAAAATGTTTTATCAGGGAACTTAACAAAGTGATTCTGAAGTTCATACGGATGTATAAGTGTCCAAGAGAGTAAAACAATTTTTAAAAGAATAAAGCATAGCCCTGGCCAGGTGGCTCAGTTGGTTGGAGCATCATCCCGTAAACTAAAAGACCATGGGTTCAATTCCTGGTCAGAGCACATACCTAGGTTGCAGGTCCAGTCCCAGGTTGGGACATGTACAGAGGCAACTGATCAATATTTCTCTCCCACATACATGTTTCTCTCTTCTCTCTTGCTCACTTCCTCTCTCTCTAAAACCAATAAATATATCCTCAGGTAAGGATTAAAAAAAGTCACTTAAAAAAATAAAAAACAGCCCTGTCTGGTATAGCTCAGTGGATTGAACGTGAGCCTGCAAACCAAAAGGTCACTGGTTCAATTCCCAGTCAAGGCACATGCCTGGATTGCAGCTCAGGTTCCCAGAAGGAGTTGCGTGAGAGGCAACCACACATTGATGTTTCTCTCCCTCTCTTTCTCCTTCCCTTCCCTTCTCTCCCAAAATAAATAAATAAATAAATAAGAAATTTTAAAAATAAATAAAGGATAAAGCATAGAGTACTAGCCCTATCAGATATCAAGATATATTACAAAGCTATAATGGTGAAACAGTGGTATTTATTAGGAATAGGAGAAGCAGATATATGATATTGAAAAGAAAGCTCAGAAATAAAACCATATGGGGTCTTGGTATATCACAGATGACATCAAAAATGAATGAGGCTAGGATAGAATGCTCAATAACTGATGCAGGGACATTTAGCCCTCCATATGGAAAAAAATCAAACTACTTCCTAGTGAGGTAGAAAAATTATAAATTTTAATTGATTTTAACTTCTGAATAGTATAAAAATAGATATTTTTACAGTATTGTTCGCATTAGTTTCCCTGAAGATTGTAATGTTGGGAGAATATTAACAGGGAGAGTTTCTGGAGAATAAAGTAGAAAGAAGGAGGAGTAAACAAAGACTTTTCAGTTCACTACATGCTTATGTTTCCTTTAAATTTTAACAAAATTTTAAATAATTACCAAAAAGAAAAATTTTTTTTAGGGAAAGGTAAAACAGGTTAGCCAAATGGAAACTCTTCCCCCAGTGTTATGAACTGAATTGGTCCCTCAAAATTCATACATTGAAGTCCTGACTAATCCCCAATGTGACTATATTTGGAGACAGGCCCTATAAAGCAGTAATACAGTTTAAGTAAGATCATAAGAGTGAGTCTCTGATTGTATAGGACTGATTCCTTTACAAGAATAGAAAGAAACACCAGAACACTCTATCAGCAAATGCACAATGGGAAGGCCATGGAAGGACATAGCAAGAAGGTGATTGTTTGCACAGCAGGAAGAAAGGCCTCATCAGAAACCAACCTTGGTGGCACCTTGATCTTGGACATCTAGCCTCAAGAACTTTGAGAAAATAAATGTCTGTTGCTTAAGCAACTCAGTTTGTGGTATTCTGTTATGGCAGCCTGAGTAGACCAGTACGCCCAGCAACCCTATCCTTCCTGTCATCATCTGCAGATGGTGTCTTCTTTTCCCCGTGATCTGCTACATTTTGGATTCTGAATTTTTTGTAACCAAAATAAATTTAACATTGGTTCAATCCATAATGTGAACTTCAGAATACGATCACAATTAAGAAAATTTCGTGGGGGGTAGGCAGAGACAAATGTATTTGAATAAATAAATAAATAAATAAATGCATTTAGTTATAAAAAAAAATCTAAAAACTGAAAAAAAAAAATTTCATTTTGTCCTCCTTACACATGAGAGGTAGAACCAGTTACAAGCACATGATTTAAAATGCAGATCACTGCTAAAACTTGTATTGCACTAGAGAGTTATTTTTGCCCATAATGTTGTGTGATACTGTGTTTTTATTAAATATATATTTGGTTTTTGTCTTCCTTTTCAGCACAGAATTCCTAAAACCCTTGGAACTTCCTAAGAGACACGAGTGACAATGGTGCTGGAAGTTGACTCCATGCCAATGGCCAATCATTCAATCAATTGTGCCCATGTAATGAAGTCTCCATAAAAAAACCGAAAGGATGGGATTAGAGAGCTTCGGGTGGGTGAACACCTGGAGGTGGTGGGAGAGGAGCGCACTCGGAGAGAACATGGAAGCTCTGCGCCCCTTCCCACAAACCTTGCCCTCTGCATCTCTTGCATCTGGCTATTCAGCTGTATTTTTTTAAAGCATGTTTTACAATAAACTGGTAAACTTAAGTAAATGTTTCTCTGAGTTATGTGACCTGCTGTAGCAAATTAACTGAACTCTGGAGGGGGTCATGGGAACCTCCAATCTATAGCCCATCAAACAGAAATGCTGGCAACTTAGACTTTCAAATGGCATCTGAAGTGGAGGGTGAGGAGTAGTCATGAGCTCTTAACCTGTGACATCTGACATTATCTCCAGAATTAAGTTAATTACTTGGTGGTGTTAGGAAAAAAAATATCAAGATTAGTGTCAGACCTGGAGCCTGGTGTGCAAATATGTTACTTACAAGTCATAGAACAAATACAGTGTTATATGTGCACAAAGCATCTTCATTATCCAAATAAAATGTAAGATAATAAAGTGAAAATTCAATGCTGTACACGAATTTCAATTGGTAGAAGCTCTCGTCAAAGACCTTTAACCATTTACATGTCTGGGTAATTCAAGTAATCTATTACATTCAAATAATCAATCTCTCCTTCAAAAATGTCTCACGTGTCTTTTTTAAACCTTCCCTTAAAAGGGAAATAAAATACACCAATAAAACCCTGTCATTGATTTCATTCAAGATGTGAGAAAACTATTCCAATGAATTTGAAACAGAATGTCTAAAAATTAAAAGAAATCCTATTTATGTCTTACCTGATTAAATTATGGCAAACCTGGCATCCTGCAGTACATCTAAATTAAAGAAATAAAATCTGTTTACTGACATATTTTAAAATGTATGTAATACTTTTACAGTAAATATCTGTTATCTTCATGGTCTGGAAGTCAGGGTTTGCTGGGTACTCATACGTCACTCCCCAAATATCCCCTTGTCATTTACCAAATACCATCATCTAATGAACTGAACACTAAAGTTGGAACTGAAATACCTGGACTTAAACTTCATTAACGATTCTTCTAAGCCCCAGTTTTCACACCTGAAAATATCTGCCCTACAAGGTTATTAAAAGGATTATGTCAGATAATACATGAAAAGTGCCTTACAGTCCTGGTACACTAAAGTATGTATAATAATGGTAGCCGCTATTATTATTATTATACTATGAAGAGAACACTGAATTCTTGAGGATCAAGTCTGAAAATATACATATACAAACATCTTTAAAACCATAAAACATTATCAAATTAAGGGATAGTTGGTGTTAATTTTAATCTTTCTTTTTTATGATTCAAACGAACCTTCTGGATTTGGAGATTAGCATTGTGGTCATCGGTGACCATACTTTAGGTGTGAATAAGTTTTAACTGGAGGAAAACTCTAGTTTGAAATACTGGAAGACAAGGTAGTGTTCACAGAATCGGAGTCATTCTAAATTATTCAGAAATGAATCTTCAGGCCTCTCACTTCTTCCTGTCCTAGCATTTTGAGTATGTCTTTTTCTCCAGAAGCTTTCTAACTGTAAAATTGTAACGGGGAGATTGCAACCCACCCCACCATTCCTTTGACATTGTTTCTGTAAGTGCGGACTCTGACTAATACGTAGCTTGTAGATGAACAGCATGTTTGTAAAAGAATCCTAGGAACTAACTTCAAAAGATACAGACTCCAACCATCAGGCTTCCCTGCTCTGGGAGATTTGCTGACCTTCAGCCATGGATCCAGGATGACGGGGAAGCCAGGGTGACTAAACTAGGACGATGCACACTGACCATCATTTGCTTGATCAGAATGGACTATGCTCGTCTGCACGGAGAGAATTTTCCAATCCCCTTCCTTGATCTCTTTGTTCAGTCCCCCTCTCCCTCCTTATCACAACCTCAGCCTCCACCGAGATGTGGAGATGGGCTTTGAGATGTGTCCCCCATCTTCCCAGGAGATGGGCTTTGAGATGTGTCCCCCATCTTCCCAGGAGATGGGCTTTGAGATGTGTCCCCCATCTTCCCAGGAGATGGGCTTTGTGATATGAGTCCCCCATCTTCCAGGTGGCCGGCATCTGAATAAACCACTTTCCTTTACATCAGCACCTGCCTTTTGAGTATTAGCAGGCAGCTGGACCTGCTTTCGGTTACAGCTTCATTTCAACAAGTTCAAATGAGAAGGAAAAAGACGTAATCAAGTCTATCAGATTTTCTTCTTATTAAGGGCTACAAAAAGAATCAATAAAAGATAAGCTTTTATCTAAATTTAAAATAGTAAACTACTACCATTTTACTGTGTACCATAAGGAAGTAAACTGCATGAAAGCTACCATATTGAGAATCTAACTGGGCTCTAAGAAAAGGGTTGGCATAAGAGGAACAGCCATAATCATTCATTAGCTTTTTTATAATCACAGAACAATAGAGACTGCTTTTTTCCCCATAAAATGTCATATATCTTGGACCATTCATGGAATTACAATCCTCGATATCCTTCTTGAGTCTGTGAGTAAATGGCCTATAGTTTATCACTATTCGTGAGGTTCAAGGTGATTGTGAAGATGACTTTCCATACAGAGAGCAGTAGGAGTGCCTGAGCTCAGTCTGCCGTCCACTGCAGCCTCCATCAGAGTATAAGGCGTCATAAAGATTTAGCAAAGTGAGACATTCTAATCACCAGGGCTTACAAGGCACAGGTAATGCAATGAGGGTGGGACTGGTAAATATTTAACAAAAGCAAGGAACAGTATTTTAGTCATCCCCAAAGAACCAGAATTTCACTAACCTCACCATGCTACCTTTCATAAACGTAGAAAGCAGTGACTGCTAAACTTCAAATGAACATAAGGCCAAATGCTCAAAGCAATCTAAAAATGGAGTGGTCCCCCTAATAAAAAATACAATTGACCCTTGAACAACATGGGTTTAAAGTGTGCAGCTCCATTTAGACATGGATTTCTTTTTCAATAAATATGCAATATACAATCAGCCCTTCATATCTCTGGTTTCACATCCACAGATTCAACACTATTTTTGAGCCAAGGTTGAGAACCCATGAAGGAGGAGGGCCAACTACATGCATTGTTCTATGTCATCTATGTCATGTTATATAAGGAACTTGAGCATCCATGGATTTTGGTATCCAAAAGGGTCCTGGAACCAATCTCCCCTGGACGGTGAGGGCAGTTAAGTTTTAGGGGAGTCAAAAGTTATACACAGGTTATATACAAGCGTGGGTGGTTGGTGAAAATAACCCCATGTTCGAGGGTCAACTGTACTGCTCTCCTATTTTCCTTTCAAATTCTCTCCCCCAAGAGCAATGCCACTCAATCTTATTTCACAGACCCAACTACAGTGGGGGAATTTTGTTCTACAAGTAGAGCTTCCAAAAGGTTGTCAAGAACTCAAAGGACTCAAACTTGAATCATATTATTCTGCTGCCCATTTTCTGCTCAAGCAAAAAGCCTATAGGAGGAAAATGAAACTGAAATTAACTGTTTAAATAACCTAAGCACAATGTCCTGAAATATCCCAGTTGCTATTTTCCAAAGACACTTTAGTTGAGGAAAAGGAGCATTTGCAATAACTTGAATATTCAATATTTAGAACTTGTAAATGTTTTATCCAAACCCAGTGGAGTAGATATAGCACTGGAGATTTCCTAACATCTATCTCCCGACTAAAAGGAACAGGGGCATCAAAATAAAACAGAGCAAAACCTACCACCATACTAACAGCAGCTCCACCATGGTGACACCATTATGGTGAACTTGGTTCTCTTTATATTTCATTAAGTCAGTGGACCAATGTTTCTCAGCAGCCTACTATCTGGCAGGCACTATGATAAGCCCCGGGGTTGGAGTGAGGTAGAAAATTGACAAGTTCCCCATTTTTTCCAGAAAATCTGGCAAGAATTTCTACAGTAATCATGTACTATTCCAATAAAGACATAAATATCAATTAAAAATAAATACTAATTTTATAAATATTATCAAATCCTTTCAACAAGTCATATCTCTAAGTTTCCACACACAGTCTTCCTAGTGTTGCTTAAAAAAGAAAAATGGAATTCAAAATTGTACCTGTGAGGGTCTTTAGAGCTGGGTATGATTTTGTTACATTCTCTCTTGTCGAACACTCCTTCAATCCAGGATTTCTGGGACTAAATAGAAAGTGTCGTTATTTTTATATTCTAATTAAGTGAGAAAGCAGTGTAAACACAGTAGTTCAAGTAGGCAAGATATATTTAAATAGTATGGTCACTCACTAAAACAGCAAGACCAAACCCAAATCGGTTAAGCATTTATTGGCTTCTGTTACAGACACCATAGACACAAATAGGGCAAATGTGAACACAAAAATATTCACAAAGTTAACTGGTCTATAAACTCATCTTAAGTGAAAGATCCCTAAGTGCACAAAACTCTAGCAAGGAAGTAATGATATAATAGATATGTTCTCTTAATTCTTCTATAAATCATTTTTAAATCTTACACCATAATCCTATAGAGTGAATATCAAGCCCTCAAGTGTCAAAATTCACACTCATAAAGTCCCACTTTGGCTAAGATTTCACAGGAAACTGGAAAAAAATGTAAAAGGAGAAATGCAACCTCAGGAAAATTCTGTAAAAAAAAAAAAGAAATTTCCAATCTAGCCCTGGCTGGTGTGGCTCAGTTGATTGGAACGTCTTCTTGTAAAGTGAAAGGTCGTGGGTTTGACTCCCCGTCAGGGCACATATCCAGGTTGTGCGTTCTCCAGTCAGGGCACATGCAAGAAGGCAACAAACAGATGTTTCCCTTTCACATTGATGTTCCTCTTTCTCTCTCTCTGTCTCTGTCTCTCTGTCACTCTCTCTCTCTCTCTCTCTCTCTCTCTCTCTCTCTCTCTGTCTCTCTTCCTCTTTCTAAAAGCAATGAAGAAATGTCCTCAGATGAGGAAAATAAATAATAAATAAATAAATAATCCAATCTAAAATGAAACCAGAGGATACAAAATGGAGAATGCACCTTCAGAAAAACAGAGCTTAAGAACTGAGAGACTGATTTTCTGCAAACTCCTGATTTATAATTGACTGAGATTTATTTCCTAAAAGTAAACACCTACCAAGAATCACTTCCTTTCCTCAAGCCAATGAACTTACAGTTTGGACTCTGGGTGGACTTCCTCCTCTTTGCACTCCCTGCCCACAAATATACTCTGCCCCAAATCCTCAGTGGACTTGCCTGCACCTTGCACTGGCATGTGTTTCCGGAATGGAAATTCCTCTGCCATTCCCAGATAATCTCAATTTCTGGTAATTTGAGCTTGACTTTACTTAGGTTGATAATTCAACACAGTCTGTAAGCATGGCTTACTATTGGCTATGTTGCCTCATATTGCACAGTTTATAACTGTCCCTGAATCCAAGTAGGGCATTAGTACTCATTTGTCTGACCCATTCTACACAATTCACGTCATAGCCCAACTCTACCATAAACTGCATTATAAGTCTAGGAGCAGAACACACTGGATCCTCAATAGAACCCAACCAACTGATGAGCTTGGCCTCCTAATATGAAAATATTTTAACCCTATATGGCATAAAAACATATAGGTGTGGAATAACTTTATCCAGTCAATGAAAAATAACATCCAAACCTTTATAAAATTTTTATAAGAGTGTATTTGAGCCTTGACTAGGTAGTTCAGTTGGCAGAGCATCATCCCAGTACACCAAGATTGTGGGTTCGATCTCCAGTCAGGCCACATACAAGAAGCAACCAATGAATGCATAAATAAATGAAACAACAAATCCATTTTCCTTCCTTCCTTCTTTCCTTCCTTCCTTCCTTCCAACTTCTCTCCCCCAACAAAATCATTTTTTTAAAAAGCGAAATTCTTATTTTTTTAAAAGTGTATTTGGGCCACAACTGACAACAATTGCCAGGAGGCAAGATCTCAAATGCTTCCAAGAAGGAGAGTTTTGCAGTTTCCTTTACGCCTTGGAAATTAAGGATAATTTGAAGGTGGAAGAATGCAGAACGAGGATTGGATTACAGGATTTATGCGCTTTCTTGAGGGGTCTGGAAAAAAAGGATTACTCTGTCAAAGGTATTTTTATCTAGACGCACAAGAAAAATTGACAGGGCTTGCTCAAGGTAAACATAAACCTCTTACTAAAGTCATATGTTTGCGTTATGACTACCCACCATGACCTGCCCACTTAAGAATTTATGATCAGATCACCCTGTGAAGTTTCTTTCTCTTCCTGGACTTGTCAGTTTCATGACAGAACCCCTTTTTTCTTTCACAATACACACGTCTGTATTAGAGCAGTGAGGAAAGAGCAGTGAGCCAGCATCTACAAGGCGCCTTTTTCAAACCCTATGTTAGTGCAGTTCCCACCTCATTCTTATACCTGCTTTCATCCTGCAATTGACGGCAATGCACTAGGCCAGAAAACATGTTACAAATCCAGCTGTGGAACCTCATAATTACACTGCCCCCACGTTCCCAGACGATTATGAAGGAGCTCAGGACATACCACCCTAAAATACGCTGCGTGAGTATATTGATTATTCTTAGCTGTGGGTACTTGAAAAATAGCAAATGCAGAGAGGCTTTCTCTGATCTCCCCTTACCTGTCTAAAGACAGATCTTCCAAAAGGAACTCAATGGTCATAAATTTTCTCCCCCGGAGTTTTCAGCAACTAGGGGATTGACTCTTATCACAAGGGAAGATACTAGAAGTCACAAACAGACAAGGACCCATTCACCTTTTTAAAAAATTATTTCTCTCTCCTAAATTGCCTTCATCCCCAATCCCCTTCCCCTTATTACAACAGTGTATCAGTTTTTGTTTTCCTGCTATGCTCCTTGGCACATAATATTTAAAATTAATACATTTGTATATCTTTTCTCCTGTTAGCCTGCCGGTTGTGTCAGTTTATTTCAAAGACCCAGCTACCAAACCTAAGAGAATAGTTTTTCCTCCCCTACGATCACAAGTGAGGTCGCTTATGGAATCCTTTACATACTTCAGTGTTACTCATTGATATTGTTTAATATGCAGCAAAACTAAACATAAGTGTTCACTCCTGAATAGAACTGTGTATTGTTAACCTAAAAATAAAAGACCTTTCAAAGTAGTATTCCCAAATAGCTATTCTTATTGCTCTCAAATAAATGCTTGTTGCCTCCCACTTTGAAAGGCCTTTTGTTTTTATTGTTAACATATCTGGTGTTATGGATCTAAAGTGGCCTCACCTTCATGGTCCAGCATCACCTGGAAGCAGGTATGTATGGTACCTACAGAGCCTCTTTTGTGTTCACTGCTTCCAAGGACTGCCGTCTCCTTGACTGTAAAGCTCTACTAGGTCAAACCTCTCTCCCTTTTTGGTTAAAGTCAAATGCCTTTATCTGAGATCAGGACTGGAGTTTCCCTCAGGGAGGGTTGTTCTGGGTTTTCTTGCCCCTCCATAGGTCAATTGCCTCAGGTGTCAGCATGCAATGGGTCACAGGAGCAATGGCTGCTTTTTCTCAGGGGTAAGTATTCATTTAATTGCGCTCCTTTGTTTCCTTTTCTTGTCTCTGTTTTGTTGTTTATCATAAGAAAGAGGTTTCAGAAGGAGAGGACTCTATTCTGTAATTGATAAACGGAAGTTTCTAAAAGACAAAATAACTTCTAAATTAATCCTACAAGAAATTGTGGCTTTCTGAGCAAGTACTCTAAAACTCCTTAGTGTTTGTCCTGCCTGAAACCTGACAAGATATTTCAAAGAATTTAACAACTCTGATGGGGGCTCAAATGTTGGAAAAGTTTTAGTTAAGTAATAGCTAATGAGCTTAGTAATCAACACTTGGAAAAACTATTGTTCCAGGAACTGAAGGTATGAACCACCTAGACTCCAGGAGACCTAAGCAGTTCCGCCTTTGTGCCTCAGGAGGACTGCAAGCAATTCAAGATGGTATCTTAGCCATTGTACTCCAGAGTGAGACAACCACCGCCCAGGACACAGCTAAAGATCACAGCCCAGGGCAAGAATGCTGAGGTTTTTTTTAAATCCAATTAACTTTTCCCTAAACTCCAAACCTCTTACCTATACTTTGTTCTCCTTATAAGAAGGGCCATTTAAGATAGAACTTAAGATGGTCTGTTAGGGTACAAACCTGCCATCCTCTCAGGTCTCAGACCATCTGAATGAAGCACCCATAAAGAGTCAATCCCTGTCTCTGCTTAGTGGGTCTGATAGGTGACAGCACGAACACCGGCTTTTCTGGTTTCAGCTCTATATTCAGCAATTTAGCAACTTGGAAGTTTAATAGGATTTTTTAAAGTCTTCTCAGTAACTTTAAAAGGCCTTTTATTTTTAGGTTAGCAGTATAATCAGAGTCCAGAACTTATTAAGGAAAATAGGAGGAGGAATGGACAAGGATACTGATTGACTGATTCCTGTGCATTTTAAACACAAGGAAAACTTCCCAGAACAAGTCCAGTCATCGTAAATCATTCTGCCTTCTTATCTCTTTTGTACAGTCAGCAACTTTTTATGTATTAAAAGACACTCACTGATTTGGTAAAACATTAAAAACATACAAACTTGAAAAATCCAGAGTCAGAGAATTAGAATAAACTAAACAAACTAAACTCAATATCTATTTAATATAACAAGAAATGACACAATCTTTTAGAACAGCAAGCCCTGTCCCTTATTCAAAAACAAACAATTTTACATATTCACTCTCCAAAAATGTATTTAATACTTAATTTTTGCACAGCACCAAGAAATGTGCCACAGGGGAGTTAGTATGTCCTCAAATACCTCTTCATTCTGTATTTTCTTCTTTTTTCAATTTTTATGTTTTACAGTTGTTCCAATTATTTCCCCCTTTGCCCCACTCCATCCCGCGCGCCTCCTACTTCCATACTCAATCCCCACCCTATAGTCCATGTCCACAGGTCCTTCATATAATGAATTCCGTCAATATTTTGGGATAGGACTCCATGCTGTATTCTGGGAATTCTAGAGCAAATAAGACAAGCTTTGAAGAAATACAGAATAAAAATGAGGAAGCAGAAAATAAAATTGGTATCATTAAACTTCCTGTGTCCCAATAGACTATTAAAAGCAGGTCCAAAAAGGATCCCTGATTTAGGGGCTGTGGACAAAAGGAGTTCTA